CTCTCCCTCTCTCCCTCTCTCTCTCTCCTGACAGCCTGTCAGTATCGTCTCATGCAGCTCACTGATCCAGTAATGAGTGACCCCGACAGTGAAAACATATTTATAACTAGTTCCAGAGGTAGATAAAATAGCTAAGTGTGTTAGGTCTAACTCTTAGTGTGTGTTCCGCTCACCGGTCCGTCACAGCGGGCGGAGCTGTAGGATTTCTGCTTCACACACACGTTGCATACCGCTATTTTACTGTCTTTTTCGGACACCTTAAAATACTGCCAGATCGGTGAAGCCATTTTGGCGAGCTTGTTTTGCCGTGCACAGAGAAAAGTGTCATGTATTTTACGTCATGTGATCGGCTCTCCTGATCGGCCTTTGTAGAGAGCGGCTGATCGATCGGAGCATCCCTAAAAAAATACATATTCTTGTTGAATAGTGACAAATCACAGTTTAAATGGTTGTGTTTTATAAAGTTTCTGCCATGACATGAATAACAATGTAGATGTAAGACTACATACAAGTCACATTTTGAAAATATTTTGTTCTCAAAAGACAAAAATCAAAGAATGGCCGTCGTTCATTTCTAGTACCAATATGAGCCTTGGATAAAAATCTAATTAAAATAAATCGAATTCAAAAGCATTTTTAGATAGATAGATTCCCTATCGCCTTCTGTGTGTATCTGAATGCTAATGTTATTTAATGTTTAAAAAGTGAGGAACTGGATCTAATTCCTTATTTTCAACTCAGGATTTATGATTTTGTGTGTGTGTGTGTTGTGTGTGTGTGTGTGCTGTGTGGCTGTGTGTGGTGTGTGGCTGGTGTGCTGTGTGTGTGTGTGTGTGTGTGTGTGATGTATGTGTGTGTGTGTGTGTGTGTGTGTGTGTGTGTGTGTGTGTGTGTGTGTGTGTGAGCGTGAGCGTGAGATGTTTCTGACCCAGTCTCTCTCCTGTCTCTAGGACTGGCCAGTGCAGCGGGCTCTGGTCCCAGCCTGAGCAGCCGACCCAGGCACATGTCCTCTCCCTGCCCTGCACTATTATTACAGCAACGCCAGGAAGAAAGCTCTCTGGCTCAGGGTTACTTAAATTTCATTTAATTTTAAACTCGCATACAGGTAGAATCCCATTAGTTCCTTCTATGGTCCCCGTTAGTTCCCTTTCTGTCCCCAAATGTGTCTGACTTGCTGTAAAATGTCACATGAAAACAGGCGTGCTTGCAGGGATGCTGATGATTTTCATTTGATTTGACGTTCTTTAGGGAACAAATGTTTGGAGTTGCATAAGACACCACAAATGGGCTTTTTAAATGAAAACTCATTGCCAAAGTGATTTTCAAAAACATGATTCATGTAATGCATTAACTCCAGCATTGATGAGGTTTTATTTCCACCAGGTGTCATATACTGTACACAAACATTTGTACTAACGCTTATGGCCTAAACATCCCTGTTGCTTCATTAGATCTCCTCCATAGTTCCATACTTCATCCATTCTCCCTTAACCAGAAAGAAGGAAACTCTTGATGGTGTGTGTGTGTGGTGTGTGTGTGTGTGTGTGGTGTGTGTGTGTGTGTGTGTGTGTCTGGTGTGTGTGTATGTGTGGGTGTGGGTGTGGTGTCGTGTGTGTGTGAATGTTGCTAACCTGTGTGCAGTTGTAAGTGTTTCCCATTACTTCATGTGTTTTGTGTTAACTAAAATCTAAATAATTTGTGGTGCTGGCCTCCCGTAGATCGATGCATGTTAGAGATATAGAAACTGTATTAACTTCACTAATTCAACATAACAGTGTCGAAGAACTTGTTCTTGGTCAATACTCTAATGTTCATTAAGCTGGCTACAGATTCACAATAATTTGAATGCTGCACTGCATTAAGCATCTCACTTGGATTTAAAATGTCCTAAAACACAATAGAAATAAAACATTAATCTACATACACAGCGATTCGGCTGCAAAAACCTTGTCATTTCAGTAATGATGTTTTTCAACGTGTTTTCAGTCTGTGAACACACACAAAAACACGCTTAAAAAAATGCATTGTCATAACTTTTGCTTCTGACTGTATTTGTACTCATCATTTTGGGATGTAGTGCTCATAAATGACTTGCTTTTATCCCTTTCCTTATGAAAATGTGATGATTTTTTTGGTGCACATTGGTTTTCATGTGTGAGAATAATAACCCATGCAAACTACATACTCAATGATATCCAATCTGTTTTTCCTTAATTCTGACCATTTCGGGCACTGACACAGCCAAGCGATGTGTGTTTTACTGTTTTACTAACTCTAATCTTAACCTCCCGCTGCTGCTTTAGGTTTGTTGCCTGACTTGGGATAACCTGAAATGAAACTCGGGTGCCTTGCTTCTATTACAACATCAGTATTTTCAAATGTATCAACAGGGTGGATCAGATTCTGGGAAAAGGCCAGATTCCCGTGGATAAGAAGGTGCGGGACAAACTGAATCCAGATGGAGAGTCGCTGGAGGGCATGAGCATGCTGGGACGGGTGTGTAAGGTGGAGAGACAGGTGAGTCCAAAAAATAATCTTACAGGAAAAGCTACATCAGCACTGTAGCGGCTGATTCATAGGAAATCAAACTGAAAATGTAACTCAAAGTGAAACTGCCGCTGGGGCACCAGATAGCGAAACTTCCGCAGGGCAAATTCCAAGTCAAGGCAAGAACGTAGTTTCGTACATTTATTTCCAATCAAAAGTACAATGAACAATGGATTTACGTGAATTCTTGCCCTGCAGCCTTTCCTGTGACTCACTCCAATCAATTTCAGTTTCAATATTCTGTAGGCAATGTGTACAAATGTGTTCCTCTTCAATTTTAAATTGCGACATCGTCCTATTTCAAGGTCATGGTCACTGACTCTTACCTAAAAACTGTACCTGTATGTTTTGAGATATCCTGTTGTATGGATATCACGGTGCAGAGTTTGATAACAGAGGAGTTTTACGCTTGACTGCTTCTCTTTCACTCCTGGATAGATGCTTACTGCATTGTGTTGCTCCAGTACTTTTATTATTTGCAATGACAAGAAAGTTGAATCAAATCCAATCTAACCTGTGCTGATTTGATTTTTGTCTCTCTCTGTTTTTCTCTACTCTCTTGCTCTCTTTTTTCTTGTTCCAAGGTGACTTCCATTGAGTCAAAGCTGGACTCTTTGTTGGACGTTTACCGCCAGGTCCTCCAGAAAGGCCCCACAGCCCTCACTCTCTCCTCCCTGCCGCTGTTCGAGCTGGACAACCACCAGCACCTCAACTCAGACTACCAGACCTCCGTCATCAGACCCTCTTCTCCCCAGGGGGGGGATCTTGTTGGAGGCGGAGGAGAAAACCGTGGAGGATTACGCCGTTCTCTCAGCGCCAACCCCAGAGGCCTGCGTCTCATCCTGGCTCCTTCCGATGACGACGGCCCCCCGGACTCAGCCCCTCCATCCTACCCCCCGTCCACAGCCTCTCTCTCCCCGTCCCCCCTGCTGCCTCCTGATAGCCCCTATCCAACCTTGGTCACCCCCAATGGTACCTCCAAAAGAGCACACTTCCCTGACCTGCCTCCTCCACCTCCATCCTCAGGGGGCTTCACCCTCCGTCTGCCCCCCCCTGCTGCATCCCTCCCACCTCCGATGCTCCACCGACCCCCTCCCAGATGAAATGAAAGACGTGCTGCCGTTGGATGAGGGCAGCCTGGGCCCATCTGTGGTTCTTGGGTCCAGTGTGGATGCTGAGCAGGAAGCGGACGGTGGTGCGGGGGTGCAGTCACAGGAGGGGGTCTGGAGGAGGAACATGAGCCTGGAGGTCAACCCCCTGCTGCTGCTCTCATCGAGCCCAGACGAGAGGCCTTCAGACTGGGGAGGCTCCCTCTCTGTGCACAACCTCAGCCAGCCTTTGAGCAACCATAACCCCGGTCTGTCTTCCGCGCTCAACAACAGCAACGGTAGCAGCAACGGTAGCAGACACGGTAACGCCCACGTTGACCTCAGCAACTGGGATGGAACAGAACTCTTAATTAGTGAGTGCAAGGTAGAGCCAGCTGAAGAACATTTCAACTTCTTGTCCCAGGAACCGGACCCCTCAGACCTCTTACAGACTGCGGAGGAGGAGGCTCCTCCCCCAGAGTTCCTCAGTCAGTCGCCACACATACACCTGGCATAACCACACACACACACACACACACACACACACACACACACACACACACACACACACACACACACACACACACACACACACACACATCATTTTAAGGAAATGTACACAAATACAAACTTTCCTTGAAAATAAAAAATGTTGGTCTTTATCTAAGGATATTTGGAGATGTAACTTTTTACAAAAACAGATTGTTCATATACAATGACATCAATACAAAAAAGTTGATCAAATTGATGTTTGTTTTAAATAAAGACCCAGGAAAGATAGTGATTTCTGAGCCTGCAGTCTGACACCTTCTAAACTAATGTTAGAAGCAAATACAAATAATTTGTTTACAGCAGTCCTTCATATTAACTCAAAGGAAAAGACTGTATGATTGTATCAAAGCCAACATGGGTGCATATAACAACAATCTATTGTCTAGTTGAACCTCACACATGCCACAGTTACATGCCCTCACATACAACCACTCTATCACACACACAAAAACACACTGACACATGCAACCATCAACCACAATCACCACTAACTCCAGCTAACTTGACAAAGAGCTGTGACTGACTTTATACTTTTTTGTTTTCATACAAGTGCTTGTATTCAGAGACTTTGTCGAAAAGGAGTGTCACTCACTCTCCTTATTCAATGTCTGTCTTTGGCAATGTGAAATGTCATCTTTTACTTTCATACATATCACTGCATGGACTGTTTCCAAAAAAAATAATGAATGAAATTAGAACTATAGGTGGGGCCTGGTATGATGGGAATATCTGAAATATAAAAAGAGTTCAAAGCATCCTCAGCATGTATTTAGACCCAAAGCTCCCGTTCTGTTTCTACAACCACAGAAATATTAGTTAATGTTTATCTGGCTGTTTAGTTTTGTCTTTCAGCTAGTTGTCTGTAAATTTGGATCGGACAAACTTACTTGGAGAAGATTTCTTATCAGCAATCGGTAAAGACAAAGTGCTGGACTATGTCTGAATAGTGAATTGCAGTAGGTTTATCAAGCTGAGCATGAGATGCTGCATGTCTAAGCTGTTGCAATAAGAGCAGTTACACAACGCTGGTGGCCTGGATGTCCTTCTGCATGTTAATGCAACGTTATGTATGTAGTTATTGTTTGTTTTTTATTTAGCCCCCCCCACACACAACTGTTGGACAGCTTTTAACTTCACAAGTGCAAGTCCTGACTGCACGGCTAACGGCTAACTCGCCGATAGCTGCAATTGTTAGTTAGAAGTTTTTAGTTGCCCTAGCAGAAGGTAAAGCTTTTTGTACATCAGGAAACTCCGTAAATCATAGTTAGTCGAGGGAAATCAGAAAACATTTTGTCAATTTAATATGACCCAGTTCCACTAAAATCAACTTAGTGCCATGAAGCCTTATGCACTTCTCCTGGGAGAATGAATGAAGCAATCACCTAAGTGATGTAGTTAAAGAACAGATGTTCAGAGGTGCCATTCTCCCTATTACACCTTTAAAATGATTTGTAAGCTCTTACAAATAGCTAATGTTGCTTTAAAGCAATGTTTCCTCAAAATCCTAATCACTAGAGTGTGAACAAAGACTGCATATATGAACATTATATATCCTAATTTGAACTCATTTAAATTTAGTTATATGAATAACCCACTTACAATGACCTTTTAGAACAAACATACAACCTCTTTTAATTTGTTTTGTTGACAAACCCTGTCTTTTTACTGGGTGCTGTTTGCACCTTGTGCATCAATAATGATTAGAGGCTGCTGGACTAAACATATTCCCTCCTCCCAATCCAGAGCACAGTAGGGGTAGTGAGGAGTTACAGGGCCACATGTGCAATGCACAGACTCCACTTATAACATATCAGGTTATTTTGGATTCACCTGAGAAACCCATGATAACAATGTACTGTACATGCACTGTTGTTGATCCAGTATGCGTGTTGTTACTTGATCCATGTGTCCCTTCTGCTGCTGACAAAAATGTGATGTATTCAAATTGTAAATCAGGAGCGAGGGTGGATGAGATGAGAAAGATTTGCCATATTATCTTAATACAAAATGCTTATAGATATTTTCTGTGACTCTTGCATTTTCAACATTCAGCTGGTGCACTTATTCAGAGACAGAATTGAATCTGAGATTGAGATTAAAATGTGTTTGTTGTGTGGCTGCTTAAAAGTTGTCTGCTGCCCCCCTGAAAAATATGTTTAGTTTACCACCATTTTGTATGTGCATGTACTTCCTCCTCATCACATCAATCATAATTACAATACTTAACCAATTAGGGTTATTATGATACGCTTAAAAACACTCAAGTGCACATATGTATATGTGCAGTAAGTCCATATTCAGATTGTTTTCACTGGCAGGTTAAAGGAAGATGAGGCATTGCAAGTGTCCTAACACTCAATGCCATCCTGCTTGTTGACTGCTATTGAATCAGAATAATGCAAAAAACTATGTCCGCCATCTTAATTTTTGTTAGCCATTTTGATTTGTTTTTGCATGTTTACCTCTTAGGGGTTTGCCGTCACAGCAGTCTTAAAAATGTATTTTAATGTGTTAATGACAACCTTGATTCATCATTGTTTTTTTCAGATATTTTCCCTTTGTGTTAAATGGTGAGTAAGTGCATCGCTTAGCAAATTAATATTCTGTAGTAGAATATAACAAGTATTATCTCCTAACAAATTAAAATTGTAAACACTTGATTTTGAAATATTCTACAGCCCATGCAGACGTTTTTTCTGGTATGATGAAATATATTATCAACGTTGAAAGCACAGCTGTTTTTGAAGAGTTTGAGGAGCCTGAAAATGTGACATGGTAGTTTAAGACTTAATATTGGAATAGATTTTTTTGTAGTTATTGATTGAGCTTTGCTACATATGAAAAGAGGCCAATAAGAACTGTCTGTTGCTTTGAAACGAGATGTCAAACACAAGGAAAGCCCATGGATTGTTCCTGTCATACAACATGCTCAGTTTTGCTATCTGTAAATTGCTTAAGGGTGCCTTTCTTGCATATGAAAAGTATTTTTTTTTTTCACGAGGCTATAAAGGTCCTGTCCACAGACTTTAAATGGCTTTGATGGCTAATAATACAATTTCTCTACTGCTTGAACAGTAATGTATTACACAACTGGGCCTTAAAGCTTGATAATGTTAACATTTTTATTTCTTTGAAATTAATTTATTAAAGTGCACATTATGTTCTCTCTTGATGAGAAATGCAAAAATAATTTTATTATTCTATAATAAAGTACAAATCAACTAAACTGTTTTTGTTTGTGTCTTTGATTTACTGTTCCGATCAACATTTAAACAAAAAAGTCAAGTAAGTAACACATGATGGTCATGATGCCTGTTTGGATTGTATATTCAGGGTAGTGAACAATGGGTAAAAGTTAAAGTATCTATTAATATTTTCGCAAATTCCTCCACCTTTCTGTGCTACACTATCAATTTGACAATTATAAGATTATTAACTACATTCAGTGTTAATAAATTAAATAATTGTCAAAATCTTACCAATTTTCATAGTTACTTTTGGTACTTTAAGTATATTTTGATGCAAATGTGTTTATACTTTTACTTGAGTAACCTGGCTTTGAATACAGGACTTTTACTTGTAACAGAGTATTCCTACTTTTACTTAAGTACAAGATCTGAGTACTTCTCCAACCGTTGATAAGTTCAATATTTATCAAAATCTCTCCACAAAAAAAAACGTGGAAGTATAAACTCACAGAGGTTACATGAAGGCGGCATTCTTGATTGACAGCTAATTGTGACGCAGTGAGTTAGCAGCATGTATGTATGGTTAGCAGGTGGAGAGCCAAATTGAAAATGGCCGACTGGGAAGATGAGTACGACGTGGATGGCGTTGCTATTCAAAAACCTGCCACAACATCAGCTCCAACTGAGTGGAAACCGTACCGCGATGACAGTCAGAAACAAAGTGTATCTTTCGGTGTGAGAAATGGAACCCGGTCTGCAGCCTCCAGAGATTGGCAAGCGGACCGTGGCGACCAGGAATCTGAATATAGAAGTCGTCGAGGCGGGGGCGAAGGTCGATCGTTTCCCTGGAGCTCCGGAGGCCCAGGACGGGGAACCTATGGCGATGAAAAGTCGGACTCTTCACAGCCTGTGACTTTCGCCGTGGAAAATAGTTTAGTTGGCAGGATAATAGGTATGTTTTTAAAACAGTTATTCCAGTTTTAAATTGTGCTATAAATGTTTGGAACCTATGCTAAATTGTATTGCTAGCTATGCTAAATCACTAGCTAGGCTAAATCACTAGCTAGGCTAAATCACTAGCTATGCTAAATCTGCGGCCTTTGACGTTAGAGCAAATTGGTGAGTGACTGTACTCTATTGCAATGCCTGTGAATGTCAATGTACTTTAATTGACATGTTATATTTCCATAGCAGTATATTTACTTCAAAATGTTTTTATTTAATCCGTTGTTCGCTATTTTAGCCTAGGCCAAGTTAGCGTTGCTAGGCTAAGCAGTCACATGGCATTGGTTGCATAATAGTAATTCTGCACATATTCAGGAACGTGTGTGGGTATGATCTGTAACATTGCGTTAGTGTAGTTTATGTTGCTCTCTTTCCCCTGCTGCACTTACAAGTGTGTAGATATGTTTGGTTAGACATTAAACACATTTTAATCTTGTTAAAGGTAAAGGAGGAGCCAACATCCGTGAACTTGAAGAGAGCACTGGTGCAAGGATTAAGGCAAGTTGGGTGACGTTAGTGTCAAGCTAATGATGTTGGCGCACATCCATAAAAATGTGGATTTATTTTTATACTACTGGGTTGCTTTAACCTATAATAATGTATTATTGGTTTGTATTAATCTAAATCCTCAAAGTAGCTAATTAAATCGGTAAAATACATGTAGTAGTCTAAAAGTATCACAGTGTGAGACTGACAATATATCATATTATAGGGTAGTTTTTGGCGTCATTGCAGAGTCTTTACAGCACATGGTCAGGGCATGTTTAGGAAAGAGCTGCATGGATTGATCAAGTTGCCGATTTACATTATAAGCCATCAATTTCAGTAAACAATAAGTCAAAATCGCTTGATTTCAGCTTCTTACTGTAAATCTCAATATTTTCTGGTGTCTCTTGCCCTATGACAGTAATGTAAACAACTTTTAAATTGTGGACAAAACAAGTAATATGAGGTCCTTTTGGGCTTTGAGAAACACTGATTGACATGTTCACCTTTTTGACATAGAGACCAAATACTAGTTAATCTAGATTAATAATCAGATTATTTGACCCTGGTAAAAAATCATTGTTTGCAGCGCTAGTATAGGATGTTTGATGTATTCCCTTTATCTCAGCAGTTTTTTTTTTATTCACTTTTTACATTGTAGGTAAACAAAGGGGACTATCAAGGTGAGGTGGTCCTCTTGGGGTCCTCTGAAGCCCAGCAGAAGGCCAAGGAGATGATTGAAGAACTGGTGTCAGATAGCAACTCTCAAAATGGTAATTATTCTGAAAACTATCTATCATGAAAGCATTCAATTAGGTGCAAAATATCCTTCCACAAGTCTCATCCCATAGATGTTGTCAAATGTGACGCTTTGTCCTCAGAATCACATTTTTCTGCATGTGAAAACATTCTAGATTTTTATTTAGCAGGGCCACATTAAATGTTCAAACGGGTAGGATATTAAAGGAGAGGTGTCATGGCCATTTCCACTGATCATAATTCCATTGTTGAGGTCTACTAGAATAGATTTATATTGTGCATTTTTCCAAACTCACATTGGTTTCTCATACAGCATCTCTGTAAACTACGTGTATTCACTGAATTTCACTCTCTGCCTTTAACGGCTCGTTGTAGCTCTAATAGCTCCAGCCCCCACCCTCCCTGTGAGCACAGTGTGCTCTGATTGGTCGGGACGTTGTGAATCACGCTGAGCTCCGTGGAGGTGTTGTTTCCTTGTTAGCGATACACAGCCAAACTCATCCTGAGCACACACAAACTCACATCCGAAGTAAAAACAATAAGTGTGGCTTGATATTGAGTGAGAAAAAGGTTGATAAACGCTGAGAGAATGGGTCTGCAGAGAGAATTTCGCCGCGATCCCAACTGTCTGTTATCAGCCTGCAGCCAGGGAGGAGAAATCAGCTGAGCTCCCTGCACACAGATGTGTGTGTGTGTGTGAGGAAGTCTGTGGATTGGTCAAATTGGACCAATCAGCGGGGGCTTAACATAACGGCTCCGCGGACGTAAAGGTAACGGCTCCACGGATTGGTCCATTTCGTTCCGCGTACGGCTTGACATCATGCCGTCCCGGAAGAATCAAATGGACAATGACGTATCTCCAACGAGGCGTTTTGGGGAGGTATTTTCTGTGTTAGTTTTACTCGCTACAGGGTGTACTTTGAGGGTTTTGACTCTGCACACCGTTTACATGCATAAAAACCTTCATAACACACAAGGGGACGGGTAATAACCGGAAAAGCATGACACCTCTCCTTTAAGCCAAATATGGGACTAGGATGGTTTACAAAATGTCACCACTAGGTGTCACATTTAGCAGCCCATACAGTGTGGAATATATCCCCCCCCAGCTTTCTTACACTTTGTTTCTGCACAGCCTCCGGAGGCCCAGGACGGGGAACCTTTGGCGATGAAAAGTCGGACTCTTCACAGCCTGTGACTTTCACCGTGGAAAATGGTTTAGTTGGCAGGATAATAGGTATGTTTTAAAAACAGTTATTCCAGTTTTAAATTGTGCTATAAATGTTTGGAACCTATGCTAAATTGTATTGCTAGCTATGCTAAATCACTAGCTAGGCTAAATCAGCGGACTTCAGTTGGTGTCAAACTGTTAGACGTTAGAGCAAATTGGTGAAGGACTGTACTCCAGTTTCACAGCCTGTGAATGTCAATGTACTTTAATTGACATGTTATATTTCCATAGCAGTACATTCACTTCAAAATGTTTTTATTTCATCCGTTGGAGCTAAATGCTACTGTTAGCTATCTACATTAGCCTATGCCAAGTTAACGTTAGTTAGGCTAAGCAGTCACATGGCAATGGTTGTGTGATCCCCATTCTGCACAGATTCAGGAACGTGTGTGGGTATGATCTGTAACATTGCGTTATATCTTGTTAAAGGTAAAGGAGGAGCCAAAATCCGTGAACTTGAAGAAAGCACTGGTGCAAGGATTAAGGCAAGTTGGGTGACGTTAGTGTCAAGCTAATGATGTTGGCGCACATCCATGAAAATGTGGATTTATTTTTATACTACTGGGTTGCTTTAACCTATAATAATGTATTATTGGTTTGTATTAATCTAAATCCTCAAAGTAGCTTATTAAATCGGTAAAATACATGTAGTAGTCTAAAAGTATCATAGTGTGAGACTGACAATATATCATATTATAGGGTAGTTTTTGGCGTCATTGCAGAGTCTTTACAGCACATGGTCAGGGCATGTTTAGGAAAGAGCTGCATGGATTGATCAAGTTGCCGATTTACATTATAAGCCATCAATTTCAGTAAACAATAAGTCAAAATCGCTTGATTCCAGCTTCTTACTGTAAATCTCAATATTTTCTGGTGTCTCTTGCCCTATGACAGTAATGTAAACAACTTTAAATTGTGGACAAAACAAGTAATATGAGGTCCTTTTGGGCTTTGAGAAACACTGATTGACATGTTCACCTTTTTGACATAGAGACCAAATACTAGTTAATCTAGATTAATAATCATCAGATTATTTGACCCTGGTAAAAAAATCATTGTTTGCAGCGCTAGTATAGGATGTTTGATGTATTCCCTTTATCTCAGCAGTTTTTTGTATTCACTTTTTACATTGTAGGTAAACAAAGGGGACTATCAAGGTGAGGTGGTCCTCTTGGGGTCCTCTGAAGCCCAGCAGAAGGCCAAGGAGATGATTGAAGAACTGGTGTCAGATAGCAACTCTCAAAATGGTAATTATTCTGAAAACTATCTATCATGAAAGCATTCAATTAGGTGCAAAATATCCTTCCACAAGTCTCATCCCATAGATGTTGTCAAATGTGACGCTTTGTCCTCAGAATCACATTTTTCTGCATGTGAAAACATTCTAGATTTTATTTAGCAGGGCCACATTAAATGTTCAAACGGGTAGGATATTAAAGGAGAGGTGTCATGGCCATTTCCACTGATCATAATTCCATTGTTGAGGTCTACTAAAATAGATTTATATTGTGCATTTTTCCAAACTCACATTGGTTTCTCATACAGCATCTCTGTAAACTACGTGTATTCACTGAATTTCACTCTCTGCCTTTAACGGCTCGTTGTAGCTCCAATAGCTCCAGCCCCCACCCTCCCTGTGAGCACAGTGTGCTCTGATTGGTCGGGACGTTGTGAATCACGCTGAGCTCCGTGGAGGTGTTGTTTCCTTGTTAGCGATACACAGCCAAACACAGCCTCAGCACACACAAACTCACATCCGAAGTAAAAACAATAAGTTTGGCTTGATATTGAGTGAGAAAAAGGTTGATCAACGCTGTGAGAATGGGTCTGCAGAGAGAATTTCGCCGCGATCCCAACTGTCTGTTATCAGCCTGCAGCCAGGGAGGAGAAATCAGCAGAGCTCCCTGCACACAGATGTGTGTGTGTGTGAGGAAGTCCGTGGATTGGTCAATTTGGACCAATCAGCGGGGGCTTAACATAACGGCTCCGCGGACGTAAAGGTAACGGCTCCACGGATTGGTCCATTTCGTTCCGCGTATGGCTTGACATCATGCCGTCCCGGAAGAATCAAATGGACAATGACGTATCTCCAACGAGGCGTTTTGGGGAGGTATTTTCTGTGTTAGTTTTACTCGCTACAGGGTGTACTTTGAGGGTTTTGACTCTGCACACCGTTTACATGCATAAAAACCTTCATAACACACAAGGGGACGGGTAATAACCGGAAAAGCATGACACCTCTCCTTTAAGCCAAATATGGGACTAGGATGGTTTACAAAATGTCACCACTAGGTGTCACACTTAGCAGCCCATACAGTGTGGAATATATCCCCCCCAGCTTTCTTACACTTTGTTTCTGCACAGCCTCCGGAGGCCCAGGACGGGGAACCTTTGGCGATGAAAAGTCGGACTCTTCACAGCCTGTGACTTTCACCGTGGAAAATGGTTTAGTTGGCAGGATAATAGGTATGTTTTAAAAACAGTTATTCCAGTTTTAAATGGTGCTATAAACGTGTGGAACCTATGCTAAATTGTATTGCTAGCTATGCTAAATCACTAGCTAGGCTAAATCAGCGGACTTCAGTTGGTGTCAAACTGTTAGACGTTAGAGCAAATTGGTGAGGGACTGTACTCCAGTTTCACAGCCTGTGAATGTCAATGTACTTTAATTGACATGTTATATTTCCATAGCAGTACATTCACTTCAAAATGTTTTTATTTCATCCGTTGGAGCTAAATGCTACTGTTAGCTATCTACATTAGCCTATGCCAAGTTAACGTTAGTTAGGCTAAGCAGTCACATGGCAATAGTTGTGTGATCCCCATTCTGCACAGATTCAGGAACGTGTGTGGGTATGATCTGTAACATTGCGTTATATCTTGTTAAAGGTAAAGGAGGGGCCAAAATCCGTGAACTTGAAGAGAGCACTGGTGCAAGGATTAAGGCAAGTTGGGTGACGTTAGTGTCAAGCTAATGATGTTGGCGCACATCCATGAAAATGTGGATTTATTTTTATACTACTGGGTTGCTTTAACCTATAATAATGTATTATTGGTTTGTATTAATCTAAATCCTCAAAGTAGCTAATTAAATCGGTAAAATACATGTAGTAGTCTAAAAGTATCATAGTGTGAGACTGACAATATATCATATTATAGAGTAGTTTTTGGCGTCATTGCAGAGTCTTTACAGCACATGGTCAGGGCATGTTTAGGAAAGAGCTGCATGGATTGATCAAGTTGCCGATTTACATTATAAGCCATCAATTTCAGTAAACAATAAGTCAAAATCGCTTGATTCCAGCTTCTTACTGTAAATCTCAATATTTTCTGGTGTCTCTTGCCCTATGACAGTAATGTAAACAACTTTAAATTGTGTACAAAACAAGTAATATGAGGTCCTTTTGGGCTTTGAGAAACACTGATTGACATGTTCACCTTTTTGACATAGAGACCAAATACTAGTTAATCTAGATTAATAATCATCAGATTATTTGACCCTGGTAAAAAAATCATTGTTTGCAGCGCTAGTATAGGATGTTTGATATATTCCCTTTATCTCAGCAGTTTTTTGTATTCACTTTTTACATTGTAGGTAAACAAAGGGGACTATCAAGGTGAGGTGGTCCTCTTGGGGTCCTCTGAAGCCCAGCAGAAGGCCAAGGAGATGATTGAAGAACTGGTGTCAGATAGCAACTCTCAAAATGGTAATTATTCTGAAAACTATCTATCATGAAAGCATTCAATTAGGTGCAAAATATCCTTCCACAAGTCTCATCCCATAGATGTTGTCAAATGTGACGCTTTGTCCTCAGAATCACATTTTTCTGCATGTGAAAACATTCTAGATTTTTATTTAGCAGGGCCACATTAAATGTTCAAACGGGTAGGATATTAAAGGAGAGGTGTCATGGCCATTTCCACTGATCATAATTCCATTGTTGAGGTCTACTAAAATAGATTTATATTGTGCATTTTTCCAAACTCACATTGGTTTCTCATACAGCATCTCTGTAAACTACGTGTATTCACTGAATTTCACTCTCTGCCTTTAACGGCTCGTTGTAGCTCTAATAGCTCCAGCCCCCACCCTCCCTGTGAGCACAGTGTGCTCTGATTGGTCGGGACGTTGTGAATCACGCTGAGCTCCGTGGAGGTGTTGTTTCCTTGTTAGCGATACACAGCCAAACTCATCCTGAGCACACACAAACTCACATCCGAAGTAAAAACAATAAGTGTGGCTTGATATTGAGTGAGAAAAAGGTTGATAAACGCTGTGAGAATGGGTCTGCAGAGAGAATTTCGCCGCGATCCCAACTGTCTGTTATCAGCCTGCAGCCAGGGAGGAGAAATCAGCAGAGCTCCCTGCACACAGATGTGTGTGTGTGTGTGTGTGTGAGGAAGTCCGTGGATTGGTCAATTTGGACCAATCAGCGGGGGCTTAACATAACGGCTCCGCGGACGTAAAGGTAACGGCTCCACGGATTGGTCCATTTCGTTCCGCGTACGGCTTGACATGCCGTCCCGGAAGAATCAAATGGACAATGACGTATCTCCAACGAGGCGTTTTGGGGAGGTATTTTCTGTGTTAGTTTTACTCGCTACAGGGTGTACTTTGAGGGTTTTGACTCTGCACACCGTTTACATGCATAAAAACCTTCATAACACACAAGGGGACGGGTAATAACCGGAAAAGCATGACACCTCTCCTTTAAGCCAAATATGGGACTAGGATGGTTTACAAAATGTCACCACTAGGTGTCACACTTAGCAGCCCATACAGTGTGGAATATATCCCCCCCAGCTTTCTTACACTTTGTTTCTGCACAGCCTCCGGAGGCCCAGGACGGGGAACCTTTGGCGATGAAAAGTCGGACTCTTCACAGCCTGTGACTTTCACCGTGGAAAATGGTTTGGTTGGCAGGATAATAGGTATGTTTTAAAAACAGTTATTCCAGTTTTAAATTGTGCTATAAACGTGTGGAACCTATGCTAAATTGTATTGCTAGCTATGCTAAATCACTAGCTAGGCTAAATCAGCGGACTTCAGTTGGTGTCAAACTGTTAGACGTTAGAGCAAATTGGTGAGGGACTGTACTCCAGTTTCACAGCCTGTGAATGTCAATGTACTTTAATTAACATGTTATATTTCCATAGCAGTACATTCACTTCAAAATGTTTTTATTTCATCCGTTGGAGCTAAATGCTACTGTTAGCTATCTACATTAGCCTATGCCAAGTTAACGTTAGTTAGGCTAAGCAGTCACATGCAGGGATGCAAACTTGTCACCTTTCGGCGAAATTCGCCGTTTTGAATCCAAAATAGGTCGTTTGTGTGATTCATGTAGATCTGCAATAAAAATATTTTTGGGGTATGGGGGGGGTCTGGGACCCGGAGTAATCTGCGGCCGCGAGCTGTTATGTGCCATCATGACACGCATGGTGTTCTTTTTTTATATATTATAATGAAGCGGGAGCTGTGTGCTTGAGTCTTCCTGCCTGTCGGCTCTGCTCATGGATGTATAATAAGGCTCCGGGATGAGGGTCTAGCTTCAGCAGCTACATTACCTACGGTGCGTTCGTTAATATTAACTGTGAGGTCCGGAGTCACTGTGGCACAGACTGGACCGCTGGTGAACAGCTGTTAGAACGGGCCTGTCGGAGCGGCAGAGCGTGATGTGCACTGAAAAGTTTTTCTGTCGCAATATTATTTAAGGAATCGTTGAGCTAGCTAACTAGCATACATTGTCACTATCTGCTAACGTTAGCTTTAGCCTTCGTTTTCAAATAGCTTTTTTCATAGGCTATAAACGGAGGTGGTATAAGTATATATCTTGTACTTGAGTAAAAATAGAAGCACTCAGATCTTGTACTAGAGTAAAAGTAGAAGTACTCAGATCTTGTACTTGAGTAAAAGTAGAAGCACTCAGATCTTGTACTAGAGTAAAAGTAGAAGCACTCGGATCTTGTACTTGAGTAAAAGTAGAAGCACTCAGATCTTGTACTTGAGTAAAAGTAGAAGTACTCGGGTCTTGTACTTGAGTAAAAGTAGAAGTACTCAGGTCTTGTACTTGAGTAAAAGTAGAAGTACTCGGGTCTTGTACTTGAGTAAAAGTAGAAGTACCAGAGTGTAGGAATACTCTGTTACAGTAAAAGTCCTGCATTCAAAATGTTCCTCAAAAGTATTCATTGTGCAGATTGGTCCATTTCAGAATAATATATATGATGTGTTTTATAATGATTGATCATGAAAGTGTTCTCAAAGCTGGTAAAGGTGCAGCTAGTTTGAATGACTTTGTATACTGCAGGGTAGCTTGTGAATTTACTCCAGGTGGAACTAAAGTCTGATTTAACAAAAAAGTACACCTTTTACCTCTGAATTGTAGAGGAGAAGAAGAACAAAGTAGCAACACATTGAAATACTTAAATAAAGTACAAGTATCTCAAAATTGTACCCAAGTATAGTACTTGAGTTTATGAACTTAGTTACTTTACACCAGTGGCTATGAAGATAGAAAGACTAAGCCTTGCACAGAGGCATGAAAATACATTTTCAAAATGCTCAACAGTGCTGCCAAAATTATAAACTGACTGCTACACAATTAAAATAAATGCTTTTATACATTTCTATTAGATGTGACTCTTTGGCGTTTCTGTTATTAACTGCTTTAGTTGTTCTGACTGCTAAGATCCTCTGTTATTCCGTGGGGTCGGGGGGCTCGGATCCTTGTCACCTTTTTCATACCTGATGAGTTTGCATCCCTGCACATGGCAATGGTTGTGTGATCCCCATTCTGCACAGATTCAGGAACGTGTGTGGGTATGATCTGTAACATTGCGTTATATCTTGTTAAAGGTAAAGGAGGAGCCAAAATCCGTGAACTTGAAGAAAGCACTGGTGCAAGGATTAAGGCAAGTTCAGTGTCGTTAGTGTCAAGCTAATGATGTTAGCGCACATCCATGAAAATGTGGATTTATTTTTATACTACTGGGTAGTTTTAACCTATAATAATGTATTATTGGTTTGTATTAATCTAAATCCTCAAAGTAGCTAATTAAATCGGTAAAATACATGTAGTAGTCTAAAAGTATCACAGTGTGAGACTGACAATATATCATATTATAGGGTAGTTTTTGGCGTCATTGCAGAGCCTTTACAGCACATGGTCAGGGCATGTTTAGGAAAGAGCTGCATGGATTGATCAAGTTGCCGATTTACATTATAAGTAAACAATAAGTCAAAATCGCTTGATTCCAGCTTCTTAAATGTCAATATTTTCTGGTGTCTCTTGCCCTATGACAGTAATGTAAACAACTTTAAATTGTGGACAAAACAAGTAATATGAGGTCCTTTTGGGCTTTGAGAAACACTGATTGACATGTTCACCTTTTTGACATAGAGACCAAATACTAGTTAATCTAGATTAATAATCAGATTATTTGACCCTGGTAAAAAAATCATTGTTTGCAGCGCTAGTATAGGATGTTTGATGTATTCCCTTTATCTCAGCAGTTTTTTTTTATTCACTTTTTACATTGTAGGTAAACAAAGGGGACTATCAAGGTGAGGTGGTCCTCTTGGGGTCCTCTGAAGCCCAGCAGAAGGCCAAGGAGATGATTGAAGAACTGGTGTCAGATAGCAACTCTCAAAATGGTAATTATTCTGAAAACTATCTATCATGAAAGCATTCAATTAGGTGCAAAATATCCTTCCACAAGTCTCATCCCATAGATGTTGTCAAATGTGACGCTTTGTCCTCAGAATCACATTTTTCTGCATGTGAAAACATTCTAGATTTTTATTTAGCAGGGCCACATTAAATATTCAAACGGGTAGGATATTAAGCCAAATATGGGACTAGGCTTGTTTACAAAATGTCACCACTAGGCAGAGGTGGGGACTCAAGTCACATGACTTGACTCGAGTCAGACTCGAGTCGCATATTTTTTGACTTGAGACTTGCTTGACTAACATTGATAAAAGACTTGACTTGACTTTGACTTGGTATCCATGACTTGAGACTTGACTTAAGCTTGAGACAGATGACTTGAAAGGACTTGACTTTTTAAAATTAAATATTTGTGTTTGTTTTTGTAGTGAGATATTACGTTTAGTTTTTTGTGATTGTGAATGTGATTGGGTGATTATAGCGCCGTGCGCGCAAACCTGGCAACCCACTAGACGGTAGGAGTGTCAGTTAACATGGCAGCGGCTAGCGTTACTCCAAAAATAGTGAAGTTTGGATTCAAGGATTATGTTGTCGATGACGCTAATAAGAAGAGAACATCGGTATGCAGGGTCTGCAGCATAAAGATCAGTGACAGGACCACCACAACATCCAACTTCATTCGTCACTGCAAAAAAAACCACAGAGAAAGGTGCGTGAATGTGTTGTGTTAGCTAGAAAGCTAACGTTAAGTTTAAGCTACGTTAGACTTGGTTTCAAATCGATTAAGCATTGCAAAGAGAAGACAAAACGGTAAATGAACACTAGAACCACCAAGGGATTCATTTGTACTAACCCCGATACTGACGGGCTGTCAGGAGAGGGAGAGAGAGAGAGGAAAAGAGATGCCTCGTTTATTTCCCCTGTGTTATTATCAGAAGTTACTGTAAACTGTTGAATAATGTAGTTCATCTACTTTTAGTAGTTTGTTTAAATGTTTTAATTATGTTGTTTTTGTTTGTAGAAGTGCATCATTCCTTGATTTATTGTAAAATGAATCTGAACTTTTTGATCTGTTATGATGATAAACTGAAGCAATTTCTAAATTAACCCAATTAAGTGAGTTTTAAATCGTCCTACTTAGTTTATAAGGAAATGAAGAGGACAAATTAAATGATTTGAAAATGATATCTATGTAGGTGCTGACGCTGTTGGCGGTTCTAGTGTTAACAGAAATTTAAATTAAATATGTGTAATGGCAAATGCCATATATGATTTTCTTACCTGGAATTCTGCCTTTTTGAACAGACTTTTTGTCCTAGCTATATTGTCTGCAGTTCTAGGGTTAATATTAATCTAATATGATTGTCATCGGTCTAAATTAGATTTCAAATGATTAACTGTGTATGTAATGAAGATCATAGTGTGGGTTGAATCCATTTTCATAACCACTGTCTTTTAACTGATTTAAATGCGGAAACTGGGCTTATTCATCAGAATTTCACTTGACTTGACTTGACTTGACCTGAGCAATGACTTGACTTGCTTGACTCTCACCACAGTGACTTGGGACTTGCTTGATACTTGTAGGTCAAGACTTGAGACTTGCTCATGACTTGCACATGTAGGACTTACTCCCACCTCTGCCACTAGGTGTCACACTTAGCAGCCCATACAGTGTGGAATATATCCCCCCCAGCTTTCTTACACTTTGTTTCTGCACAGCCTCCGGAGGCCCAGGACGGGGAACCTTTGGCGATGAAAAGTCGGACTCTTCACAGCCTGTGACTTTCACCGTGGAAAATGGTTTGGTTGGCAGGATAATAGGTATGTTTTAAAAACAGTTATTCCAGTTTTAAATTGTGCTATAAACGTGTGGAACCTATGCTAAATTGTATTGCTAGCTATGCTAAATCACTAGCTAGGCTAAATCAGCGGACTTCAGTTGGTGTCAAACTGTTAGACGTTAGAGCAAATTGGTGAGGGACTGTACTCTATTTTCACAGCCTGTGAATGTCATTAGCCGCATTCACACAAAGTACTTTGCCGTACTTAGTGCCGGCACTTAGTGCACTTATTACTCCAGGGCACTTAGTACAGATCGCGTTCACACCGGAATAAGTTCCCTGAGGGAAGATTACGCAAATGAGCCGCTGACGTCACATCGTCTTCTTCTGCTTTGGGTTTACTGGCAGGCCGCAAACCACTTCACGGTGTATACTGCCACCCGAAGTCCCCGGCCGGAAGTCCCCGGAGTTGGGGACTGGCTGAAGCCGAAGCTGCTGGGACTCCCAGCAGCTTCTACTGAAGCCAGTCAGCGATAGGGAGTAAATCGCCAGAACGCCGACACCTCCTCATCACTCCACCGCTCCCATGTTTTCTTTTGTGTTGCCATAAGTTAGTCTCTCTGCGTTTGTGCGCTGGGCTAATGCTAATGCTAATAATGCTAATGCGAGTATAATAAAATGGCGGCTCTACAAAACATTTCAGAGTTTTACGGGCCGTGGTTTGCAATTCGCCCAGCCAATCAGTACTGGGGCACTTTTTTCCCCCAGGAAAGTACCATCTCTCAGCAGGCACTAAAAATGGGGGTAAAAGTTCCCGGCACTCGGTACTCTTTTTGGTGTGAACGCGACATAAGAGGTACTAACGGAACTAAACGCGAAAAGTACGGGGGAAAGTACTCCGGTGTGAACGCGGCTAATGTACTTTAATTGACATGTTATATTTCCATAGCAGTACATTCACTTCAAAATGTTTTTATTTCATCCGTTGGAGCTAAATGCTACTGTTAGATATCTACATTAGCCTATGCCAAGTTAACGTTAGTTAGGCTAAGCAGTCACATGGCAATGGTTGTGTGATCCCCATTCTGCACAGATTCAGGAACATGTGTGTGGGTATGATCTGTAACATTGCGTTATATCTTGTTAAAGGTAAAGGAGGATCCAAAATCCGTGAACTTGAAGAAAGCACTGGTGCAAGGATTAAGGCAAGTTCAGTGTCGTTAGTGTCAAGCTAATGATGTTGGCGCACATCCATGAAAATGTGGATTTATTTTTATACTACTGGGTTGCTTTAACCTATAATGTATTATTGGTTTGTATTAATCTAAATCCTCAAAGTAGCTTATTAAATCGGTAAAATACATGTAGTGGTCTAGGATGTTTGATATCTTCCCTTTTATCTCAGCAGTTTTTTGTATTCACTTTTTACATTGTAGATAAACAAAGGGGACTATGAAGGTGAGGTGGTCCTCTTGGGGTCCTCTGAAGCCCAGCAGAAGGCCAAGGAGATGATTGAAGAACTGGTGTCAGATAGCAACTCTCAAAATGGTAATTATTCTGAAAACTATCTATCATGAAAGCATTCAATTTGGTGCAAAATATCCTTCCACAAGTCTCATCCCATAGATGTTGTCAAATGTGACGCTTTGTCCTCAGAACCACATTTTTTTGCATGTGAAAACATTCTAGATTTTTATTTAGCAGGGCCACATTAAATGTTCAGACGGGTAGGATATTAAGCCAAATATGGGACTAGGCTTGTTTACAACATGTCACCACTAGGTGTCACACTTGGCAGCCCATACAGTGTGGAATATATCCCCCCCAGCTTTCTTACACTTTGTTTCTGCAACCAAAAGTTTGGTGCAGTAGATGTTTGGGGCATAACAAGATAGACTTCACAAATATTTCTGCTTTTCCGTTTCTGTTATAAAGTAAATAATAAAGCAAGATGAACAGACAAAACATTAAAAAAAGTAACTGATCTCGTTATGCAATGAATACTCACACATTTAGATGTCTTAAGCATTATCAGTTCCTCTATTGAACTTGATAGCTGTATCAATGGAAGCAGTGTGCGTAGAAAACACAAAGTTGTGACACTTGCTGATTCTTGGTTACACTACCATGCTGCAGTTTTATAAAATATTTTTTCTCTGGTGTATTGTTCTGTTTCTCAGGTCCTGGTAGAGGGGGGCACTTTGGAGGAGGCTACAGGGGGGGTGGCAATGGAGGAGGCTACAGGGGGAAAGAAGATGGAGGAGAGACGAATAGCTCTTGCTGGTCTGCTGCAGAATTAAAGAGTTCGACTGTTGCCCTGCCCCTCTTCGTAATGGATTGGAAAAACCTCCGGGACAACAAGGAAAAGTTTCTAGAGCTCAAGTGGAAAGGTGAGGACTTGTTTATTCTCACTACTGTACATAAACTGCAGGTGATGGCCCTACTGCTGCATATGGATTTGAAAACTAACAAAACTATTTTATATATTTTCTTTGTCTGTAGTTACTAGCTAATGTTGAACGGTATAACGGCCTTGTGATATGACACCAACATGAATAAAATGAATTCATGGCTTCAAAGTATTACTGTATAATTTGCAACTCCCTTCAGACGTCCCACCACTGAAGAAGAACTTTTACACGGTGGCAGAGAGTGTTTCCATACTCTCAGCGGAGGAAGTCATTGAATGGAGGTAAATCTGCCTTTGATACATTTTAATCACATCATCTTTCCTTTGTTTGTATAAAGGGGTTTCTTCATTGTATACGATGATGCTGGACACCTGTTTTATTTTTAAAAAACTCGTAAGGATGTCATTGCTTGGCTTTAAAACCAACATTTGTATTGGTTTGCTGATGGCATTGGTATTCATTTAGGCCTCAGGGCACTAGGTGGCACCATTTATCCACCTCTTTATCAGGGGGTCCGCGGGGTCTTAAAAAGTATTAAAAGTTGATAAATCAATTTAGCGAAAAGTAAGGCTATTAAAAAGTATTAAACGGCATTTCCCAAGGTATTACATTGTGTAGCTTGTTTTCAATAAGTATATAAATTGTCCAAAGAGGTTGTATTCTACAGTCTGCCTGAATGTAATCATTGCGTAGGTGTGTAGTGTGATTCTGTGTAGTTTATTTATGGCATCCCGTTGGGTTTGACGTCATCTGAACAGGACATCGCACGCTCACTGCTTGATAGCACGAAGGTCCGTTTACGCCGGTTGTTAAACAACATCGTTATGGGGAAATGCAAGTTTGCGTCCAAATGGTTGGAAGATAAGGAGGAAGGACAATCAATACTGTATATAGTAAATGTGAGGTAAAGTGTGTCGCCAATGTAACCGGTTAAAACTCAAAGTGGCGATGAGGTCTTAAAATGTATGGAAAGGGACTTAAAAAAGGTCTTAAAAGGGATTACATTTGACTTCAGGATTCCTGCATATACCCTGTTTATGTAATCAGTATATAATACTTAGAGTTAACTGCATGCAATGTTGACAAAGGGATTGGCAGTTGTTCCAAATGTATGTGTACAGGACAAAAGGCCCAGTAACGACAGCCCTTTGTTACACTCCGTCTCTGGCTTAATGTTACCTTCTTAAATATATTTAGCAGTGAAACCGGTTTTGATTATGAAATGGAAAGAATATTCTTTGTAGTAGAAACCCAATGATTATCATGTGGTGTCTGGACACAGTTTGATACAAAACCACAATACGGTCCTAGACAAAGACAACGTTTTAGTTTTTAGTTGGGGCCAACCACTCTTTACCCTTGCAACACATTCCCCAATGTTTTGGTTCCACAGGAAAGAGAATAACAATATCTTTGTGGATGACCTTCTGGAGGGTGGGGAGAAGCGTCCCTTCCCAAATCCCTGTCGCACCTTCCTGGAGGCCTTCAAGCCTTTCCCAGAGATCATGGAAAATATTGATCGAGTTGGCTTTGAAAAACCAACACCTATCCAGGTATGAGCCGGGCACTAACCACAAAATACACAAATACTTTGAAGCATTTCTGATGACTATTTTCAAATCAAAGTAACCCACATTGTTAACTTATTTCATAATGTATTAGATTGAAGCAAAGCTGTGAACGAGGCTTATGTTTGATCAGACTGACAAAAGGTTTAAAGTGCTCTGATGAGAAAATGGAATTCACATTAAATCGTGCTGTTAATTTCTACTTGGTTAAATTAATTACTAGGGATGTAACGATACCAAAAACTCACGGTACGATAATATCGCGATAACAAGTCCACGGTACGATATCTATTGCGATATTGAAAAAAATGTTCTTTATTAAATAATAAATCTGATTTGTACAGCATTTTAGTAAGATAGTAGTATTTTAAAGTGTCAAAAATATAATAATCAGACCCTGCAATAAATCAAGTTTCACTTTAGTTTTTCAAGTAACTCAACTCAAACTCACTAACTCACTCGGCATCATCAGACAGGTTTTTAGGAATATGAGCATGTCCACATTTCCAGGTAGAAGCTGGGATGTTTGGACGTTTACAATATCCCCTGCTGTGGAGAAAACTCTCGCTTGGTACTGATGTTGCTGGGACAGAGAGATATGCTTTGGCCATGGGTGACAGCAGTGGGTAAAACTGGTCATTGTCTCTCCACCACTTCAAAAACAATACAGTTTTTGCCAAGAAGGTGAGGCTTATTGACAGGGCGAGATATACATATACTGTTGGTACTTGTCAATGTCTCTAGGTATGTAAATGTAGCCCTGTAAATACGATGTCCTTTTGTGTTATCTGTTTTATGTTCATGTTGTAACCTACTTGCTGCCATGTTGGACAGGTCTCCCTTGAAAAAGAGATCAATGATCTCAATGGGACCACCTGGTTAAATAAAGGTTTAAAAAAAAACAAAAACTGTAGATTTCGTCAGTCTTACGTATCGAGACATTTATTTATCGCGATATTCGATATATCGTTACATCCCTATTAATGACCAAAACCCAATAACCCACAAACTTTGGCAATTATTAACTTTTTACTTTTCAATCAGGGGAACATCACGCTCCGTCCTGTAAAATGCACAAGTTTCTTTTATAACTGTTCCGATAAATGGGTGCTTTTTATATTTAGAACAAAAATATTCTTGTGGCATACTGTGTGTGGTTAGACGTTACAAAGTCAAATCCACCTGTAGTGACCTTATCTGTTGCCAAAAGTAATCCCCGTGATTTACAAAGATCCGTATCTGGAAATACCCGCAGCATTTACGGCTATAGTATTGAGCGTTTCCCTTTTTATTTTATAAAAGCAGAACTGAAAGAACAAAAAGGAAGTCTTACTTGACAAAATATATTGGCAGCTGAGCAGAAAAACTATATTCATTCATACTTTTTTATTTGAGTTATTGAACTGAACCGTTGTTTGAAATAATAGTTCTGTGTTTCCACTGTATTCAGAGTAATGGGAAGACAATAGAAGGTACATTCCCTGCCCTAGAAAAGTATGGAAATTGGAATACTTTGTTTTTAAGATAAGACTTTGTTCATCCCGAAGGAAATTGTTGCGCCAGAGTTACAAAAATACAATAAACACAGTAGCATCTCATGCAGTTCACTGATCCGGTAATGAGTGACCCGACAGTGAAGAATAAATATATGTATAACTAGTTTAGCTTGTTCCAGAGGTAGATCAAATAGCTAAGTGTGTTAGGTCTCACCGCTCACCGGTCCGTCACAGTGGGCGGAGCTGTAGGATTTCTGCTTCACACACACGTTGCATACCGCTTTTTTACAGTCATTTTCGGACACCTTAAAATACTGCCAGACCAGTGAAGCCATTTTGGCGAGCTTGTTTTGCCGTGCACAGAGAAAAGTGTCATGTATTTTACGCTTTTACATGTTTCTCAATGCCCAAATAAGGAGTGATGCAAGAAGAAATTAAATATAATCCTCATGTTTCACTTTCGTTTCACTGTAAAAGGCTTGGTCTGATGAAACAGATAATGGCTGTTTGACAATGTTCATTCTGTGGAAAGGGAGAGGCTGCACCCTGACCCACCCTGCATATATATATAACATCTGGTGTGATGCCATTAGATTAGTATGTGTGCAATCCAGTTCAGTGACACTCCCTAACATGACTTTATTTTTGAAAATGTTGATGTGTAATCGTTTTCAAGAAATGTCAATGAGTTCCCAGAAAATCATGAATTGTCCTTATTTGAACTACCAATATCTCCAAATTGTCTGTATTCAATTTGGTAGAACAGCATAGCCTGGAAAAGAAACTGAGTGCAACAGAGAAACTGAGTGTGCCACATGTAGTTATTTCTAGAACAAAGTAGGTCGATGTGAACCAGCTACACAAAAGAATAACCTCCATTAAGCTTTGAGAGCCGTGACACAGTATAAAATGTGCTTTAGTCAAGTTCAAAGGGTTTACTCTGAACGGTTCCTCCATGATTTTTGCCAAGTTAGTCTAAACTTGCTTTGCTTTTTAAAATAAATAAATAATAAAGAATAAATTAAATGCTTTGTCAATAAATACATTAAAAAATGTCATCTGTGGAAGCTGTGGCGCTGTTAAAAAGCACGACCAATCATCTGAGCCGGCCCGGCTAAAATAACTGGATGGCCTACCTGCCTGTCAGCCTTCCATCTGTGCACAAACTTATCTCGTGCCCTCATTGGTCATGTGCGCGTTCGTGTGTGTTGGAGGAGGGGCTCTGTGAGGAAGTCTGAAGGAAGGGGCAGATTTTTTCCGGTTGTGTACTTTCAAATTCTAGCGCACTCGAGCTGGTTTCTCCATTCTTACCTACCCTACCTTTAAGGTTTACATTTGTGTTTTAAGCTTGTTAATGCTTTTGTGTTTTATAGCTACATACATTAAGACATTTACAATTTTGTGGTGGTCAATTGGTTGTGTAGTTCTGTAGCTTTATAAATGTTATCTATTTTCTTTTTTTATTTACTTGCACTATTTTATCCGTTTTATTGTTGTTGCACTGTTGGAGGAGCCTGTGACCTAAGATGTTCATTATCATAACTAAACTGTAGCTATGCACAAATGACAATAAAAGCCTTGAATCTTGTATGTATGATATTTGTGTTTTCCATCTCAGTCTCAGGCGTGGCCAGTGTCTCTGAGCGGAGACGACGTGATCGCCATAGCTCAGACAGGAACGGGCAAAACTCTGGCCTACCTGCTGCCAGGCTTCATCCACATGGACGGACAAGTTGTGTGAGTTCAGGACCCTTCCTTTAGGTATCGTTGTTATACAACAAAGTGTGTTCTCTCTTCACTTGTACTTGTTTATGGTGTGTGAGCGATGTGATTTTTTTTTTTGGTGCATGTTTTAATAATAATTCCTTATATTTATTATAGCGCTTTTTCCATGACCCAAAGCGCTTTACAGATACACATTACACATACATACATGTAACGGTCATGTACTGTGGACAATACCCACAGGAGCAAATTCGGGTGAAGTGTCTTGCCCAAGGACACAACGGCCTGACGCAGTGGCGGCGGGAGCGGGTTTCGAACTGGAGTTCCCCAACGCCCCCTTGCTCTGATGATCAAACGTACAGCCCACTGCGCCACTCCGCCCCGTTTTGTTTGTTTATTTGACTGTACAGCACTTTGGTCTGGAGGTTTTAAAGTGCCTTATAAATAAAGCTGTGTTGTATCCTCATCTGATTTAGAGCTGTTTTATCCGTCAAACTTCTTATTTCTTGTCCTCTCTTCCTTGACAGGCCCAGAGCCAAGCGGGGGGGGTCCGGGCATGTTGGTGCTGACTCCCACCAGAGAGCTGGCCCTGCAGATTGAACAGGAGTGCAGCAAGTACAGCTTTAAAGGCTACAAAAGGTCCAGCAGTCTTATTCAAATAAGTCTTAGACAATATTTATAATTTGTACATCCATTATTCACCCTGATTTTAAAAACACTTAAAGGGGACCTATCATGCAAAATGCACTTGTGTACGTCTTTTATACATGAATATGTGTCCCCGGTGTTCCAGGGAACTCACCAAGTGTCAGAAAAAACAACCCTCTCTATTTTCTTCCATACCCAAATCTCTAAAAAAGGGGCTGCAACGGATCTGATCAAAACTGATCCAGATTTGAACACTGTCCTGACGTCAGGATGGTGGTGTGTCGAATAATCGATTAATATTCGCCAGGGCTGTTCGATTTTGATCATGATCAGTTTCTGCCATCCCTAGTTCTCACAGAATCAGCCCTTGCAAAAACAGAGCTAACATTTTTCAAATTGAGCGAAATGAGGCATGGCTAAAATGCATGATCTGTTTGGTATTTTGAAAAAAAAAAAAGTATAAATATGCCTTATATAGGTATGGTCCTACACTATATTATTAAAATATAGCATGATAGGTCCACTTTAAACGAGTAGCACACTGGCACAAGAATGAGCTGCTGATGCCAAAGTGTTTTAAAATAGTCATGTTTTAGCGAGAATTGATCAATGAGACGATACTGCTTGAGTTGTGTGGCCCCTATTTTTATTTATCATTTTCTCAGTTTTTGGATTCCTCAGTCACTGGAGGCATGTGTGGGGGGTCAAAACAAATGTATGGTAACACGGGTTTAGTACTTGATACACAAATCATCGTTTTTTGGGTGGAAGTATTCCTTTTATTGAATGAGCTTATCATCACGGTGACTCGGCCGTCCGTGACTGTTCCTCCTCTGTTCTCTCAGTGTCTGTATCTATGGCGGAGGGGACAGGCGAGCTCAGATCAACGCGGTGAGGAGCGGCGTGGACATCGTGATCGCGACACCAGGCCGACTGAACGACCTCCAGATGAACGAGCTCATCAATCTGCGCTCCATCACCTACTTGGTCTGCTGTCGGCTTTTATCTGTGACATTCTTCAGTTCTAGGGTGTTGGCATGCCATAGGCTATATGTTTATTTTTCAATGTTTTGTTGGAGTACAGATGGGTTGTTTTTAATAACTGCTCTGATCATTAGTAACGTGTGCTTCTATTTTATTCTATTTAATCCTATGTTTTTATTGTGTATTGTGTTTTTAGCACTTCTTAACACGTGGCTTGTGTGGGCATTGATTATTTTATGATTCCTATGATGTCTTAATGTTTTGTCAAGCACTTTGTGACTATGTCTGTGAAAAGCGCTTTTATAAATAAATGTTACTTACTTAAAGGTGCTGGACGAGGCCGACCGGATGCTGGATATGGGCTTTGAACCCCAGATTATGAAGATTCTGATCGACATCCGCCCCGACCGACAGACTGTCATGACCAGGTATAAATCAGGTCACGGAAAGTACTTTATTACACGTGATGGAAAACATGTGTTAATAGACGGGACACTGGGACACAAGCAAGCGTTTAGATTGCAGACACTGTCCATAAAATAACAATGTTGGTTTGTTGTCCTTCCACAGTTTAGAGATTGTGTTATAGTGCATGTATTCATCATTTCAGGCCATGTGTTTCATCATGGTGTATATTTATTACCGTTTTAACATGAAAGTTATGTATTCTGTATCACAACATTGTCATTTATTTACATTTTGTCAAAAGAAAGGTATGAAGGAATGGGAAATAAATGTATAATTAATGGACATTTTTAAAAGCAAATTCCACCCCTGCGTTAAATAGCTTTTATAGGCTTTTCCTTACAGAAGTGCTATGAAGGCTGTTTGAAATATTGTAGGATATGCGGTTTACAGGGTTCTTACGGTCATTAAAAACCTGGAAAAGTCATGGAAATTCAAAATGCAAATTCCAGGCTCTGGAAAAGTTATGGAAAACAATATCTTTCCGAAAGTTTTGGAAAAGTCATGGAAATTTAACTAAAGTTGCATCAAATATTATTTATATTTTAGCTAATCGCCGAAATAGTAATACTATAATGATAATAAATACTGTATCGTATAGTAATGAAACGTGAAATAGCATTTAACTGTCGAGGTATTTTGCTGGTGAGAGATTTTAGTTGCTTTAGCCTGTAGAAGCTAGTAAGCCTATTTGATTTAGATAGGACCAACATGTTTCATATGCAGACCTTATTTTCCTGTTCCATGTTAAAATAAACCATTTTCAGTGGTACCGCTGAGAAAGAGTACAGTAGGTACAGTAAAGGTCATGGAGAAGTCATTGGTGAAAAAGTATATGAACCCTGGGTTTAGAATTTTAAAAACTAGCTTTGTTAATCTATATCAAATGTCCATGTTTCAGTGCCACCTGGCCCACAGGTGTGAGACGATTGGCAAAGTCCTATCTAAAGAACCCCATGATGGTTTATGTGGGAACCCTGGACTTGGCGGTAAGTGAAAATAAAATAAAACGTAATTTAAGTGTGTCTGTGTTGATTAGCTAATTAAATGAGAGCAAACAGGGAAATTCAGGTTTCTCATTCACAAAAAAAGCTACATTATTTCTCCTTTATATATTCTTATCAGATTTCTCCTTTTTTGATTAATAGCTTGTAGAAAATACATTACAAATCCTGTGTGGTCTGATAATTCATGTTTACTTACTTCCTGTTTCTCTTGGTCTCAGGCGGTTAACACAGTGGACCAAACGGTGCTGATCGTCCATGAAGACGACAAAAAGTCCTACTTGTTCAACTTCATCAGTAACATGCTGCCCGAGGAAAAAGTCCTCATCTTTGTTGGGAAGAAGCTTGTGTGAGTGGGGAATGGGTCACTAACAAATAGCTTGTAAACAAGGTAAATAGTGGTTTTAACTACCACCAACAGTTGCTGGTAAATACAGGGTGTCCGCGGGGTCTTCAAAAGTATTAAAAGTTGATAAAGAAAATGAAGGCTATTAAAAAGTATTAAAGGGCATTTTCCAAGGTATTACATTTTGTAGCTTGTTTTCAATAAGTATATAAATTGTCCAAAGAGGTTGTATTCATTGCGTAGGTGTGTAGTGTGATTCTGTGTAGTTTATTTATGGCATCCCGTTGGATTTGACGTCATCTGAACAGGACATCGCACGCTCACTGCTTGATAGCGTGCGAAGGTCCGTTTACGCCGGTTGTTAAACAACATCGTTATGGGGAAATGCAAGTCTGCGTCCAAATGGTTGGAAGATAAGGAGGAAGGACAATCAATACTGTATATAGTCAATGTGAGGTAAAGTGTGTCGCCAATGTAACCGGTTAAAACTCAGTGGCAATGAGGTCTTAAAATGTATGGAAAGGGTCTTAAAAAAGGTCTTAAAAGGTTTTACATTTGACTTCAGGATTCCTGCATATACCCTGAAATACCAATTAACCACATACTGACTTACCATTTCAGTGAAGAGTATGCTTTTGTCTCATGCTATCTCAGATGTGATGACCTGGCCAGTGACATGTGTCTGCAGGGCATGGCTGTGCAGAGTCTCCATGGTGACCGTGATCAGTGTGACCGTGAAGAGGCCCTCAGAGATTTCAAAAACGGTACGTAGCGGAGAGGAAAGTGTGTTTCTCTGCCTGGGGAATCAGGGCAGACTGAAACCAATGAGCTACCCACAAGTCAATGCTAAAGAGCCAAATTCAAGGTTCAAGGCTTTTATTGTCATGTGTGCATAGCTACAGTGTAGTTATGACCAGAGTTCCCGTTAGCCGGTAATTACCGGACTTTGACTGGTAAAATATGCTGAAGACCGGCAAATCTAAATCTCTCCGGTCAAAATAATTTCCCCTTAGCGCAATACTGCATCAGTTGCGCCACTTATGTGACAGACAAGAATAGTATGTGACAGACAAAAGAGTATGTGACAGACAAAAGAGTGTGACAGACAAGAATAGTCAATTCTAATGTCTAACACTTAACGTGGAGAAAGAGATGTCCTGTATGGGTTGATTGTGCGTTGATCTGTTGGTAATGCCTCTGGGTTCCGGTGGGCATGTAAACAAATGCATAATGCTGCGCTATACTTTGTGGCCTCACCCGGTTGCATAGCGACGCTTATTGTTTAGGTGTCTTTAAATAAGCAGGTAGTCATATCATTAGCTAGATCTGATCGATATGGACATAAACGCGAGTGAAGTCTAATCTGACGTGAGAGAGAGATCAGCTGCTGCTGACGAGTCGACACGCAGCTCTGCATGACCACCTGCAGCGGTGAGCGGAACAAAACACACACTTCAGGTTAGAATATCACACGTAGCTATTTTAATTACCTCTCAAACTACCTAAACTAGTTATAGATATGTTTAGTTTTACTGTCGGGTACGAGCTGCATGATACTGACGGGCTGTCAGGAGAGAGAGAGCGCTCCGTTTATTATTCCCGTGTCATTGTAAGTTACTCTACACTTTTGAATAGTTAATCTACTATAATTAGTTTGTTTAATATCGAATCATATCAATTTGTTTTAAAGCTCAATAAATAACAAAGAAGACCTTTGACCGGCACTTTTCTAATTTGTCCGGAAGATTTAAACTTTAACGGACATGTTGACCGGCAAAATAATAATAGAACGGGAACTCTGGTTATGACAATGAAAATCTTAGGTCACAGGCTCCTCCAACAGTGCAACACAATACAACAGATAATAGTCCAAGTTAATAGAAATAGTGCAGTTTCACAGTCGTATGTCCTGTAGGATGAAATTGTCCCTTAGACAATTGACCAACAATTTAATATTTTTCCAGGCCGAGTTCGCATCCTGGTCGCGACGGACTTGGCATCTCGGGGGTTGGACGTCCATGACATAACCCATGTTTACAACTATGACTTCCCTCGCAACATCGAGGAGTATGTCCATCGAGTGGGCCGCACTGGACGAGCAGGGTAAGAGTTTACGTGTTTGTCATTAGTTTACTTTGCAAATTGGCTGGTGAGCCCTCTTTATTTTTTGATTAATTAAAACATCATCTAGACCAGGGGTTCCCAACCTTTTTTCCCAAGAGCCCCCCCAAATGACTCCTGTTGGAAGTTGCCCCCCCCCCCCCCCACACACACACACAAGCGGTAATTAAAGTTTAAAAGTCTCAAAAATGCTACAACTACTGTCACAAACTGGATGAATGTGAAGTATTTTGTCAGAGGATGAAAGCGTAATCAAGGAGCACTATTGGAGTGACTTTGATGGTTATTGGACTCAGGATTAATTAATTTGGATTCCCGCTGTATGAAGAAATTAAAGGACGGCGCAAGTGGAAACAATTCACAAAGGGATTAAACTGTTTAAAACACATGCTCAAAGTAAGCCGGATTTTGCCGATGTGTTTATGTGGATACAAAAGTCGTATATAATCTACAAAATGGAGGAGACCGATCTGATCGGAGCAATTGTGACAAATAATCTGAAGCCGGCATGGACAATGACTATGTTTTTAAAAATGCGCTTATCCAGAAAAGCCTGGTTTGGACACTTTACGGGCAGAAGAAACATTTCTATAAAAGAAAGAATTATACATTTCTGTCTTTGTATGCCTATAATGGCTACTAACTTGAATTTGTATTCAAATGAATTAATCAATTATTTTTTATGTTATTGTAATGTAGAGACAAGGCTTTTAGTGACAATCATGTATTGTGTTACAATTCTATGTAAACACATTTTTTTTTTTTTATTCCCAGGTTGGGAACCACTGATCTAGTGGCTTCACAAATCAGTTTGTTCTCTTTCCCGGTTATTTTCATATGTTGTCACTCCCCTTTGTACCCCCTAGTTTAGGAGGGAACGCAACAGTAATGATCACCTTATTCTGAGAGTGTCACAATTTGAAAATCACTGCCAGTGTCTGTGTGTTTTAATGGTGATGCATTTATGCTCCAGGCGCTCGGGTGCTTCCATCACCCTGGTAACGAGAGAGAACTGGAGGATGGCCGCTGAGCTGATTCTCATCCTGGAGCGAGCTGAACAGGTTGATGCAAACATATTATTTTGACAAACCTTTTGCTTTACCTTAAAATGTGTTTGACAGTAAGGTAACTCAAAGTGTTCATAGAATTGTCTGGCATGCACAGGGGCGTCTATCTCCCTTTGGTATTTCACTGCTAAGGGACAATAGGTTTTATTGTATTTACTAATAAACAAAAGCATGCTATTGTTTCACTTCAAATAAATATATTGTTGAACAAATGCTTAGTTTCCAGCTAGTATTTGCAATATGAAAGCTTAAGTAAACACTGTTATTGAAGGGGATGAGTGCGTCATGTCATCTGAATTGAACATGTTTAAAAATATATATGTATGTATGTATATATGTATATATATATGTATATATGTGTATATGTATATATGTGTATATGTATATATGTGTATATGTATATGTATATATATATATGTATATGTATATATGTATATGTATATATATATATGTATATATGTATATATATATATGTATATGTATATATATATATGTATATATATATGTGTGTATATATATATGTATATGTATATATATATGTATATATATATATGTATATATGGTATATAGATATATGTATATGTGGTATATATATATATATATTATATATATATATAGTATATATATATATATATAGTATATATATATATATACATAGACATATACATATACATATACATATACACATATACACATATACACACATATACGTATGTGTGTATATGTGTATATATGTGTATATACATATATACATATACACATATACACATATACACACATATACATATATATATATATATTATATATATTACATATACATATATATATATATATATATATGTGTAGATATGTGTATATGGATAGATATATATATATATATATATATATATATATATATATAGATATATATATATATATATATATATATATATATATATATATATATATATATATATAAATAAAATCATTTTAGTAAAATGTCTAAATGAATGTACTCTTTGTTAATCCTGTTGTAGGAAGTCCCTGAGGAGCTGGTGATTATGGCAGAGAGATTCGCGAAGAACAAGAGGGACAAAGAGATGGACAATCCGAGAGGAGGAAGAGGAGGATGGGGAGGTGGTGGAGGAGGAGGTGGTGGTGGAGGATGGGGAAGGAGAGAAGGTGGAGGGAGAAGAGGCAGAGATCAAGACAATGAATGGGCGTTCTAGTCTATGTCCACACATATCACAAGGTTCCCTACATAAGGACTCAAGTGTTTTATAAAGACAAAAAATCGTTGTTGTCCACACTTTGTTATAAAAGAATACTATCTGTCAGATAAAAAAGGATGAGTGAATTATAATTTAGGAATAACGTTGTTTGTTTTACGTTTTTCTCATCAGGTTATAACAGGATCTGTTGTACATTTATTTTTTATTGTATATATTTTCTTTTATACATTTTCTTTGATTGAAAAGTTGTGTTTGCATGGGTTTTGATGGATTGTCATCCTTTATCAGTGAGGCACCTTGTGTTGTGCTTCTGTTTAAAAAGATGTTTGAAATGTACAATTCTGACAGTTTTCTCCTGTCTGTAACTCACCAACCATTGCAGTGTTAACAATCACTCTGAATCTTTTGTTCGTGTCATTTCTTTATCTGGCCAGAATTCAATCTGTAAAATAAATTCTCCTTTTTAAAGAGATCTGACACCATGTGTATTTTATTGGCTTCGCGACTTCAATCTTGTGATAAAGAAATGACTAAATCTGCAGTGACGCATTTCCATAAATCAACTACCATGGGAAAAGTTTACAAAGAAGACGCCAAAGGTAAATGTTAGTTAATAATCATTAATTAGAAAAAGGCAAAACTATTCAGTCTTATAATTACCAAATATGTCTTTCCACAGGAAGTGAAGCCCAGTATGAAAGGTGGGGTAGGTAATTCACTTCACGTTATATTCCATGGAATGCTCTTAACATCCCGACAGCAATGAATACATGAAATGCTTTGAAAATAAATACATTAAAAAAAAATGCATCTGTGGAAGCCGTGGCGCTGTAAAAAGCACGACCAATCATCTGAGCCGGCCCGGCTAAAATAACTGGATGGCCTACCTGCCTGTCAGCCTTCCATCTGTGCACAAACTTATCTCGTGACCTCATTGGTCATGTGCGCGTTCGTGTGTGTTGGAGGGGCTCTGTAAGGAAGTCTGAAGGAAGGGGCAGATCTTTTTCGGCTGCGTACTTTCAAATTCTAGTGCACTCGAGCTGGTTTCTCCATTCTTACCAAGGCCGGAGAGGGCCCTCAGTGACAAGATATATATATGAGGCACAACCTCACTCATTATACATTGTTTTAAATGACACTCACTCTTCACCATAAATAACACAGCTTTTCTATAGGGTCAAATTCATATATTTTCTAAACCGTCTGTGTACTGTAGGTCTCACTATGTATGCGCTCAACTTTATTACTACGCGGCGGTGGTGTATAGCCGAAATCACAGCCCCACCCTCACTCATGTCACATTTATTCACGTGAGCTGAACAAATGGATGGTGCCGGTGGCAGCCAAACGCCCAGCGGGGCTGAAAAGAAAGAAAAAGAGTGGCGGCTGCATTAATAAATGTCCCTACAATAAATAGCTTTAGGCTAGACCTACTTTGGTTGAACTATGTGGCTGCGTCCCTGCTTTTGACAAATAGGTGTGCGGTTTGACATGCCAGATTGACTGAAAATTCTAAATATTAGCCATGTTGGTAGGATTGGGTAGGCGTGGTGTTACTTGTTGGTACGTGGGTTGGGGGGGGCGCAAATACCTGTACTTTCTACTTCTTACATTTTGAACACAGATACCTGTACTTTCTACTTCTTACATTTTGAACACAAATACCTGTACTTTCTACTTCTTACATTTTGAACACAAATACCTGTACTTTCTACTTCTTACATTTTGAACACAAATACCTGTACTTTCTACTTCTTACATTTTGAACACAAATACCTGTACTTTCTACTTCTTACATGTTGAACACAAATACCTGTACTTTCTACTTCTTACATTTGAACACAGATACCTGTACTTTCTACTTCTTACATTTTGAACCCAAACACCTGTACTTTCTACTTCTTACATTTTCCAAACAGGCTGGTTCCTTTAGTTTGAATGTGTGTTTGGTGGCGTGATCATTATTATTTAGAGTCATTGCGTGCCTATTGATTTGAACACGATCCGTGTATCCATCATTTCCTGGTCTTCTCTAAAGAAGAGGGACCAATGAAAACGTTGTCATGTTGCCGTTGTTCAGCATCGAAACATTCATTAGCCAACAATGACAATATTGTTCTATTAATATAAAGGGAGGTCAGGTACTCTTTAAAACAGCTGGTAGTTATGGGTACTTTTTACTCAAGTACATTTCAAAGCCCTCTTTACTTTTACTTGAGTAAAGACGTTTAGTCAGTACTTCTACTTTTTAGTCACTACGAGTACTTTTAAACATGAGTATCTGTACTTCTACTTGAGTAAAGGATGTGTGTTCTTTTGCCCTCTGCTGTTAGCACTTCTGACACGTGAGCTGGTCGTTCGAGGACAACACGTTTTAGCTAAGTCTTGCTATCGGGCCCTTTCTACAACACAAGTGAAATACTAAGGTTTCTCTGTTTGAACCCATTTATTACAACTTATTTAGTCGTAACATGATTATTTTCCAAAGCATTGCAACGTTTTATACATTTGAATGTCTTCTACCATGCAATTGTTGCATGGTAGAAGAGATTAAAGCTCAAATGTATTTTAAGTTGTATGTCACATCCCTGATTTAAGAAGTCCCGACCAGCACAGTCTTAACTTTTCTTTATCACTCTATCATGACTTTAATTAACAAAGTTAAGCGCACAATTTTGTATTGCATAAAACTTGATTTCCCTTATCACTATCTTTTAGATCAATCTTATTTAAACCGTTATAACCTACTCTATACGACCATTTTTGACTTCTTGTAAGATTATGAAGTGTTTTGCTGATGTAAATAGCAATGAACCCTTAGTGTATAAAAAGGGTCTTGGATATGTTATTCAATTCAACTTCATGATTTCTGCATATCTTGCATCCTTCAAGATAGTTAGCGATTGACAGTTTGTGTTTACTTACATTTTCTTACTTTGACTTTCATGAAGGACTTGGTGTTGCAGTGCATTTAAGAAATACAAAAGAAGCCAAACATGGACAAGCTAGACATTTATTAAAAGGTAGGTTTAGAGAAAATAAATCAATGTGGTAGACACAAGCATTAATTACAACAATTCCATTTCAAATATGCTTTCTTGAACAATTACCCTGGCTTAAGTTGCCCAGTTCTTTATTGAAAGATGTTTCTGCGGTGAAGTCACAGGTCAAACTCTTCTTGTGAAGTTGTCATTTAAAAATAGGAAAGCCTTTGTCGCATTCCTCCCTGATGCAACGAGCCAGGCTGTTGCACTTGTTCCTGCTGAGACTGGAGAGCAGGTTCTGGGTTGGGATGAAGAAGTTGTTGAGTATACCCTCTTCCAGATGGGACACAAAGTCCGCCAGAAGCAGGCGGAAACACTGGCTCAGACTCGAGGCCCTCCAGTCCGTGTCTTTAGTTCTGGAGCAGCAGGCGTGGAGCAGCGTAGTTTTGGCGTGATAGGAACAAAACTTTTTAAATGAAGAGTTATTTTCCTTCAGCAGACTGAGAAGGTGCTTCAAGAGCTTCAAACAGTCCTTCCTGTATGTAAAGACAAAGGAACAGACTTATGTACCCTTAAATTGAGGACAATAATAATCTGTCCAACCTCAGAGCACATTACAACAACTGTGAACACACACACACACACACACACACACACACACACACACACACACACACACACACACACACCTCAAAGACTGCAAGTACTACTATGTAGACATACTTATGGCTATTTTACTAATATATATTTAGACTGTAAGTTTAAATATGCACATTGAATTTTATCTCGTTGCACTGTCATCATCGCTACTACCTCTGCTTTTACCACTCATATTTATTTATTGTCTATTTTCTACTGCAGTGAGAGTTGTCAAAGAAATGTCGTTGTACTTTGTATGATGACAATAAAGATATATTCTATTCTATTCTGTAATTATACCATTGTTGCCAAATTTACATAAATACTTGTTTTTCTAAGTAATGGCAATGCATTGGATAAAAGACTATTTTTACTTGAGGATTAAGTTAAAATCTTCACCTGCGGCAGCGGTCTCCCTCTTTCTCACAGCATGTCTTCTGCGATCCGTGATTTTTCAGTATGGCCTTCTCAACATGAGAGAATGACACCCTCCAAGTATCTGCGTGGTAAAGAAGAGAAAATACTCAACTGGTAAGGAAAGTTTAAGCTTCCCTTTTTTCCAGTTTTCATTCATTAAATAGCTTATGTAAAAGCCCCAAAATGTTGTGTAAACAAAGAGAAAGGCTTACCCTTGGCTAGGACCCCGTCTTTCTCTTCTGTACCTGTGCCTTCAAATTTTGGTACAAGATAATATGGCAACCACTTGTATTCCCGCTTTACTTTAGTGCCCAGCCAGCTATCTATTTGAAGGCCTTCTTTGGTGAAAGATGGCCAGCTCGATTTAACCACGAGGCTCAGAACGATATCCAGTGAGACGGTGACCGATTGTACTGTTCTGATCAGAGTCACTGCAGGGCAGCCTTTTTTCTTCCTTGTCAGCTCCCATTCTGAAAATACAAACAAGAAGCACAATTTTGATTTAGTATTCATTATGGTTTTATAATGTATATACATTTGACTAAAGCAGACTGTGGCGGCTCAATTTCCAGTTAAGTTTGAGTCGCAGAGAGGTAAGCTTGGCTTTATGCTGCGATGCGTTTTCAATGAGAAAGTCCATAGGCCTACTGAAGTAAGATAGTTTGACGATATTTAATAAACAAAATAAAAACAGTAACTATAGGGACAAAAACGGTCAACAGAAAAAATGACAGCACAAGTTCATCCGCACTCGACATGAAACAGGTGACTTACAGTACAGTATATACACAAACCACACCCATGTGACATACCAGAAGTGCTCAACAAACAAATAAAAGTTACTTAAGCAAATAATAATAATACAAATAATGAACTCAGGCTAAGTAGCATTTGGCACCTACACAGACTTTTTCCCTTTTGGATCTTTATATCTACGTTCTGGTAGTTACCTGGATATTTCTTGGCACATTCCTTGACTTCTGCCCTGAACTCGTCCAACATTTTACTGGCGGATAAAGTGCTGCTCTCTTCAAATTTCTTCAGATGGCTATTGCCACGTTTTAACTCCACACTGTAAAAGGCTCCATCATCTCCAAATGGACTCACGTCCACTCGGTCAACTGGAATGGCCAGCATGACATCAAATTCATCCGGATTAGAAATCTGCAAACACGAAAAAAAATCACATTATTTGAAGACATTATTTTTCAAGTACGGCACTAACTTAAGTAAGTATCTTCCAACTACTTACAGACCCCTAGCTCTTTTCCTAAGAAATGATGAAACCCAGTTTGTTTGAGGAGATATGAACCAAAGTGACTTACCTTTAGATTTTCATAGTAACTCCCAGTCCGTAGTGGTTCGGCTTCTTTAAAGCATTGAGTGTTCTGTTTCAAATGCGAAAGTATGGCGTCTACAAGTTCATTAACGACTTTGGATGTATATGATTTTTCGTCTGTTTTTATTCTTAATTTGTCCAGAGTTGTGAAGAGGATAGTGTCCACTTTGCCTTCACACCGATCAGCCTTTGGGTTCTCCTTGGGTCTCAGTGGCTGAATGTTTGTCTCTGGTATTTTGTCTTTGGCAGTGCATGTTTTTGTCGTCTTGATGTCCTCCGGCTGCACCTTCGTCTTCTCCTCTCTTGATTGTTCTGGGGATTTTTCCTTCCTGCCACTTTTTTGTTCCTTGGTGGTTTTTGGAGAATCCTCTGTCGTGCCCTTTGGCTGCATCTTTGACTTTGTAACTGGTTCTGTTGTTTCAGCTTTCACCTTTAGTTTCTGTTCCTTTGTGGCGCCTTTCTGCTTCTCTTCTTTAAAGTCCTTCCTCGTACATCTGGGGGGAGATTCATGTTTCATTTCCTCAGGTTTAGATTTACTCTTGGCACACTTAGTGTCAGGGCTTTTTGCCTTGCACGTTCTCCCTCTACCAGTCATGATGCTGCAATGAGAGCAATGAAACAGCTCTGTCAGTTGTACCCAAAGAGTTTCCGGGAAATGAATGAGAACACGCCCCTTTAGTTTTCCTCTGTAGTAAGTGTTTATACACCCACTCCACTCTTTGTCCCTCAACACACATCCGCAACCTCGGGAGTAATTTTCCACAGCAACTACTCCTTTGATTACCACATCAATAAAATCAAAGGAAAAGCATATTTTGTTCACACTAAAAGCTTGTCTCCAACCACCACTCTCCTTCTTAACTGAGAAAGAAACTTTGATCCATACCTTCATCACATTCATAGATAAACTTCACTATATCCAAAACTTTGCTGCACGTCTTCACACCAGTGATCATGTCGTCCTTTAGAACTTCCACTGGTTTATTTGTTCCCACAATACATCTATTACAAATGTGTATATCTTAAGTGAGGTGTTTTCATATGATCATTTTATCTTGTGTACAAAATGTGTGTTTACAGTGTATTTGAGTACTACGAGAAGCGCTCTATAAAAACATTTACTGTATGAATTTTTGTATTATATGATTATCATACACTGCATTTGAAAATTCCTATTTTGTTCCTGAACCAATAGCTCCATCTCCTGGACACATGCTCGGAGTGCTCTGATTTGTATCAGACTTGCTTTAAACTATAGGAAAGTTCAAGGCACTGTCAATTACATGCAGGACATTTCAGAAAAGAAACCGACCACAGTTCAACATTTTGGTTGAAACGTGTTTAATGTTAGAAAGAGGCTCATGCCATCTTACAGTAAGGTGTAGTAGCGTATGCCAATTAAAGCTTCTCAAGTGCAAAGTTAGCAAAATGCCAATCAAAGTGCTTTAGGAATCAACAGGTAGTTTACTCTAAAACCCTCGGGAAGGGCACATATCCACCATTTGTTTTAAGTGCTTTTTATAATTTAAACACAACAATCACCAAGTTCTAATTATCTACTACTCGGAAGAACGTAGTTTTAGCATTGTGCCATACAGAGCACCATGAAGTTACAAACAAACACTAAAAGCAAGACAACACATAAAGAGAACAGTGCCTGCACTCTAGAAAGCTTGAGCGGTGATAAGTTTCAGTATCTCTAATAGTTCAATATCAATATCACAGAAAAATATTGTCATGAACCGAATGGACTGTGCACGTTAACTGATTGATATTACATTGTAACTAATGGTAATCTAACCAATGGAGTCAGGATTGCTGCCTCAAGGACTCGAGATCTAAATGTCGTTCTTTTCCGCCGAATGCTTTTTCGATGCATTGTGATGATTAACCAGTCTTTGATTATTAAGCAGCCAATTGAAGAGTGGAATTGGATGACGGATGTCCTGCCCTGGGAGACCTTGCGGTCGGCAGAGAAGCACAACATTCATTTGTTCCTCTGGGCCTTCTGGGCGGACTTGGTAACTTTACCAGTGGAATAGGCCTTCTTCTCCACACCTTTAATCACTCCGACGGCCACAGTCTGACGCATGTCACGCACTGCAAAGCGGCCTGAGAGGTGAAGAGGAGTACAGTTACTTTAAGTGATGGTTTCATCTGGTATCAAGCTGTTGAAATTCAACAAAACTTCTACATTTGAACTTACCAAGTGGAGGGTACTCGGAGAAGCTCTCAACACACATTGGCTTGCCGGGAACCATATCCACAATGGCAGCATCTCCAGACTTGAGGAATTTGGGGTTGTCCTCCAGCTTCTTGCCAGAGCGGCGATCGATCTTTTCCTTGAGTTCTGCAAACTTGCAGGCGATGTGGGCAGTGTGACAGTCGAGCACAGGAGCGTAACCGGCACTGATCTGGCCCGGGTGATTGAGGATAATCACCTGCAAAGCAAAGTCACAACATTTAAAAGGCCTGGTAATTATGGGAGATAATTTATATTCTGTCAAAGAAGTTCACTGCAAAGACTCGACTATTGGCTTGTTTGGGTTCTGTCTTATCTCGACACCTTCTCTCTGTCATTTTGACAAGTAAACAGTCATCATGGCTAAAAAAGGATTCAAAGCGTACTCAAAATAGACTTTACAGCAAATATTACTCAAGACTATTAATAGTTCCGACTCAAACTGATTTAATCACATTCATGTTTCCTTTCTATCAACACATCCTTTGTCTACCTGAGCAGTGAAGTTGGCAGCTTCCAGCGGGGGGTCGCTCTTGCTATCGCCGGCCACATTTCCACGGCGAATGTCCTTAACGGACACATTCTTGACGTTGAATCCCACGTTGTCTCCGGGCAGGGCCTCATTCAGCGCCTCATGGTGCATCTCCACAGACTTCACCTCAGTAGTCACATTGACGGGGGCAAAGGTCACCACCATGCCAGGCTTTAGTATCCCGGTCTCCACACGGCCCACAGGCACAGTTCCAATACCTGAGAAATGAAGCATTCAATGAAGGACCTTTAAATCAACACAAAGACAGTTCTGATTGTTTCTGAAGTCTGTACCCTGGCTTCCTGTGTGTCAAAGAATTGATTTAAAAAATACTGCTGCTGGTTTATAAAGCATTGAATGGTTTAGGCCCAAAATACATTTCTGACCTACTGCTAAATTGTTAACCATCCAGATCTCTCAGGTCTTCTGGGACTGGTCAACTTTCCCCTAGTCAGAACTAAACATGGAGAAGTTCAGTTGTTATGCTCCAAATATCTGGAACAAACTACCAGAAACCTGCAGGTCCGCTGCAACTCTGACTACTTTTAAATCCAGGCTGAAGACTTTCATTTTTGCCGCTGCTTTTAATTGAACTATTCAAATCTTCTTACACTACACTGTAACTTGTATTCATGTATTTTTTCTTTTAATGTTTATTTTATTAGCTTTGCTTTTTAATGAATGTCTTTCATTTTTGTAAAGCACTTTGAATTGCCTAACCCTAACCCTAACCCGTGTGGAAAGGTGCTATATAAATAAACTTGCCTTGCCTTGATCTACAATTTAAAAAAAACCCTGTTTTGATTAAACGCTCTGATCATGAGGTGTTTCATACGTTTCTAGAGTCTATTATCCCTACAGCATTTAGTTTCTACCCATTTGTTGTGATTGCTCTACATGCCTCCTATCTTGTAGACGTCCTGCAGAGGCAGACGCAGAGGTTTGTCTGTTGGACGGCTGGGCGACTGGATGGCATCCAGAGCCTCCAGGAGTGTGGTCCCTGAAGCATTGCCATCTTTCCTATTGACCTTCCACCCCTTAAACCATGTCATCTAGAGACAAGAAAATAACGTACTAAATTATACACGTTGTACATTTATTAAAGAAGTGTTAAACTTAAGGTAACACTGGAAGAGAGAAAATAATTGTCAAGTTTTAGCTTTGTTTGAGCTTCATTTTTTTGTGACTTTTGAAATAAAAGAAACTGTCTGGGATTCCCAGTTGCTCATGGTGGCTGGTGTTAGCAAACTTAAGCTAGGTGTAAAAGCCACAGTGTTCTCTTTTGAACAATGCTTTTGTAATTGCAAGGGCTACTCTATCTGCTCTTATTCAGACCAACCGTCTCAACTATTGTTTTCCCTTACAGCTACCGTTCCCCATCCCGAGTCATGCAAATTGGTATTCAAATTCAAGGCTGCTTACTTCTAATATTTCTTACAGCATTTGCAAGACTGGTTTTCTGTGTAGTACTTACATTGGGGCTGGCCTCAAGCATGTTGTCTCCGTTCCAGCCTGAAACGGGTACAAAGGCCACGGTGTCCGGATTGTAGCCGATCTTCTTGATGTAGGTGCTCACTTCCTTCACGATTTCCTCATAGCGCTTTTGGCTGTAGTTTGGCTCGGTGGAGTCCATCTTGTTGACGCCTACAATGAGCTGCTTCACTCCCAGAGTATAGGCCAGAAGGGCATGTTCACGGGTCTGTCCGTTCTTAGAGATACCGGCCTCGAACTCTCCCACACCGGCCGCCACAATCAGCACAGCACAGTCTGCCTAAGGAGGATAAAACATTAGTACTGTTAACAATGAAGCTGCTGTCACCATTACTCTGCAACTAGATGATTGAACATGGTGCTAGTATTTGGAAGCTGTTCATTATGGCGCCAACACAAGTGTGTGTAAAATTAAACGCAAGGCATATGCGATTGCACACTGGAATGGGCATGTTAATGTTCGGATGACTACTCTGTCATTCAAGCTGGTCTTTGGATCAGATCAGATCATTTTTGTATTACATTTAAGAAATAACGTTTTATAATGCTGTTTGTTTTTGGTGTGGCTACATTTATTTGACTAAATATAAACAATTCAATTCATGGTCATACCTTTTTGAACAGGTTAGATAAATTGACTAATGATATCATTTTAGACTGGCTCTAATACTTTGTCTTTTCTCTTTAAAAATGTGTTAAGGACCCAACTTGACATTAACTTATTAACCTAATTTCTTTAACCTGTGGCTTACTTGAGACTTGGACCAAATGATTTAAGTAACAAGTCACTATTGATCAGAGACAATGGTTATTCTTATCAAAGGCACAGAGTCTGACAAAAGGACCCACATCTTTCCCATGGAGCATGTCCTACACACAGACTGAGCAGCCTCTCGTTACAGACCTGGGAGGTCCCGGTGATCATGTTCTTGATGAAGTCCCTATGACCCGGGGCATCGATGATGGTCACATAGTACTTGTTGGTTTCAAACTTCCACAGTGAAATGTCGATGGTAATTCCACGCTCCCTTTCTGCCTTCAGCTTGTCCAGCACCCAGGCGTACTTGAACGACCCCTTCCCCATCTGAGAAATAAGTAATGGATAGTCATTTGTTCATAGCTAGTGATGACTTTTATCTTATATTTAGAAGGCTGTCTTTTCTGACCGCCTGTATCTCCTCACCTCAGCCGCCTCTTTTTCAAACTTCTCGATAGTTCTCTTGTCGATGCCTCCACACTTGTAGATGAGGTGGCCCGTGGTGGTGGACTTGCCTGAGTCCACATGGCCGATCACGACGATATTGATGTGTTGTTTCTCCTTTCCCATGGTGAGTAGAGCTGGCTGAAGCTAGCAGTCTGTTAAAACCAGTGTTAAGTTACAGTTAGTACAACATACAGTACAGGTGGTTGGCAGGGCACGAAACGGAAACCTTGCATGCACAAGTCCCTGTAATTGATGGACATTGGATATATTTTGTGTGTGCAGTAAAATAAATATTTTAAGGGTGGAAAAACAAAGTTGTTAATGCTAGATATGCTTTGTTATTTAACACTGTCTGATTGAATGATATTTGTAAAGCGACTTTGAGCACCTGTAAAAGCGCTTACAAAATACATGTGTTATTATTATTATTGTTATTTGCAAGATCACACAGTACGAAGTTAAGCAAATGCATTGCAGTGGGAGAAAAAAAACAAGTACAGTTCCTCCTCAAGTGACTGATGCAGAAAGAATTTGAATTGCTGCACAAGGAAAGACGTAAGAGTCTATTTTTCTTTAGTTCATCAGCACTTAAACAATCTCACTATACTGTCTGTTCCTTGTTATGTTGACCTAAGGTTACCGACAAGGACGTCTCTTCACTAGCAATAGATGTTTGTGTCTCAGAAGATTAGGGATGGTATCAATAGCCACTGAACTGTGCCAAGTCTCACAACCCTCCCACTCTGTTTCTCCATCCATCCACACCTCTGCTCTCCTCTTTCACATCACTCGTTCTGCTGTCCGCGCTCTGCTATGCACCGTCACTTAAAAACAACAAGCCTCTCTAATGTCTTCTTTTAGACTTACTACAGCCTAATTCCAAGCCACAATCCACCATTTTGTCAGGTGCTATCGCATAACAGTGCAGCAGCCATTTCTCAGACACTGCAGTGCACTGTCACAGGTTAGTGCAGAGGGAAGTAAACAATGTTGTTAACTCTGCAGGAGTGCTATGGTGATAACCTTGACTACATAATTGCACGACAAAGTCTTCTGCTAAATGAGTCCTGTGAGGATTTAAAGTGAATATGTTGTGCTGCAGGTAGACAGGCAGCTTTAATCCAACTGTAACCAAAATCCTCACATGATCCTGGCCAGACAGGTGAACTCAGGACTGTCAGTATTTTACATGCGCATGTTTAACTCATCCTTCAGTATAACGTCACAGCAGCTGCCGCACTGCGCTTTAACAAACACAAAATGATAAAACACATCAAAATAGAACAGCCGCGATATATTTAATATTTACAGGATTACACGGTCTACCTCCCGCCATGTTTATCATGAACACGCTCACTGGATGCGTATTAAGCGCCAGCCGTCTGCCCTCTTTCCTGCATCACAACAACAACAACAACATTTCCAAAACACCGCATGGAGCCCAAAAAAAACGCTCATTCATTTTCATAGCATCAAAAATACAATGCACAATTTCAATGCATAGTGTCTCGTAGTGTCGTACCTGAGAGCTGTCCGCTGTGTTTGGGTGCAGGACCTGAGGAGAGACGCTGATCCGGTTTTAGCGCACAGGACAGGAGGGGGTGTTGCGTAATTGCGCGCACGCGCTGCACAGCATCACACCGAGGGAGAAGTTACTGTGAGCGAGTGTATCAGAGGACACTGATCCTGCATGGCAAAGTGTGCATCGCAACAGCCCGAGAGTTATAACTCATTTGGGAAACATATGTGGGCTTGAGATGTGTGTTGCGATTCCAATAACTCAAAATGCTAATTAAGAACTTGAGATGTAGCATGCATTATACAGTTCCGTATGTAACACACACTCAGAGTAAACAGTCTACATGTATTTACACTTGGGGGCTGTTCCATCATCGTTAGTTGGTGTTGCAGAAAAGTATCCTAGAGGGAAAAAATCGCACTTCGAGAGGCAGGATTGTATCAGAATACAATTAATTGATGATTTGGATTTGATGCTTCTTTCCTTTTTCTTTTTTTTTTATAAAATGTTTACTTTCATGATTTTTTTTCTATAGCTTCTGTCATGTGACCCAATAACTTCAAATAAATGCATCATTGTATTGGACTTTGTCAAATGCTCTATACATATTTAAGTTGATCCTTTTTTTTTTTTTAATATCACAGGTAACTGGTTGTAAACTGATATCTAATGTAATTAAAAGTTAAAATCAACATGTTGGAAAATGTGATCTTCCTTTTCATCACAGATGTAAATAAGTTATAAATAATGTTCCTTCACTTCGCTGTGACTGGATATATAATGAAATAACAACACAACACAATATCGATTTGAGAATAGCTGTATATGATTAAGTATATCATATACTGAGACCTGCGGATTTTTCTGCAGGTCTCCCTTGAAAAAGATATCTATGATCTCAATGGGACCAATCTGGTTAAATAAAGGTTTGAAATTAAGTGAAATTAATATACAATACATTACAGTGAATTAAGACATGTTGACATATTTCAAGGTTAAAAACATACAATGATTCCCTTTTTTGTAGAGTGTATCTATACAGTATATACACAGCAATCAAAAGTCCCCTATTCTCTGTTTGTAGACACATGTAAATGGAACAGAAAAAGCAGTAACGAGAAGATTCCTTTATGAAAACAATGAGTCCTTGGTCCTGACTTGTCTGACCCTGTTTAGGCTAATGTAATAAGGCACAAGTGCATTGGGATGATGATGCTACTTACAGCAACAACAACTGAGACAAATCCCTTCAGGCTGATTTTGGTTCACCCCTCTATAGTCATTACACTTAAAGGGGCAAGATACAAACAGTCATATATGGAGTAAAAAGTTAAGATAGAGAATTACTTCCATTCATATCGAGTTAAAGGTGGGGTAGGTAAGTTTGAGAAACCGGCTCGAGATCGCTAGAATTTGAAAATACACAACCGGAGAAAATCTGCCACTTCCTTACAGAGCCCCTCCTCCAACACACACGAACGCGCACATGACCAATGAGGGCACGAGATAAGTTTGTGCACAGATGGAAGGCTGACAGGCAGGTAGGCCATCCAGTTATTTTAGCCGGGCCGGCTCAGATGATTGGTCGTGCTTTTTACAGCGCCACGGCTTCCACAGATGACATTTTTTTATGGATTTTTTGTCAAAGCACTTAAGATATTCATTGCTATCGGGATGTTAAGAGCATTCCATGGAATATAACAAAAAGTGTATCTCGAGCCGGTTTCTCAAACTTACCTACCCCACCTTTAACTGTGCGCAATTAAAAAAACAAAACAGATACAAATTAAACAAACATCCTTTTTCCATTCTTCTCAGACACACCTGAGAGCTGACAAAGAAAGTGCAAATCCTGTGAGTAAATCAAAGGCTGTGTGTCCTCCAGGAACCTCTTCAAAGCACGTTTTACTTTCCCTTCATCAGAACATCTTCTTAGTCACAGATTAAAAATAAAATACTTTCAAAATGCTTTAGTTAAGGGCTGCTACCTTAACTATAAAAGGAGGACATAAACATGTTATTGTGCACATAAACATCCCTTATTGGCAACATATCACAAGTAAATACAAACAAATAAAATAACTTGGTCCCTTTTCAAATCCCATGAAAGACAAAGAGCTTTAAAATCCATTTTAAGGAGTCACTACAAGGCATGTGACAAAGCGTTGTGCATGTGTAGTCACATTGTTCCCTCTAGAGAAACGGTATCAATGCGTGTGTTTAGTCTAAGAGCATAATGACTTTGATGTCATTTTTTTGGGGGGGAAGCATTTAACCACTTCAAAAAAAAGTGTATTGGCACTAAGATGTGTCCGCACACAAGTGAAAATAAATGTCCTTGTTAAGAACGTAGACTTTTACAATGGCAATAACCATATATGCAAAGTGCTCTGGAGGCTCGAATGACAAACGAGCCTAGATAGTTTGCTACCTGACAAACCTGAAAACTAAAGGAACTACACTTGGATAAATCTGTATCATAGCTATTATATGCCAATTAAACAGGGTTTACTTAACCTTATATAACATAAAATAATTCCAATTTTTCTGCTAATAAAAAGAGAGTGGCCTGCTTCGTAAAAACAGCTTCCTCTGATACCTCTTAGAGATCAAACTGTGATTGTTTGCTCTGCTAAATAAAATGTTCCCTTCACTAAAATTGCACTCTTCTCTGTTCCTTGCTCTGACTGTAAAATTATCTGTCAACAGACTCTGGATCAGTCACAGTAACGAACATCCTGCAGGGTGTAATGGCAGTTAGTTAGCAGCGCTTTGACAATTAAAATCACAGCTGGAACGTATATCTCGCTGTTTACCCGTTGATTAATCAAACCATCACTCAAGCATCAAATGGAGGAGTCCGACGTGTGTTTTCTGTGTCAGTCTCCATGGTTGTAGGACGTGTGGACGGCCCAGGGCTGAACGCCTCCTCGGCCGAACAGAGTGTAGACCGTCGCTCCGAACAGGTTGATGCCGGCAGCGATGTAGAAAACTGTCTGCCATTCTTCTATGGTGTTCTGGAGGACAATCAGGAGAGTTCATAAAGAGTGTTAAAGGTCCCCTATTATACTGTTTTTCCTCAATATATTACAGGTCTCAGATATATACAGAACCTGTCTCTGAAGTGTTTGGCTCCAAACACCAAACAGATCATTGCAGCATCCCATAATCCCCTCTGTTTCAGCCCTGTTTCAAAAGTGCTGATTCTCTGTCTGTTACTTTAGATGAAAATAAGGAGCCCCTCCCCACGCCCCTCTGAGAGATATTTGGTTAAAAAGAACACAATGGTGCTCTAGGAGGAGATTCAGGTGATAAGGTGGGGGGGGGGGGGTTACCTTGGTTGGTGATTGGCTAATGGTTACACAAGACAAAAAAACGTGATGACATCATAAAGTGACCAAAATCTGATCAGCTGATTTTCAGACAGGTTTTTATATAAATGGATCAGGACAGAAAGAGAGAGAATCTTTTTTCCTGAAACTTTCAGAATCTCTTTCCACAGAGGGGACACGTGTTGATGTTTAAAAGACATGAAAAAATGGGTTTTGCATAATAGGTGACCTTTACAACTGTTTTATGCTCTAGCCAACTATTCAAGTTGCAGTTTGCATCAATTTCTGTACAAAATGTCATCATTTCATGTTATCTTATTAGACATTCAAGTGAAATTGTGATACTAATCAAACATTTTTAAGTTATAACCAAAAACCTTTTTTTTTTTTTTACGTCATACCGACCTTGACTAATTCTAATCAGTTCATCCTTAAGTCCAACTAAAAATACTGTATGTGCCACGTTTAAAGTAATTCCCATAAGGCATTCTGCTAATACTATTTCTAAAAAGGTTTGAATATATTACAATAAGACAATTGTAACAACAACAAATGATATGCACATCCTAAAAACTGAAATGGTGGAAATGTTCGTGTTAGTGACCCAAAAAAATGTGAACTTGCAAAATAATCATTTGATTTTTTCGTAATTTGTTTGGTTTAGGAAACCTGTTTCAGATAGTATCTTGCTTAAAAGAAGCTTTGATTGCAAATGTAATGATATTCTTGGTCTGTACTTTAAACTGATTTCTAGTAACTGCACAGTTTTTATTTATTTATTTTTAGCATTATTTTGTATCTGCCATACTGTATATCTAATGTTGGGGAATGTGCGGTTGTGTTTGTGTAATGTGATAAATGTAAAAAATCTATAAATACATGTTTAAAAAAAAAGAAGATACTTTGATTGTTTAACGGGGTTCTCAACTTTTTTGATCTTCACCTGGTCTGATTCACGTGATGTAGTGAATCAGACCCCCCCCCCCCCCCCTCCACTAACAGTACTATCTGTTTTGTTATGGCACTGTCTGCATCCTGAGCTTAGCGCCACACAAGATCACTCTGATTGGTTTAAAGAAACACAAACAAGCCAGGGCATTTTTCCCCTGAACCAGCGTTATTACGTTATGACGTTTCTCTGGGGCTGTGGAGGTCTGGCAGTGGGAGGATATTCTTCACCTGGTTGCCATTGTTGATAATATGAATAATGACAATGGTTGGATAATTGGCCAATAAACAGTTTTGTTCTCAACTGTGTGGTGATGGTTAAAAGCCAAAATCAATGATCTGCTGTATTAGGCCTAGGCTCCACGAGGACGAAAACGGGTTGAATCCACATATTTCTCATGCGTATAGCCCTTTAAGCTCGACGACGCCGTAACAGAAACGTAGAAACAGACCCCGCAAACGACAACGGGTCCAAAGGTGGATAGATCTGGGAACGGAGCGCTCTGGGGGGTCCAACGGGGCCGTGGGGTCGCCTATACGGTCATCCAGTTTCATAGCCCCGCCTCTCCCCGCCTCTCCCCGCCTCTCCCCACCTCTGCTGCTCACCCCCGCAAAAGTGCACTGCACACTGAATTCAGATTATTTATCTTTATCTCGATATGAACATAAACGCGAGTGAAGTCTAATCTGACAGGACGGAGACACGCAGCTCCTCCGGCTGTGAAGCAGCGGGAGCAAAACACACACTTCAAGTCAGATCACCACCCTTAGCTATTTTAATTACCTCTCAAACTACCTAAACTAGTTATAAATATGTTTATTTTTACTGTCGGGTTTACTTACTGGATCAGCTGCTGCATGAGGAAGCATGAAGATTTAAACTTTAACACACATTGACCGGCGAAAAACTCTGCGCGGTTCCCTCCGCCCCCACCGCGGAGAATACACAGAAGTGCAGCCATGACAACCATTCTTCTTCGCTGCTTTTGTGGAGGAAGTTGCTGCTTTTGTGGAGGAAGTTACAGCGCCACGTACAGGTTCGGCATATGTACTGCAGCTTTTCCAGCGGTTGGATGTAAACGGAGCCGTCTCGTGGAGCTTGACACAATCCGGTGTATATTGCGTGTGGGCGGAAGGTTTTTTGCGGTTGCATTTGCGTTACTCCGATGCGTTTTGCCGTATGGGTTCCCGTGGAGCTGGGGCCTTAAAACGCAGAGTACTACAACAGCAGAGACCGCATGGAGTACTGTCTTCCTGTTTTAATCCAGAAAACCAGACAAAGAAACCCTAATCCTGCTCTGACTAAACCTATTAAACAGGAAATGAAGTATCAAGCCAAGAAAGGATCCCATCTGTTTGGTAAGAGACGCTGGAGCTCAGGAGATCTGGAGTGATCTCAACCTTTTGAAACACCAAACTATCACTGCTCTGTTCAATGTAAGGGAATCTTATCCACTGTGCAGACGGGTTAATGACGGGTTAATGAAGAGTGAGGGTACACTTCTCACCTGTTGGGTGAGGGTCCTTGCGATGACTGGGCCCACCATGCCAGGAATGGTGGCAAACGTGTTGGTGATTCCCAGGAGAATACCAGCATACCTAGAAACAAAATGAGTACATCAAATACCCACTACAGTGTTGACTACAACTTAACAGCTTTCACTTGAATACAATTCATCTCCTTACACCTGGAGGAGATCTGAAACCTCTGTATGATAATGGACCAGAATATATTCTTATAAATTAAATGTTCCTGTACTTTCTCAGGATTTATAATTATGGACAAAATGACACATTACATTATTGTACAATTCTGACATTAAACATTTGAAAGGTCAAATGCATACAGTGTAACTAAATTACTTATAAGTGTTGAATTTAAGGGGGCAAAAACCATTTTTATGACATAAAAAGTTATTTTGTTTGTCAGTTTAACTTTGAGGTTTTCCTGGATGATGAGCACTAAGATGTTAGTTGATTAACTTGGTAATTCTTACGAAGGAGCGATGTCCAGGTGGTTGATGTTGAAGCCGGAGGCGGACACCCCCCCCAGAGCGGAGGAGAGGGTGAGGAAGGTCACAGCCAGGGTGTAGTCACAGCCGGTGTACCCCGCCGCCACCAGGAAGACGGCTGGCCCCAACATCCCTGCAGAAACAAACCATCAGGTGGTTCAGAAGCAGAGAGGGCAAAAGAACACACATCCTTTACTCAAGTAGAAGTACAGATACTCGTGTTTAAACATACTCTGGTAAAAGTAGAAGTACTGACTAAACTTCTTTACTCAAGTAAAAGTAAAGAGGGCTTTGAAATGTACTTCAGTAAAAAGTACCCATAACTAGCAGCTGTTTTAAAGAGTACCTGACCTCCCTTTATATTAATAGAACAATAATGTCATTGTTAGCTAATGAATGTTTCCATGCTGAACAACGGCAACATGACAACGTTTCCATTGGTCCCTCTTCTTTAGAGAAGACCAGGAAATGATGGATACACGGATCGTGTTCAAATCAATAGGCACGCAATGACTCTAAATAATAATGATCACGCCACCAAACACACATTCAAACTAAAGGAACCAGCCTGTTTGGGAAATGTGAGAAGTAGAAAGTACAGGTATTTGTGTTCAAAATGTAAGAAGTAGAAAGTACAGGTATTTGTGTTCAACATGTAAGAAGTAGAAAGTACAGGTATTTGTGTTCAACATGTAAGAAGTAGAAAGTACAGGTATTTGTGTTCAAAATGTAAGAAGTAGAAAGTACAGGTATTTGTGTTCAAAATGTAAGAAGTAGAAAGTACAGGTATTTGTGTTCAAAATGTAAGAAGTAGAAAGTACAGGTATTTGTGTTCAAAATGTAAGAAGTAGAAAGTACAGGTATTTGTGTTCAAAATGTAAGAAGTAGAAAGTACAGGTATTTGGGTTCAACATGTAAGAAGTAGAAAGTTCAGGTATTTGTGTTCAAAATGTAAGAAGTAGAAAGTACAGGTATTTGAGTTCAACATGTAAGAAGTAGAAAGTACAGGTATTTGAGTTCAACATGTAAGAAGTAGAAAGTACAGGTATTTGTGTTCAAAATGTAAGAAGTAGAAAGTACAGGTATTTGGGTTCAAAATGTAAGAAGTAGAAAGTACAGGTATTTGTGTTCAAAATGTAAGAAGTAGAAAGTACAGGTATTTGTGTTCAAAATGTAAGAAGTAGAAGTACAGGTATTTGTGTTCAAAATGTAAGAAGTAGAAAGTACAGGTGTTTGGGTTCAAAATGTAAGAAGTCAAAGTAAAAAGTCGTCAGAAAAATAAGTAGTGGAGTAAAGTACCGATACCAGACAAATGTACTTAAGTACAGTTACGAAGTATTTGTACTCCACTACTTCCCACCTCTGGTCAGAAGTAGCACACATGGTGTATTTAGACTTTAGAGCCTCACACAGTAATATAGTTATAGACAGTCCTCACCAACGATGGAGAAGACCTTCCTGACCGTGACGGTGCGGACGAGCCAGGTCTCCCTCAGGTGATCGGCCAGCTGACCGCTCAGCACCGCTAACACCACACAGCCGATGTAGGGAAGAGCCGACAGCATCCCGTTCTGTTGAGGACAAGAAAAGATGCTTGACTATGAACACTGTCTTTGAATTTTATAACCTTTTGACATCTAATTGTATTTTACTTAAATAATGTGTTAATATGCCCGTTTCATCTCACACCTCATCCCATCAGCGATCAGCTCCACAGATGCATGTGTGTGACGTGGCCCTCACCTGCTGAATGCTGAACCCCAGCACCTCCTTCATGTAAGTGGGCAGCAGCGTGAGCAGCGTGTAGAAGGTCCAGTTGTAGGAGAAGTGAGCGACCACGATGGCCCACAGCGGGCCGGACGTTAGGATGGCTCTCCAGGGGATGTATCCTGCTGACGTGGACAGCTGGGACAGGAAGTGGAGAACAGAGAGCAGATTTATTAGAAAGCTCTTCATTAATGCATCAAATGTGATAAATCGCCAAATGATTAGTAATTTCTTTAACACACACACTCAGACACTCAAATCCAGCACCAGACACGTTTTACGCTGCTATGGACAATCTTGCACTAATGCACATTTCTCAAAGTTATTGAAGGGACTGTTAATTTGTATATATTGATTGTTGTGCTTTTATTTATGTCTTAATGTGTGCATATGTATAAATGTGTCTGTTGATTGTGAATATATAGGATATACATATTTGTATATATATATTTGTATTTTTTGTATTCGGGATTGTGGGAAACGGCTTTTCGATCTCTCAATGTCGAGTAAAGCTGCTCCAGAGACACTATTTCAAGCATACTACGTCATCGAGTGGCGCCGAAGGACTGTTTAAATGCCCAGCATACATGTGCTACCAAGCAAGCCTCCTCGACATTGAGAAACGGCCTCTGTCTGTACACACAAACTGAAGGATGGACAATAAAGTTGACTTTGAATTTAACTTTCAACCTTCAGCTGTGTGATTATTTGCATTGCATATGTACATAAATAAATCCAGGTACACCACTAGGACGTGTCTATGTAACCTCTGAATAAATGGAAACAGGCTTTCTATGATCCTGTAAAGTCTCATGCCAGTTTATCTTCCAATGGGTCTCTATTGCTCTTTTTATTCTGTTAGCTTTATCTCCCCCTGCTGGTGGGAAGTAGGGACTGACTGGAAAAATTGGACTTGTATCAGAGTTTATAAATGGGTGTTTTTATATATGTTTGCTGTTGTTGAACATGACCCGAAATTACTTTTAATTCATATATACATTTGTATCAGTTTTAGGATTCTTTGTCACTGTAGAGACGTGCAAAATAATGTTTTTTTCTTCAAGAGTTAAAGTCAGGTGAGTAACTATATATAGGGAGGCGTGTGGTGCAGTGGGTTGAGCATTGGTTTTTGGATCAGGGGGTCACAGGTTCAAACCCCACTGCAGTCAGCATGTCGTTGTGTCCCTGAGACACTTCACCCCAAATTGCTCCTGTGGGGATTGCCCACAGTATTGAGTATGTAAGTCGCTTTGGATAAAAGTGTCTAACATGTAATGTAATGTACAACTGTTTATTTTGGGGGGTTGAGGTATTCCTTGTCATCTTGTTATTTTCTAATTCACAACACTGCAGAAGAATCCAACAGTTATACTTTGTGACACTGTGTCTTCATAAAGATTCATGAGTTATGAGTGAGCGTCTGAATGTGATAATAAAGTGAGTCATAGCGAGGGCCGTGACACCGATGAGTTACACAGATAAGAGAATAAAACACAGCGTCACACTGAGGTTATGCAACATTACTATCTGATGATTGTACTGCGCAGGAAACGCCTGAAATACTCTGCTGCTACTGTCTTCACAAGAGAGTGAAGAACAGAACAAAGGATATCTCAAAATACCAATTAGTGATATAATCTTCTGAACTTTTACATATTAATAACAGCTAAAAATAAAGAATTCATCAAATATATTTTACTTTTTGGTGGGTATTTTATTTGTTAAATACGTTGCAAACAAAAAAAGGAGAAGAGGAAATAGTACAAAAAAATTGATGATGTTTTTTTTTGTCGTATTTTAAAGTTTGAGTCACATTTCATAGTTACCTGTTAATTCACCAGGTTTCATTGTTTTTGAGTGCTGTTTTTGTGCAAACCAGAGTTGAATAATAAAACCTTTCCTCATATCTACGAAGGCTTGTTTTTAAAGCTTGATTTCTGGACACAGAGTCTGTTTCTGGTGTTACCTCGTTCTTGAGAGAGTTGGTGATGTAGAGCCTCTCCTGCTCTGAGATCCGAGGGTGAGTGTTCGGACTGTCGAAGGCCAGACACGTCCACAAGACGAACCACACCAGGCCGATAGCACCTGCACACACACACACACACACACACACACACACACACACACACACACACACACACACACCACACACACACCACACACACACACACACACACACACACACACACACACACACACACCACCACACACACACACACACACACACACACACACACACACACACACACACACACACACACACACATCACACACACACACACACACACACACACACACACACACACACACACACACACACACACACACACACACACACACACACACACACACACACACACACACACAGGATTGTAATGATGGTGGAAGAAGGCACTGTGTTTGTCAGTTTCATGAAACTAAAATAAGTAATCCCCCTTATTTAACTGTGTAATATAAATCTGCTTACATCTGCCCTGTGGTTTACAAATGGGGTTAACTAGTGGCAGTGGCATGCAAGCCAGTCAATTAGGCAGGACTTATTTTTCCATCCGTGAGCACATTTTCTTCTCAAACTTGCGAACTCATCGTTTCCACCGGCCAAAGAGGAACAAAGGAGCAGACACTGGAAACAGCTGGTCTGAGGATTAGAGGATAAGTGTTCTCTCAAACATCTCTGACTAATCAATGGAGAGGCTGCTTGACGCCAGGGAAATACTCCAGAGACTCCATAATCCAGACCTGCAGCGACTACAGAAGAGCATTTTTTATTTACACTTTCCTAATTAGACAAGATGAGACATCGTCTGAGATGTTCACTCAATAATCGACTTATTCATGATGTCACTTTCATGACCTAAAGTCTTACTAGACAATGGTTTTCTGGCTTAATGCATCACGTGGAAATAGAATAGTAAGGAATTCATCAATGATAAAAAAAGTTGCTCATATTCTGAAATCAATGCAAAAACCGCAACACAAAGAAAAGTTGAAGCTCATCAAAACCCAAATAGAAATCAGGAAAATGTGTTAAATCACTGGAATTGGAAATAAAATAACGTATTTCTGGTGGAGGGAAAGTCAGCAACAAAGGAACCACCCTCCCACCCTACACTAGCGAAACCCCCAGATGTTTTACCGAATATGTAGAAGACGTAGGTCCAGTCCAGGTAGAAGCAGATTTGTCCAGACAGAGGAAGAGATACGACCGTCCCCAGCTGGGCTCCTGGGGAGGAAGAGAGAAGACAAACATTTGTATCCTGCAGCGGTCTGAATGCACAGAGTAACTTACAAATGATGAATATACAGAAAGTGAGAGGTAGACATTCAAAATGATATGTCTGATGATGAGGTGAGATGGGTGAGTCATACCCTGCTCTACACATGGTGAGCGAGAGTGTAACGGAGGTGATCTCTGGGGCCATAGATCTCGGCCTCCGTTACGGATTATATAGCTTCATTATTGGCGAAGTATATTAATTTGTTCCACCCTAAAACATTGCACAGGAAGAATGTGATTATATGTAATTTATGCATCTATTTGTCACGATCTGTCTATGTTTTAGTTTGTCTGTCTCTGTTTCCTGTTTTAGTTTGAAAAGTGTTCCCCCTCCCGTCTTGTCTGTTGCTGGTGATTGCGTTCACCTGGTGCCCTGTGTTTTCTCCTCCCTCCTCACCTGTGTCTTGTTCGTTTGATTAGTCCTGTGTGTATTTAGGTTCTGTTTTCCTGTTAGTGTGTGTGTGTGTGTGGGAGATCCTTGTTGCTGGTGACTGTGTTCACATGAGACAGTAAGATTGAGGCTGTGTCATGTACCACAAGGAGTAATAAATGCCCACACCGGGTTGTATTGGGACGTTCTGCCTCTGCCTCCTTGCTTGGTCGGGCCGCTCAATGGTCAGCTTCACAGAGAGATTAATCATTTAGATCAAGTTCCTACATTGTAAGTTAATATGTTGTTTTGAAATGAGTAAGTACAAAAAAATCATTCAGAAAATAGTGGAAAATATCTTCAAATTGTTTTGTGTCCAGAAGTTAAAACGCTTCAATAACCAAATCTAATGTTGTGCTTTTAATCTAATATCAACAATGTTTTTCTATTCATCAATTTATTAAACAATTAGTTGGAAAGCTAATATCACGATTCTGTTAAAGGAACATTAAGGCAGTTAAAACCCAATTCTACTGTTTCATACTGTGTTGCATAAATAAAAACGTTTCCCTTTGTGTTAACATTGTACCCCTTGTGTGTGTGTGTGTCTTACCGATGTAGGAGATAGTGAGCAGGCGGCTCCTCTCCAGCGGGGGGGCCCAGGCCGCCCACATGGTGTACATGGCAGGGAACGTCACTCCCTGAAGACAAACATAAGAAGAGCATCAACAGGAGTGCAAAAAGTACAAATAACCATCCACTTATCTGTACATGCAAACCATCGCTGTATCTGGTGTGGCTGTAGGTGTGTCTATTAACTCCATTAAGATTATGGGTGCTCATAGATGCATTTTAAAAGGACATTTAAAGCACATTTTGTATTTGAATGCACTACAGCTTATGGTATACATTTCCCCACAATGTTTTGTATCACCCTGTGTTTATGTAGTAATGAAACAACCTACCTCTCCTATCCCTTCCAGCACCCTGACAGCGATGAGGTATTTTGCGCCCAGGTCAGCAGCCACAGGGGTGAGCAGCGTAAAAAATACAGTTCCCAGGATCCCCAATCCCATCAGCCACTTGGGGCCCCAGCGGCCGGCCAGGTATCCCCCGAGGATCTGTGTGAGGATGTATCCGTAGAAGAAGGAGCCCAGGATCCAGCCCTGGGTCTCAGAGTCCCAGTTATACACACTGGCCTGTAGGGGGGGGTGTCAGGAGTTTAGTTTGATCAAACTACAGTTTTACTGCTTGTGTGCACAGGTTACTTCAACAGTCGGTTTGTACTTGTTATTCACTTTATGTTCCTGTTTTTACAATCATCTTGTTTTTTTGAACGTCCTAAAGTTCACCTCTAACATGAACACACACTAGAGCTGCATCAACTAGTCCTCTAATCGACAGATAGAACAAATATACGTAATCTTTCATGCAAATATAGCAAGAAATGTCATTGTTTTGACCTCAAATATAGAGACTTCCTGCTTTTTCTCTGTTTTTATATAATTGAAACTGAATATCTTTGGATTTTCAAAAGGAATAACAAGACATGTAAAGATGTCACCATCACTCAATATTTTACAACACTTTTTGGACAATTAATTGACAGATTATACAATTATGAAAATAGTTGTTAGTTGCAGGACAGTCACACACAGTCAACAACAAAGGGCAAGTATGGTCAACATTTACGTTGTTGATTTTGTCCATGCATTGTTATGTCTGTCTGCAAAGAAGCGGTCATCAACACAGCTTCTCAATAAGAAGCAAAAGGTTACCCAACAAAATAACAGCATCTCTGTAGAACTGTTCTGACAATAATGCAGAACCTTTCTGGATGATTGTAGCAGCCTTTTGTTACCTTCACAGACTGTAAGGAGGGGCGGGTCATTGTCATATACTCAACTGTTCAGTTTGAAAGATTGAAAAGCTTAGTTTGTGCATCAGTCCTAAATGCGGTTTGAAACCAGATTCTATTTTTCAAGGACAAATTACTAATCAGATGTCAACTTATAAATCTAACTATCCAGTAATGATTACAGTTTTTCCAGGCAGACAAATAGGGAAAACATTGGGGGAATTTTTAAAGCCCGACAACAAGGGTTTTACTGTCTGAAATGGGTGTGATCGTGTGTGCTCTTTCAACTTTAATTAAACTATTTGTCTCTAAAAGGCCACAGAGGAACACACAAGGATGAGTAACAATAACAATCTTAAAGCAGTACTAGTTGTGAAAATGATGAATTGAGCTGCTGTTGCAGTGGGCACTTACTTACTACTTGCAGCTGGATTTACTTTTTTTTTTTAAGTCTTTTTAGGCAGAAAATGTAGTTATTTGTGCCACTTAAATCGTTCTTACTTTGCAAAAAGGACTTAACTAATCAAGGAAATGCTCTTGTGTGCAATACAGCTCCAAGGATAAGTTGAACCAGTTTTAATTATTCTTTTGACTCAGCTGTGTTTCTGTTCTTACTCACTGTGTGGTTGTGTTTGGGGCGTGGAGGGTTGGCATGAGCCGGACACACTGAGCTGCTGTGGTTTGTGTCGGACTGGGTGTTGTTCAGCATGTCCACCATTGCCACACTGAGGTTCACGCGCAAGGAGTAGACCACAAAGAAACCAAAAGAGGAGAGAAGAGCCAGGCCATAGCGCGATGAGCCGCATGCTGGGACTGCAGGAGACGGAGACAACAACAATGAGACTGTTTGCAGGATGATGTTAGCTGTATTTGTATCACACATTATAGAGAAAAATGACTATATATATTTATATGTGTACTGAATACAACCAAACTTGGGCTGTGAATTAATCTATTGACAAATGTTATTAATCATTGAAAAAAGAATAACACATAGCATTCATTTACTCTTTATTATGACAGTGACAATGTTAATCACTGGCTACAATATATACATCTTTAAAATAAAGTAATTACAGATCATTCTCATTCGGCAGACCAAATTGATGTTTAAGTGGATTTAATTTTGACATAATGCCCCATTTGTTTCAATAACTATACCTTCTATCTACATGCAATGAGTCTCTTTTGCATAATGTGCAGATAAAGTGTCATTATGGTTAGCACTGCTACTATAGTTTGCATAGTAAAAGAAAAGCACCTTCTCTCTCAGTCATTTTAAAAGATAATGACACAACATTACATTACAAGTTAGACACTTTTATCCAAAGCGACTTACATACTCAATACTGTGGACAATCCCCACAGGAGCAATTTGGGGTGAAGTCTTGCCCAGGGACACAACGACATGCTGACTGCAGTGGGGTTTGAACCTGTGACCCCCAGATCCGAACACCTACGGACAACCCACTACGCCACACGCCTACACAACCAGTTTTAGTCTTCTTATCTGGCAGGTTGGCAGGTTGGCATGCCTAACATTATACATTTATACCTTAATGGATTCTCAGTACACTTTTACACCAACATAGACTGTTTCTCAGGGTTTCAACTTATATCCAGACTTTGCATAACTTTTTAGGAACCGTTTTTATCTAAATAACTATTTAGGTATGCAAACATGACATGACTCAAAGCTCAGGTGCACATTAGGTGTGTCTTATGACAAAAGCTCAGAACGGATTGTCCCTAAAACTCGTGACAAAGGCACAGGTTGGGTGTGGGAAATGAAATCAATATTCAGATGCACCTTGCAACAAAATCCAACTGTAAATTAGACATGTTTATATATGTGGACATTGTAATCATTGGGCAATTATAGAGGCGTCCGTCGTGTTGTATCATTATACATTATTAAGTATAATCAATTATGGTGCAGGTGTTCAACTTATCACTATTGATTATTTGCTGTGTAAACAAAGAGTTGCCATGAGTTAAACACGTAACAACGTAATTAAGCAATTAGTTAAAATAGGTTCCATTTAAGCTTTTTCTCCACATTTAACAGCCTGAAACAGCGCGGCTTTGAGACATATGTTCCGAAATGAACCTCCCTTACAGGCAATGGTAATGTTAGCTTGCTCGGTTACCTGGAGATATTTTAGTTTTACCTCTCTGGACTCTTTCCTCCTCGGCCCTTTGAAGCAGTGGTGTATCGTCCCTCTCCGTGTCCGACCCGTACCGCTCCATTTTACAGTAAACTGGGTCCACTACTGCATCCCAGAAAAACAACAACAAAAGCTCCGGCTCGACTACACGTCACAAGATAAGCCGCGTCACGTGACGAGGGCCACGGGACCGGAAGTAAGAAGGAAGTAGTAGGAGTATTTTAAAATGCGGGGACACATTTTATGGGGTTTTATTATATTTTATATTGTTGCATCGACTCAGTTGTCTTGTGTCTTATTATCTGTCAGAGTGAAACCATTATTTATTTTATTCCATTTTATTTGTATTGTCATACATTGTACCTCCATGTGTCTATTAACCTGATACAATGTTATATTTGGCTGCATGTACCTTTTAAAGTTCTTAACAAATAATCTGAGGGGAATTTCTTGTTGTTTGTTTGTTAACTTGTCATTTTGTAAAGCACTTTGAGCCTGCATGTGTTGTATAAAAAGTGCTATATAAATAAAGCTTTATTATTATTATTATTATTATTATCTGTGGTTCTCAAAATTAAAACTTTTTGCTAAACATTATGTATTTTTCACTTACAATATCTATATACTTTATCATGAGGCCCTTTGTCCTATAGAGGCGACTCATGATGGTCTTGTATGAGTGTTGAATTATATGAAAACATAACATTGTGTCCATCTTGTTTGTGCAACCGACTTCAATTCTCAAAAAGAAAGGAAGGAGTAGGCCTACTGACCTTTCTACCATTGTGCTACTCATTGTTCGTGGTTTTATTTAATTATATTAGACTCAGGCCATGAACCTAGACAACTGCCCGCTTATTATGATTATCTGTTTGCCATTTGGAAACTGTCTGCAAGTTCCTTGTCTGATCTTTTAATTTTTAATTTAATTTGCATTGTTTGTATAAAATACCCTTGCTTATTCTTGGACTACTTTTTATATCTGAGGTTTTTAGCACCCACCCAATAAAAAAAAATGTGTGTACAAAAAAGACAGTTAGGCCTAATGCTTTTACAGGCTTTTGGTGTCAACCTTGCATTCCCCACAATGCACAATTCAGTAATAGACAATAATAGAAGGGTTTTGTAATTATTTTGTCAGTTGTTTAGTAATGTGATTTTCAGGCTTTATTAAGGAAATCATAATTTTCCACAAACCACATTTCTTGAAGAGCAAGTTTTGTTTTGTTTTTTGGAACAGGCAGAAACTGACGGTACATTCTTCTTGCAAAAACTCACTGAAATCAGATGATGTGTGGGAATGATGTAACCTTCAAACACAGCTTTGTTGTTGAAATCTGAGGCAGCTCAGCTGTTTGTCTCTGGGCTTTATCATCGCCACCGCAGACGAGAGACAGAAACAAAGAGAGAAACATGCTGCAGAAATGAAGAGAGACAGACACATATGAGCGGACAGACTTCTACAACAGTGACCTACCAACATGAACAGAGAGACAGACAGTCTTCTGTCAGCCACGGGGCTTTGGTTATAAGTATCTGAAACACGAAACATCAGAGACATCAAAGAACAAAACACGTGGACGACATCTGAGTTAAAGTGTTGAGGATGTTAGGTTCTAAAAAACTGAATTATACAAGTCTTTTATCTTGACCTACTTTTGACAAGTCCTTGACAAGCCATTTGTCATGTTTTACATCAGTTTGAGAAGCAAGTCTAAAGGTCTGCACTGCAGGCGTCCCCCTTGCTTTGAACCTGACCTTTGACCTTTTATGAAGAAAAAATGGCAAAAAATATATTATCGGGTTTTATTCTCCTATAGGAGAGGGGAGAAGACCTGAAAGATGACATGTTGAAAAATCACATTTTGCAGTAACTACAGATAATATATTAAAGAGTAGTACTTGAAATTAAATGATGGATTCCTGGTGAAGTAGCAGACTACTCCAAAGCTGCTCTGAATAATTGTTGTTAATCAACAATTTGCCAGATCACTATGTGTAATGTGAAAGGGGTCCCATGTAAGAGTCTTTCATTTTACAGCCTGCAAACTTTACAGTTTTGGTTCACTCTCAATGTTCTAATTTACATTGTTTCAAGCAGCTGAAAGCAAAAATTATCATCATCTCACAGATTGCTATCTGCTAGGTACCAAACGATGGACAGACAACGTTAGCAGCTACATAAAGATTTTTAAGAAAGAACATAGTGATAGCAATGAGTCTCTTTTGCATAATGTGCTATTAGATAAAGTGTCATTATGGTTACCACTGCTACTATATTTTGCATAGTGAAAGAAAAGCACCTTCTCTCTCAGTCATTTTAAAAGATAATGACATAACCAGCTTTAGTCTTCTTATCTGGCAGCTTGCCATGCCTAACATAATACATATGTACCCTAATGGATTCTCAGTACACTTTTACACCAACATAGACTGTTTCTCAGGGTTTCAACTTGCATATCCAGACTTTGCATAACTTTTTAGGAACCGTTTTTATCTAAATAACTCTTTAGGTATACAAACATGACATGACTCAAAGCTCAAGTGCACATTAGGTGTGTCTTGTGACAAAAGCTCAGAACGGATGTCCCTAAAACTCGTGACAAAGGCACAGGTTGGGTGTGGGAAATTAAATCAATATTCAGATGCACCTTGCAATGGTAATGTTAGCTTGCTCGGTTAGCTGGAGATATTTTAGTTTGACCTCTCTGGACTCTTTCCTCCTCGGCCTCCTGTAGCATTTAGCTGTTAAAGACTTGAAATATTTCTCCAGAATTTATGGATAAAAATGTTTAATAGAAAGGGAGTATTGGACCTACATTTATCAAGTAGCTGGAAACACAACATTAAAAGATGATGTGGCTCTGCTGCTCTTATAATGTTATTGTGTGTTCACAGTTTGTAGCACTGCCCTCAAGCTTCAAACCCACTGTTGATTGTTTGGTAATGGGGCCTCTCCCTGCAGCTTATGCAAGTCAAATTAATTAATTTGGAATAAGGCATCGAAGAGGAAAAATTAGACGATAGAAAACATATAAAAGTTCACGTGTCCTAATGACATATCCAACAACACATACTCTGACAAGTAAAAGACTGGACACTGCAAATACAAACAAACTTTGACACTTTAATGGCACTGGCCTACTGTGAAATTCTCCACTGCAGGCGACAACCAGATTCACTTTTACCCGCTGCAATAACTGTAATATCAATTTTAAGCACTGTGTTAATAAGGATGATACACAGCAGCACTCATCAACCAGTCACGCCTCTTTAAATCTAATGAGTTAGCAACAATATGAGTCTGTTTGATGAACAAATGTCTCTCTCTAACTCCTCCTGATATTACCCTCCTGTCTCTAACTCTCTGAGGACAAGGGCCTGTTTGTGCCAAAGGGAAATCATAGGACTCACATGCTTTGGAGGAGAGAAAGTGAGTGATCACAGCAGAAGATAGGGTGGTTCAGAGGAGAGGCACAAGTCAGAGCAGCGGACTGAAGTCATTGTGCGCTGGATAAGGACTGCAGGATCGGACAGCTGTGAAATACACTGGACCAGACCCGACCGGATACTTAAACATGGAGAATGGAAAAACAGAAACAGAAGACATGACAGACGGCGTGTCAGAAGGTAAAACAGGCGCAAAAAAAGTATGAGTTACTTTTGTGAAACTTGGAGAACAGGCTAATGGTTTGTACTTGGGCTGTATCTAATAGTCACTGCACGTTATGATAGTTATGGGTTCTATTGTTAAGTATTTATTTCAGTCAATCAATTGTTTAGTCAATAAAATGTCAACCAACATTGCAAATTGGCTAAAAACAACTTCAGAGGTCCAAAGTTGATGAATTCGTCAATTTGAAAATGACAAAACAGATAAGAAAAGTTGCATAATTTTCTCTCAAAACCTTTTAGACAATAACATATAAAAAAAGGTACCAAAAAGTTATCTTGTGTGAACAAATATTTGCTTTATTTGCACATGGATTATTTAAAATGCAACAGGTTTTGGCCAAGAAAGTTGACTTGGTTCAAAATATCCAATCATACTGTCTAGACATTAAATGAATCTGCATTATCCATGTTTACTGCTTTCAATGTACAGTGTCTCTAGGCATTATTTAATGCTTTATTATTAGAGTAGCTGGAAAATTAACTTAAATCGTGTTCCAATAGGAGCTGCGAGGAACATCATGTGTTTTCCTATCACTGCTGCGATCACAGCACCACATCCTCCTTGTTTCCCAGTGGTAATGAATTAAACACTTTTGTGGTGTATTAATTACCACACTCAGACACTGTAACTTAATGTTTACATCTTGACTGCAACAACTGAGGCCAATAGCAACAAGCCACGTTTTTTAAATAAATAATAACACCGCACACTGCATTTTCCTTCTCTTGATGTCACAGTTAGGAAATGTTAAGCAATACATATTGTACATTGTGCCTGCATGCCTAGTCAATTATGCATGATAATATATGGTAAGTACGTATTTCAGATGACCCTTGGCAATGTTGACGGCAGTCTCAACCATTTCCACAACAAACACCAGGATTGTGCTTCATACAACTAGCTAACTGTCCCAAACTGAACTGCATCTAAAGGAAAAATCCATCATAAATATTAATTCCTTTTGCTCTAGCAGTCCAATCATGAACACTACAACTTCCAAGCTGCTTTTTATCTGTGGAAATGACTTGATTCCACCAGGAAACACTTGCCGGAGACGCTACGTTTACAATGAATAGAAGTCATAGAGACTTACAGTTACCACAAGTCACAAGAAAATCTAAATGTAAGAAGTTAAGGAACATTAAGCTGATGCTTGGTCTTGTAGTTGGATGAATCTCTTATCTGAAAAGGATCGGCATGTGTAGCACTTTCACATGACTGAGGGATCACTCCTAAACCTTTCTATCCTAACCTTGACTCCTGTGGCACGAGATATTTGTCTTGAACTCCGGTGCAAATGATTTTGCCTGTAACCCATCACATGCAGACACACATCCTCCACCGCAGAGACACATTATCCTGCTTTGATAACAATCTTAACCATGAATTGCATGACTGGCATCACCTGCAAGACCATAAATGCAATAATTGCAAGAACTAATGGTGAACCTCAACGTTTTCAGAAGTTGAACATTTTGGTAATCTGTTTCGAGAATATAAAAGCTTTCTGGACCATGAATTAGTTTGTTAGAATTACCTTTAAAATGTAGTTTTGTATACAAAAAATAGAACAAAAATAATTTGCATCAACAGTATTTACCAGATTTGACACTGCATTTTATGATGAATCTGAAATTGTACTTACTGGAGCAGTAACAAAACTCTTAGAGTTGTTTTCTTACAAACATATACACATCTTTTGGAGTTTGTGGCAACTGTAGCCTGAGGAAAATCACTAGTTATCAGAGTTCGGGAAGAATTGCAAATGCAAATGGATGCCATAAATGCGGCAAACTTCTCAATAATTGTTTCTGAAGTAACCTTATTGAATTATGCAAAGGGCTTGAGATCAAACCAGGTTTACCTGTGACAGTATTGGTTGTTGTAGGAATGTCCACCTCTGGTGTAACCAAAAAAAAAAAGTGAAATAACATTTGATCCACATTTTTATCCGTGTTATAATTGTGTCATCCATTAATGCTTTCCATGCCTGCATGAAAGAAGATGTAATTACTGTGCTGCTCGCTAACTGAGTTCTTTTTCTTTGAAGATAAAGAAGAAAGCGTGGAGGAGGCTAACATAGAGATCGCTCAGGTATTTAAGAACTGTTCTTTTCCACACCACTTACACACTTTTTGGTTTGCAGAGTGTTGATGAAAAAGCTACCACTCTCTTTGACCGGTGGCTTGTTGCTTTCCGATCGTGTCATTCAAGCCTTCCCTTAATCCGTAAATTCCCTAATCTTCCTGCATTTTAAAGGTTTTTCGCATCAGCTGCTCTCACTTAACTGCTCTTGAGCGGCAATCAACTTGTCCCATCTAATCGTGTGACATTTACTCTGCAATTTGTCGTGGGAAGACTCTTAAGTTTTGACTTTGACGTGAACTACTGATTATCTTTTCAGGCAAAAGCACAAGTGTGTTCATAAAAAAAGCATTTACAACACTAGCTGTAAATATCACATTTGTTTTGAATTGAGTTCTGTGTCTCAGTTAGGCCACCAAGGGACCAAGACACTTTACCCGCATTTGCTCCTGTGGGTAATGTCCACAGTAATGACTCTTACATGTCTAATATGTGTAGTGTGTAAAGCGCTTTGAGCACCTGTAAAAGCACTCTAATAAAAAATGTAATGCATTATTATTATGTCTTTATGGACTTGTAAACATTAGGTTTAAATGAGTGTAAACTCTTATTCAAAAGGAACCAACCACAACATTGGCTAAACTTGCAATTGATATTATTAAATAATCAGATTTATGAGGAATTCATACTGTTGTGGCTCTTTAGATCTGCAACCTCTCCAAATGTAAAGACACACAGCACGTCAAACACAGATAGCATCAGAGAAGGAAGAAGAGCGGAAGGCAAACAGGACAGATGCTCTATTCAGTCCGCTGCCTGATGCCTTTCACATGACCGAGAGAGAGAGGGAGAGAGAGAGAGAGAGAGAGAGAGAGAGAGAGAGAGAGACTCAGATCTACGGATCCTAGACGAGACGCTGCGCCCGATATATATCATAGACGAGCGTCCTTTCGCTAGCACCTCCTCTCTCCTGCCCCTCGAACGGATATCTCTCTCTCACGAATCTCTACAGCTCGATGATCACAAGCATCGATGATTAGAGAGAGAGAGGAGTGAGAAAAGACAGAAGATCGCATAGAGAGAGAACATATGACACCGAGGTAGACGAGACAGAGACAGAGAGACAGAGAGAGAAGGACAGATACCATCAAGACAGATATAGATATATAGACAGGATAGCGAGATAATAGGCAAAAGAGAGAGAGAGACAGAGGCAGACACAGAGAGAGAGAAAAAACAAACAAAGACAAGAGAGAACTAGATGAGATAAGAGAGAGAGACACAGAAAATAATGAGAGAGAACAGACAGATACTATCTAGGATTACAAGACAGAAATAACATAGACATACAGAGAGAGAGGAGAGATAGAAGAGAGAGAGAGAGGCTGCTCCGACAAAGCTATGTTCCTGAGCTGATTCAGTTACCCCTGCTGAATGAATCAATCAGCGATGAATGAAACTGCACATAAAACGGTAGACTGAAAATAATCCACAACTACTCTCTGTAAGAAAGGATGGAAAAATAGCTTTGAATTATAACATTCAGAAATAACAAAAAGTTATCGAGAGATAGAAATGAGAAGAATAAAAGTTTAACTATGACTAAAGGATGTCAAATGAGGTAAAACAAGAATCGTCGACTTAACAAAGAAAACAACTTCCAGCAGAATACCAAAATAAAAATAGTTGATGACATAAAAACAGCACAATACAATCAGAACAAATGTAGAAACAGAGAAAAATTGTTGCAGAAAAATTCAGAAGACAAACAGGTACTATGACAACTCAAAGAACATAAACAAGTTAATAATTCACTTCATCATTAAAGTGGAAGAACAAAAAACCCAAACTCAAAGAAGAAATAATAAAACAATAATACTGAGTTTCTTTGGTGCATAGTTTGAACTTTCCTAAATTGCAACCCTTTAAATTAATCTTTTCTTCTCTTCATTTAAAGCAAGCGACTGAAAACATTACGTATTTCTTTGCTCTTGTGATACAGCTGCAGGGCCTGGTGGCCGAGCTGCGCGAGGGGTTCCATGCCACTCTGACGGAGCTGTGCGAGCTGCGTCAGAGGGACCACGGCCTGGAGGAGAAGCTGCAGGCCCATCAGACTGATGTGGACGATAAGATAATGGGCCTCAAGAACTCCCTCAACACTTTTAAGGTGCAAGACGCACACACACACACACACACACACACACACACACACACACACACACACACACACACACACACACACACACACACACACACACACCACACACACACACACACACACACACACACACACACACACACACACACACACACACACACACACACACACACACACACACACACACACACACACACACACACACACACACACACACAGTTTGAGTCTATTCATTGTGGGGTGGAGCAGCCGCTGTAACATAATTTAAAACATCTGACTGGAACTATAAACTAATTTAATTGATTAGAGAGCAAGGCAACTCATTCAGACTACTTACTTAAAAAATACTGACCGGCATGGTATGTACATTTTCTATATTGTACAATTGGTTTCAATGTACTGTTTTCATCTTTATCTAATTTATCTGCACAGACACAACATAGCAACTTCATTTACCCACCAAAGGTTGATTACATCATAATATCATGAGATGTTTAAATTGAACACGCATCTGTTTTCAGTATATTAGGCATGTGCTTTATTCTTTGTGTAGCTTTGCATAATAGGAGTTGTTTGAGTACAGTATGCCATAATTATGTGCAAGTTGCCATATTTACAAGGATTGCCACATTTCCCATAAACCCTTCATTTCTTAATGAATATTTGTGTCTGGGGCTTTAACAGAGTGGATGTTATTTACTGTAGAAGAAGAATGCTGACTTCTTGATAGATGCCTGAAGGAAACCCAGCAGATTTCCCTCAAAATCAGACATTTACTGCTCACATTAATACATCTAACAGTGACTCCATCTTCTTGACACTAATGCAGTTCTTTGCTTTAATCTCCCTGCAGGAGGAGCTGAACATGGCATTGTTCCACATAAAGGATGTGTCTAACAGACAGAGGGAGGTGCAGAAGACCATAGAAATGTTGCAGTCAGAAAACACCAAAGACATCCTCTCTGCTTCACACAGGTAGAGCTTTATGCTATGATGATGTTTCAGTTGTTTCGTCCACAACATTTTTTTATTTTAATATATAGACACTATTAGTTAACCCTACCTCCAGAATGCAAAATTGATCCAGAACTGCTTTTCATTTCCCTATAAATAATTGCGTATTGGCGGGGAGGCAAACATATTTGGGGAAATTAGTTGTTTTTTATTTTCTGTTTCTTCTCCTTCCACTGCTAATTGGGCCAAAAGCAGAAAGGGCTCCAAGGCAGATTTGCTCTCAGGGGACGAACACATCTGTGTGCCGAGCCAATCAGACCTCAGTGTTATTCAGCAGTTCTTCTCCAGTCTGCCACACAGCAGCTCCACACACAGGAGCTCCACATCCACACACAGTGAGTCCACCCACTAAACTGAAGTGGAGAAAAATGTCAGACTAATACAAAAGCAGTTTACTCACATTAATGTGTGTGTTGCAGCCTCTGCCTCAGAGCAGGAGGCTCAGCAGCAGAGAGGTTGTCCGTCCAAATCTCCAGCGTGGGGAGAGAGGAAGAACAGCAGAGAGGAGCCTGAGAGACCCAACAGCCAGACTGAAAACAGTAAGACATACTGTATATGTATATGTGCTAATAAAACAAATGATACCACATCCCTTATATCACCACCAGAACCACCAAGAGTCACTACTACTTATACACACACACGTCTGTTGACTAATACCACTGCAAACAGAATACATACCCTTTCATAATTCAGCATTTTGGGAAACACTTACATTAATGCCTATAGTCAGAATAAAAGATCAATATTACATGCGGGCGATCCAGGCATTCCAAAATGATCAAGTGACCACAATTAAAGAAATATTTAAAACCCATCATTAAAATACCAACATCTTTCACTCACTCATTGTTTTAAGCCGTGACAAAGACACACAGTTGTCTACACTTGTCGATACACTCTCGCATATTGTTCAAAACACTTTATATTTTGTTGAGCTTAAAGGTGGGGTAGGTAATTTTGGAGAAACCAACTCGAGATCGCTAGAATTTGAAAATACACAACCAGAAAAAATCTGCTACTTCCTTACAGAGCCCCCTCCTCCAACACACACGAACGCGCACATGACCAATGAGGGCACGAGATAAGTTTGTGCACAGATGGAAGGCTGACAGGCAGGTAGGCCATCCAGTTATTTTAGCCGGGCCGGCTCAGATGATTGGTCGTGCTTTTTACAGTACTACAGCTTCCACAGAGGACATGTTTTTATGGATTTTTTGTCAAAGCACTTAAGATATTCATTGCTATCGGGATGTTAAGAGCATTCCATGGAATATAACAAAAAGTGTATCTCGAGCCGGTTTCTCAAACTTACCTACCCCACCTTTAAGGCTAGCTGTATCCCCTTGTTTCCAACCTTTATGCTAAGCTAAGCTAACGGTTGAATAGGCACATTTCCAAGAAGGTCTTTACATTAGATTCTAGGATATTTAAGACTGTAACTGATGTAAGCAGAATCATCAACAACCCCAAAACCCCTAAAGAATCCTCTTCATCTGTTTGTAGTCTAATATCCGGGAGTAAAACTCAACTTGCTATCTGTCGTTGGCTCGTCTTTGATGCCAATTGTTGCGTGATAGTGAGCTTCATCACCACTAGGCTACAACAAAAAACTAATTTAAACTGTATGACTTCCTCTACCTCAACATAGTTTAAACTTTAAGTGTGTGTGTGTGTGTGTGTGTGTGTGTGTGTGTGTGTGTGTGTGTGTGTGTGTGTGTGTGTGTGTGTGTGTGTGTGTGTGTGTGTGTGTGTGTGTGTGTGTGTGCAGATAAGAGACAGAGAGTGGCTCTGGAGCTGCTGGAGTCAGAGAGAGTGTATGTGTCCCACCTGTCTCTGTTGTTGAAGGCCAACATCTCCTTCAATGGATCAGAAGCTCCCACCTCCAAAGACAAACGGTAAGCCTTTAAACACGAATGCTACTGAACCCAGTTTGAAAAAAAAGCCTAAATATCTAAAAATCTTAATTGGAAATCAAAAACATACTTTATTGAACTGCGCCACACGCCTCCGTAACATCTTTATGAACATTTAGAACGTCCACACACAACCTTTGGAAACCCAGATTGACCCAGACAACGCTGACCTTTGACGTCCAGCCTTAAACTCAATAAAAATGACAGCCTGAAGTCATATCTATTTTTTCTCTAAAGAACACAAACAGATCAACACCGAGATCTATTCCAGGAGTGGCTGCGGATCTAATTGTATAGCTTACAGTGAGGGCATAACAGGAAATAGACTAATTCAATAAAAGCAGGTTATAGCACCAGAGAGACAGAGAGGGTACTATTTTAAAAAGACTACACCACGCATCTCTCTAATGTAATCACTGCACAGCACACGTGTTCTCAATGAGTACCAATGAGAAGCTACATGCTAAACTGGCTCGAATGGTACTTGTAAATGATTGCATTTGTTTTAATCTGATATAGTCTGCTGCCCTATGTCTGTCACCCCGAATAATTGTCAGATAATTAAAGTAAATTACATGACCGTACAACGTTGAAGGATGTTTACAATTGTTAACTGTATGCACAATGTTATTAAAATAGAAGATACAATATTGCTTTCTTTAATGAGGGTGCAAAACTTTTTTTTCTCCTCCAATTTTCCAGCTTTTTGGAATGTTTCCATGTTGGTTTCTTGGTTTCAGGTTGGTTCCTTTTCTAAGCAACAAAGAAAGGATTCTCTATCATTCATGTCTTCCATGTCTTCTCTCCTTCTCGCTGTCTTTAGTCCGTTTCCCAGCACGTTGAGGTTTCTGATCCAGCAGCACCTTGAGCTTCTTCATACTCTGCAGGAACGCGTGCTGAAGTGCCAGTGGCAAGGCATCATGGGGGATGTGTTCATGAGGCTCACCAGCAAAGAGGTAAACCACAAACTCAAAATGTACACTATGGATTTTACTGTATGGATTTCACTGTTGTGAGGTCAAAATGTAAGACCATAAAGAGCCTTGTGTGAGCTTTGGGTGATGCAACAGTGTCTGTTTACGGGCTCTTTGGTGTGCTGTGAGGAAAATGGTATGCTTAGGATTACAGAAGCATTTCCACCCTTTGTTCAAGATTCAATGCTTTTATTGTCATTTGTACATAGCCACAGTGTAGATATATCATTGAGAATCTTAGGTCACAGGCTCCTCCAACAGTGCAACACAATGAAACAGATAAAATAGTTAAAATAGGGCAAGTAAATACAAATAACAGGATACATTTGACCTAAAAAACCTGACCTGTCTTGAATCAAAACCACCTATCAACTTGTAACCACCCTGCAACTGAATTTCTTCATAATATTTCATTTTTTTTGTATTATTTTGGCCACTGTAGACAAGTGGTATTATTCAATTCAACACAACCTTACTTCTAAAACAACAGCCTCCACAATGAACATAGAGTTGAATCAGCACGTTGTTGTCTGACACAGTGTCAATAACAACTCAACATGGAAATCTCTAGAAATGTTTATATCTGTGTATATTTAAAAAACCATCTAACACAAATAATGTCGACTTTGCTTGCTTGTAAATCAGAACTTGACATTCAGAAGCCACAGCGCCGTCCCAGGCTATTTACTGTGGACGGGTCAAAAGGTTTGGTCTTATGACCGGCTGTGTATAATGAATCTGAATAGTTTGGCAGCCATGACGGACTGAAAGAGAAATGTCAAATTCCAGCGAGGCCATGATGGGAGCAGGGATACAGCTGTGGTTCAAAGACAACATGATTCTTATTATCACTGTACAATATAATTCGTATCTAAAAAGGAGCCTGCTTCTTAGCTTAAGAACTTTACAAAATGTTTAATTATATTAGGAAGGTGCTAATGGCAAAAACCAAACCCAACTGCAAACCAAAAGGAGACGCTGGAGCTAATGAGTCTATTCCATTAAGATCAATGTGTTGAGTCTGTGTGTTAGGGTTAGGGTTATCGTGTAAACACCGCCTTATGAATGAGAGGAAACGAGATAATTGGTAGGAACACCTTCCTATTTAGAACAAATAAAGGCAGTTTTACAATGCATTGTGGGTCGTTGACAGCCTGAGAGCTTTAGGAAGGAAATAGATTAAAAAACAATTTGGGAATCCTCTAATTAAAAGCTTTTACAGTTTTTGTTACCTTTATTGTTTCTAAAAGGACATCAAACTGTTATCAGACATTATCAAGAATTAATTAAACTTTTGTATTTATTTGACATTTTTTATTTGAAAGGTATTTCGTTATAATGGTTTATTTTGTTCTGTTGTATGGACTTTAAAATTAAATGTACGCAAGAAATGTTGCTAAAACATATCTAGCCAATAAACAGAGGGTTGTAATTTGAAATACATTAAAATGTGTATTGATTTAACTACAAATATTTCCCATTGACATTCAATATCTATTTTACAAGGGAGTCCTGGCAGTGAATTACATAAAACAATGACATTAGCTTTCAGTGAAAAGACCTGCAATAAGTCGTGATTAACCCGGACAACAGCTGGAAACTAAGGATGGAAAATGAGTGTGGATTGTGCATGAATACAAGCTACATTATTTCTCTCTGTCCCCTTACAGAGTGATTTCCTGGACTTCTACGTGTCCTACCTGAAGGAGCTCCCAGACTGCGTGACGGTCGTCAACATGCTCGCCTCCAGCTCCATGAAAACCTCTGCCTTCCTGGAGGTAACACGAAAACAAATCAGTACAGGAAGTACAGTAATGTGAAAGGACCAGGCAGGGCATGATACTGTAAAGCGTAAGAGAATGAATTAATGTGCAGAGAGCATAAGACATTTATAAAACTCATCACATGACAGTACGGGAAGTTCCAAATTTGTTAACTAAAACATCTAGTTGGCCGAACTCTGTTAGTGTGCAAGGGCCACAGAAACAGCTTAATTAAGTCTCTCTGGTCATACAGGCTGCATTGGTTTTGTCTTTCCATCCTGATTGGTTGACTCTTTTGCTCTGATTGGTCACACGGTGCGTTCAGAGTGAAATAATGGGGGATGAATCCAGGCCCTCGCTGCACACTCTGCTCCTCCAGCCGGTTCAGAGGATCCCCGAGTATCTGCTGCTGCTGCAGGTGAGATCAACGCAGTCAAACTTCATCTAACACAAAGCATATATGTAGTAGTAAGGCGATTTAAATAGGATACATTCATAAAGAATTACCATCTTCTCTCTGCAATATCAAACATTTTAATATAACTAAATTACCATAACATTACAATAGCTCATTAATTAAGTGCAGGGTTACACATAGCCACCCAATTTAGAGAGTGCAAATCTGAATTTTAAAAAGGAACAACCACAAACAATATAAATCAAGATTAAGATAAATAAACAAACATTAAATAGAGCGGCGACAGAACAAAATGTATAATATTTCATTTATGGTAATGAGTCTGAAGACAGCATCTGCCCACAAATGTGTGGAACATAAATTGAACATCTGTGTGTGTGTGTGTGTGTATGTGTGTGTGTGTGTGTGTGTGTGTAGGGGTTGTTGAGGCAGACCACAGCAGAGCACCCAGACTACTACCTGCTGCTGGTGTGCATCCAGCAGTTCAGGTCCTTCACGACCCAGTACCACCACCTGCTGCAGCACAACCAGGAGCTGCTGCTGCACAACCGCAAGGAGGTCAAGAGGTCAGGATAGCCGCTCTACAAAGCAAACAACATTACACGCATGCTTCAGAAGTCAAACACAGCCTATTCTTACTGTTAGTACCTTACAAATATGGTGTTCTGTGCTGCAGGTCTACCATGAAACAGCTGTTAAAGACAGTGGAAAGTGGGATTCAAGCTAACAACATTGGCTCACCGTACCCTTGCAACAGTGCCATGTTGTGAGTATTTTTGTTATTATTTATTAGGTATTGGCTAACTACTTATTTGTTGCCAGGCAGGTAACATACAGTAGGTTTATCAGAGCTTTCTGCTGTCTGGAAACAGGGTTGATTAAGCTGTCTTTGGCTCTTTTCTGCTGTAACAATGTACATTTCCCCTCTGTGGGACTAATAAAGGTATTCTGATTCTGAATCTGATTCTGATTCTGATGACTCGTCTATCCCTCACAGAGAACACGCCAACCAGGTGAAGCGGAGCAAGCAGCGTCTCCTGGATCAGATCCAGTCTCATCGTTTCCAGGAATGGGAGCCGGATCGTGAAACTCATTGTTACGACACAGAGTGGCCCTCACAGCTCACATACTTCAACCCCGAGCTGGACTCACAGAACCACAAACCAACAGGTCTGTGGTCTCAGAAGCTCTTGAATATAATCTTTATGTGGTTTCTGATTGATTTGACTTGATACTTCTGGGCATCAACAGGATTGTTCGGAGCTTTGTTAGGTTGATCTTGGCAGGTTCAAGGTTCAAGGTTCTTTATTGTCAAACTAACATAGCTACAGAGTAGTTATGTCGTTGAAAATCTTATGTCACAGGCTTCTCCAACAATGCAACATAATAATACAGATAGTAAAAGTAATACAAAAAGAAAAATAGTTCTAAAATAACGTGAGTATGTGGAATAGTGCAGTACGAGTCTATATACAAGTTATTGGAATGATATATATTAGATAGTAGATATATATTACTAAGTAGCAGATGAATGCTATGAAATTGTTTCAGCAGTTCAATTGTTTAACAGTCTCACTGCCCGCGGGAAGAAACTGTCTCCGAAACTTTTTGTTTTTGCCAGGATGCTGCGGTAACGTCTGCCAGACGGCAACAGAAAGAACAGTTTGTAGCTGGGGTGATGGGGGTCTTTGATAATCCGTAGAGATTTCTTCCTGAGCCGCTGGGAGTAAAGGTCCTCCATGGATGGCAGCTCCGTCCTGGTGATGTGCTGTGCAGTTTTCACCACCCTCTGTAAAGCCTTACGGTTGAGGGCGGTGCAGCTGCCGTACCAGGCCGTCATGCTGCCAGTGAGGATACTCTCTATCGTGCACCTGTAGAAGTTGCAGAGTATCCTGGAATCCATTTTGAACCTCCTCAACCTGCGGAGGAAGAAGAGCCGCTGTCGAGCTTTCTTGGTGATGGTGGTGGTGTGAAGAGACCATGTCAGGTCCTCAGTGATGTGGACCCCGAGGAACCTGAAGCTGCTGACTCTCTCCACCGTAGTCCCATTGATGGCGATGGGGGCGTGTCCCTCTCCCTGCTGCTTCCTGTAATCCACAATCAGCTCCTTTGTTTTGCTGATGTTGAGATGGAGGTTGTTATGGAGGTGTCGGTATGATTGAAGTGTGTACAATTAAGTGCAAGACTGTCCAAAAGCGTGCCATGTGTACGATCAATTGTTTTTTGACCCTATATGATGACAGGCTTGTCGCCCAGTCTTCAAATGTCCCCATTTGGGAGACATTCAAATACGTAAACCATCAGACATGTTCAGACAAAACGTAATGTTAAGTACTTAGTTTGAACCCTTCCTGGAGCTCTTGCTAAAGGACACAACCTTGAGTCAAAGGCACAGACCTTGATGTCTTGTGTCAACGAAACTGGCTACACGAAGCAATTTGGTACCCCTTTAATCTGCCCCATGTTATATCTGTGGGCTTTGTGGACCTGTTTTCATAATGTCATAATGTCTCCTTGTGAATGCCATGAAGGATTCATCAGAAAGACATGCAACCCATGTCACTTAGATCCTATTTGGGCAATTGACCAATAAGTGAACTTGTCAACCATTGTTTATCTTTCAGGTCTTGGCAGTATCCCTGAGAGTGAGGGGAGGTCCTGTCAGGACCGCCTCCCCTCCAGACCTGCAGACCTCCATCAGGCTGTACCTGGCTCTGCTCTGGCCGACGCCCTCGGGGAGTTCCTCCTGCCTCCAGACCCCCCGGGGATGGAGAGACTCTACGAGGAGGACAGACTTCACGATGTCTCCATGTTCGACCGCTGCTCCTCCGGCTCTTCGGATTCCTCCATCGACATCGCCTTCGTGAAGTGCCCCAAAGGCCCCTCAGCTTCACATCACGCAATGGCGGCAAACGTGTCCACCACTAGGGATGTCTTTGGAAACGGGGGGAGCCATGGGAACGGTTATAAGCTTCTGAACCGAGGATGCGTTTCTCCAGATGAAGCTGTGATGATGCGTCGCAATATGCACCGCCCCCTGCAGGCCAGCCAGCGGAAGAGCAAGGTGAGATTCAAGATTAAAAAAGATTCAAAGGTTTTATTGTCATATAGAATAGAATTGGGAGGGATGAAACCCTCTTTAATGGTCACACATGCAGAGCACACAGCACACTCAGTGACATGTGTTCTCTGCATTTAACCCATCCTAGTACCAGGAGTCTAGTACTAGGAGGAGTGGGCAGCTATTGTACAGCGCCCGGGGAGCAATGGGAGTGAGGGGGGAAGGGGGGTGTCCGGTGCCTTGCTCAAGGGCACCACGGCAGGGCAGGAGGTGAACTGGGACCTCTCCAAGTAGCAGACCACACTCCGCATTTTAGGTCTGGTCGGGGACTTGAACCGGCGACCCTACAGGTCACAGTCCAAGCCCCTACTGACTGAGCCACTGCCGGACATATGCACAAAGCTACAGTGTAGAAATGGCAATGAACATCTTCTGACCTGAGTTCCTCTAAAAATGCAACATATACAATAAAGTACAAAAATACAAAATAAAAAGTAGTGCAAAAAGTCTATATACATGTCAATAGAATATGGGATATGTACAAGAACAGAATATGAAATTAAATAATGTAAATTAAGACAAAATTAAATACGGTTTATTGAGGTGACTATTTATATAAATTAGTATATAGTGAGAGTTTGTCTTATGTACAATTGGACAAACTCAGAGACAGTTTGATACCAAAGACTAGAGGACTGTTTACTTATTTACATATTTATAGTACATACAGTTGACATATTTATATATTATTACTTTAAGAAGCATTTTATTCCACTGTACAGTATTTAATTTGACATTATGTGTCATATTCTTCTATTTTTAATAATTATAGTTTATTTATTTCTGTATTTTACTTGTACCGATGTGTCCCTACTTTAGTTTTATTTAACATATTTATTTTGGAAATGAGTTAATAATAATAATTATATAGAAATGCTGTCTAATCTTCTTTATTTCTATTTCTTTTTAAAATACTTGTTCACTGTTCATGTTTTATTGTTTTTACATATTTTAATTATGTTCCTCATTTGTTATTGTGATTTGTTGTCATACTCTGTAAAGCACTTTGGGCTGCGTCAAGCATGAAAGGTGCTATATAAATAACGTTTATTATTATTATTATTATTATTATTATTATTAAATGTGTGAATCCTCTGCTGTGTAGTCGCTGAACGGCCTGCAGATGGACTCCACAGTGGGGGGTCTGGACGGAGCCCCTCTCTCAGACCACATCCAGAGGCTGGGGCTGGGCAGCCACGCTAAGCTGGAGCGTCAGGGCAGTAAAGGCAACAGAGGAGGTCCCACCCCGTCCCGTAAGGTCCACATTCCCCCGGTGACCAGAGCGGACCCCGAGAAACAGAGCGAGGACCTTCATGGGCTGCTCAGCATGGTGGGGTTAAAAAAAAAATGTCAACAACTCAGTATATCTTGAAAGGTTGTCTGTAAGGTTAGGGTTAGCGTATTTATATAGCATATTTCTATTCAAAGTGCTTTACATAAGCTGTGTAACATATGATTACACATATAGCAAATTAAATGGAAAACAAGACAATAGTTTAAAGGTCACCTATTATGCAAAATCCTCTTCTTCATGTCTCTTCTACATCAACATGTGTCCCCTCTGTGTAAAGAGATTCTGAAAGTTTCAGCAACAAAGATTCTCTCTCTTTTTGTCCTGATCCATTTATATAAAAACCTGTCTGAAAATGAGCTGATCAGATTTTGGCCACTTGATGTCATAATGATTTGTTGGCTTGTGTAACCATTAGCCAATCACCAACCAAGGTAACCCCCCCCCACCTTATTACCTGAATCTCCTCCTAGAGCACCATTGAGTTCTTTTTAACCAAATGTCTCTCATACCCCTTTCACACCAAGGCTTTTCCCCTTCTAGCTCCGTGCTAGAGCTTTTCAGGTTCAGAACCGGTACTTCGGTTTAGCTCCGGCTCTTTTCACACCGCTCAGAGCCCGACTGGTGCTGCCGCTGCTGCGTCATGACGTCACAGTTTACGTCGCTGCGTTTCTCCCCAACGGAGCTCACCTCACAACAACAACGGGCCGGGGACTGCATCGGGTCGATGATCGTGTTGCTTTTAATCATACGAAGCCAGATTAAATTAAATAACGACTTCTCCAACCTTATACTTTTCTCCAGAGTGCCGTGGTTCATTGTTTATTAATGTGTTTCAGCGGCATTTACCGACCACTGCAGTGCTGGCTGCTCTTCCACGGGAGTGTATTCTCCCGTTAGCTCCGGGTTAGCTCACACGGCTCTAAAGTATTCACTGTCTGACTGTCACACAAGCAGCTGATACATATCCCCAGTTCCCCTTAAGTGAATGTGTGTCAGTCTGAATTGACGCTGTTTGGTGTCAGTCTGAATTGACGCTGTTTGGCATCACAACGCTGTTATGAAAGTTTCTCTGGTATAACATGGGTGATGTTAGCATAGCAACCGAAGCTAAACTGACTACTTGCTAAGCCGTTTTCTACAGGCACTTTTTACCGGCGTATTTTTCATTATGATTCTACTTGTGATAGTCGGACATGACAACCTGTGCAGCCCATGTATTGATTCCATCCGATAGCTGCTATAATAACAAACAAAACGTCTGCCTGCTCTCCACAATGATCAATAACAGCGAACGGATGGTCAAAGTAAGGTACAAATAAACAGAATCACACGAAGCCTGGTTAGTGTTGCCTGACTTTATAAAGCGTGTTTTTTTTTTACAAGTGTGTGATTGCGTTCTAGTCACTTTGCTCAGCACTACTGCTGGTTACAACTTTTATTTGCCGTACTCGCCTTAACTGTTAGCTCAGGTTAATCTCGCCCCCCTCCGACGTAAGCGTGACGTATGCGGTTCTTGCTTCTAGACGGACAACTTTTTGGTGCTCGAAACAAACCGGATTCCGGAGCTTAGAGGCTGCTCCGCTGCGGTGTGAACAGGAAAACCCGGTGCTTTTCAAGCTCCAGCTCCGAACCGGCCCTGAAACACCGTTGGTGTGAAAGGGGTATCAGAGGGGCGTGGGGAGGGGCTCCTTATTTTCATCTAAAGTAACAGACAGAGAATCAGCACTTTGGAAACAGGGCTGAAACAGAGGGGATTATGGGATGCTGCAATGATCTGTTTGGTGTTTCAGCCAATCAGAGACAGGCTCTGTATATATCTGAGACCTATAATATATTGATGAAAAACAGTATAATAGGGGACCTTTAAAGAGAGGGAAGATAGTTGAAAATTAACATTGCAACATTAGTAGTGAGTAGTATAGTTTAATGTCTAAAGATGACTTGAGGAAATGTCTTTAGGAAAAGCAGCGGGAAACCAGAAAGGGTTTTAGCCTCGATTTAAAGGAAACATTCAAGATTCAGTTTAATATTAAGCACAGAAACATATGAATGGTATCAAATGTAACCAAATCAAATATGTAATATTGTTTCCATCTGCACCAGGACTCCGGTTTCCAATCATGGGGGGACGAGTCAAAGTGGAGAGGGGGGGCAGAGGAGAACCATCACACCCCCTTCAGTGAGAGGAGCAGGAAGCAGGAGAAAGGAGGCTTCAGGAGCTCCTTCAAGAAGCTCTTCAAGAAGAAGTAAGAAGATAGATAGATAGATAGATAGATAGATAGATAGATAGATATGCACATATATAGTACCGATTTTGAATGATGTTGCAAAAACAGAAGGACATGCACACTCTGCAAGGGAAGAATCAAAATGACCTCTGAATGTTTCTCTCTATCAGGAGCAGTGATGAGAAGAAGGATAAGAGCGGGGAGAAAGCACAAGAAAACCAGAACGGTGAACATGAAGCTCCGGGGAAAAACCCCAAGCTGGTGCATCTGGAGATAAACCGAGGCACAGCTGTATGAAGACTCTCTCACACGTGATCAAATATTAAGCTTGATGTATTTGGAGAGGTACAATATGAGGTTGTTTTACATTTTTACAACAACTGGTTTAAGTCATTTAGCTAAGCTACTTTTAATTTCATTATTTCAAATATAAATGTAACACCCCTACCCCTGGCCTTCAGAGAGAAAGCACTTGACATTATTTAAAAAAACAAACTATTCAGCAAAGACGGTGGATTTTTAATCATCTTCTGTTTGTACAGCAACAATTGCCCTCACCAAAAGGTTAGAGTGGCTTGATTATATTTGTTTTAAACATTTAATATTAAACTAATGACATGCATAATCACATGTGCATGTACTTCCCTCTCTCTCGCTCTCTGTCTCTCTGTCTCTCATCTTATTCTGTTTCTCTTCAGCTGTACTCAAGGGTAAAAAGCCAAGAAATAAATACCTGTATAGAAAAGTGTTCGCCTTAAAAGGTCCTATGTCATGCTTTTCCGGTTATTACCCGTCCCCTTGTGTGTTATGAAGGTTTTTCTGCATGTCAACGGTCTGCAGAGACACAAACCCTCAAAGTACACCCTGTAGCGAGTAAAACTCTAACACAGAAAAGACCTGTCTATGCTGCCCCAGAACGCCTTGTTGGAGATTTCTCTTTTTCCATTGTTTACTTCTTGGGTATAGTGACGTATTTCGAGTATAGTGACATAACGTCCGAGGAGCCGTTACGTTTTGACAAATCCGCGGACTTCCTCACACACACACACACACACTCGGCGGGACGTTGCGAGGCTCGCTGCTGCGAGGAGCGGGACACTGAGCTGGCTCACTGGCGCGGGGTCGGCGAGACAGCGAGACACCGCGGAACTCAGCCTGGGCACACACACAAACTCCCAGCCAGGCTGCGGGTGTGTGTGTGCCCAGGCTGAGTTTCGCGGTGTCTCGCTGTCTCGCAGACGGCCACTGGGCTCACAGGGAGGGGGGGGGGGGGGCAGGAGCTCCAACAAGCCGTTTAGGACAGAGAGTGAATACACATACTATGCAGAGATGCTGTATGAGAAACCAATGTGAGTTTGGAACATTGCACAATATAAATCTATTTTAGTAGACCTCAACAATGAAATTATGATCAGTAGAAATGGCCATGACATGGGACCTTTAATAAAGCTGTAGTTACAAACGTGAGCACTAGAGCACAGTTTGACACGGTCCACCCCCACTCTGTAAATATTGCTGCTAAAAAATCCACTATCTAAAATGTTCTTTTCCCAAGGTGTTTCATTTGTACCCCAACTTTCAAATCTGTAAAAAATGTTTTAAAGCTTACCAATGACTCTTGGTCTGCTCGCAGTGCTTTTCCTGAATCAAGCTACTTCTGTTCTTCCTGTCAAACTTTCTACTTTTCTGCTTAATGTCTTTTATAATAAAAGCATTATATTGGAATATACTCAGGAGAACAAATATGAAGCTGTGGTTATTCGACATTTTGTGCATTTTCTTTAAAAACATGTAATGCTTTTTTCTGTGACAATTATTTCTATGCATTTAAGAGAATGGTTTTGTTGAGATAAACGTGGCAATCAAGAGACATTAAGAAACTTAAATAAATGTCCACCCTTTTCTTGAATCACTGGCACATTAATATATATAAATTCAATTGGCACTCACTTGTTACATAGATTTGGCTAGTTCTATATATCTGGAATGAGTTGTTATAAAGTTCACTAAATTGATTGTCGGTGTGTTACCTGAACTTGTCACTTACAAAACATTACATTATTTTTAACATCATATTTTTTTAACTCACATTCAGCAGGCTACAGATTTTTCACCAAGTAGAGCCGTTTGGTTCTTGTTAGAAATGCAATCACCTGCAAGCAAGAACCTGTCAGCTCAAATAAAAATAAAAAGGGTTTACGTATAATAAAAGATGAGAACCACTTGTCCAGGTAAAACTACTTCAACAATCAACGAAATATATAAAAGGCGAAAGTCTAATTTGCTCCAGTTGCATCCAAACCCCAAATTTGTATTATAAAGCCTCAACTAAGTGTCTATAAAAAAACGTCTTGCATGCAACTCTGCAGCAGGATAATATTACTTCAATCAGGAGAGACGGTTTTGATGTAAGAATACATATTTATTGCCATGAATACACAAATTAATGTAATGGAGTTTTAGCGATTAGGCCCCGTTGTGCGGGAGTATCATTCGGGAGGGGAGAACCGATACGATGAAACCCCCCGGGGTCTAGAGACAGTGGGTGTTTCTCAATCGCGAGTACGCTTGCTTGGTAGCACATGTCTGCCGAGCATCTTGCTTCAGAAGTGAGTCAAGGATACTTCCTGGCATTCGGAAAACGAAGTGTGGAACACGCCAGAAAGTGTGCAGGTGTGCGTCATATGAGAGGCCCCGCCTTACATCTTCCGCCACAGATTTGAGGAAATTGGTCCGTGCGCAAAGCATTGTGGGGATTTTAAGACCGCGAAGTCTACTCATGTGCACACTCGATATTTCTCCAAACGGAGTACGCCGGGCTCGGTAGATTTCCAAGTATACTGGAGATTGGAACAGTACTTCGGCGGCACTCGATGACGTAGTATGCTTGAAATAGTGGCTCTGAAGCAGCTTTACTCGCGATTGAGAAACACCCACTGGTGGTGGTGAATGGATAGTTGGGTTCGGTCTGAAGGGGAGTGGCTTAGCTTGACCCTGGATTCAGAGGGACAGGAGGTGAAAAGGGGGTGGAGGAGGGTTGCGTCGAGTCACCTGAAATGACAGGTGTCAGAGGGGGGAGAGCAGATTTAAAAGGTTTCGCAGAGCGCTATGATAGGCTCTTGGGAATAGAGCGAAGTGATTGGTTAAGCTGGAGAGTGACGCCCCCGATCACTGAGAGAGAGGGTGTTTCTCAATCGCGAGTACGCTTGCTTGGTAGCACATGTCTGCCGAGCATCTTGCTTCAGAAGCGAGTCAAGAATACTTCCTGACATTCGGAAAACGAAGTGTGGAACACGCTAGCAAGTGTGCGTCATATGAGAGGCCCCGCCTTACATTTTCCGCCACAGATTTTGGAAATTGGTCCGTGCGCAAAGCATTGTGGGGATTTTAAGACCGCGGAGTCTACTCATGTGGAGCCTCGATATTTCTCCAAACGGAGTACGCCGGGCTCGGTAGATTTCCAAGTATACTGGAGATTGGAACAGTACTTCGGCGGCACTCGATGACGTAGTATGCTTGAAATAGTGGCTCTGAAGCAGCTTTACTCGCGATTGAGAAACACCCCCAGTGTAGTTACATGGAAATAGTGAATGAGTGGGGACGGTCTTCCTGGTTGAACTTGCGGTGAGCTTCATTTGGATGTTACATCTATATTGATTCTTTGTCATGTTGTGTTGAAATAAATCACATTTTAGGCTTGAAATAAAATCCTCCACTTCCAGCTTGTGGGCAAGTGCTCTTTGTCTTTTGTTAAAGCAAATGTGTTACTAATATAGGATTAGTTAGACTAAATATAAGATCTTACCATAACCAAATATCATACTTTTTCCTCTCCGACACGTCAAATGTCTTAAACTTTAAATAACAACAAGACACCAAATGTTTCGAGTTCCTTCTTTTTAATGTGTTAAACCTGCCATCTCATAAATCTGTTACACTTCTGAAACAAAATATAGGCAATTATACAGTATGTAAAACAAACCCATTTTATTTTACACTATATACATTTCATAACGTGTGCATTGCATTATGAAAACAAAAGACAAAGGTGATGAAAAAGCGACAGAACAAAGTGTTTTGACTTATAAAGGGAGGAGACCTGGGATCAAACTGCTCTTGCAAATAACTCATCGGTGATTACTTCAATAATCAGAAGAGGATTACTAGTAAATTACCTTAACGCCAATTTACTTTGCTCATATCTGGTGTCTAAAGCAATCCCTTTGAATTATTTTCCCACATGATTTGATCTAGTCGAGGTCATAAAACACAAATGGACTTTCTGCCATGTTGGCACCTGCTTCAGGGGATTATAGATAAGCTCTATGACAGCAGAAATTAGTCATTAAAACCCGACAGAAACACACTTAGTTATTCTGCAAAAGAGACAGTTTTCCCTCAATTAAAACGTATGAACCCGACAGAAAACAATGGTACAGATTTAAGAATTTCTTACATGTTTTAAATTAATTCAAAAGTACTTTCCACGAGTTAAGATGTGCAGCTATGATACAGGGTGAGTTTGTTTTGGGATTGAATTATGACAATTAAAAACAAATCAATTTAGGATAAAAAGAAAATCTTAAAAAAACAAAACAACTTGAAGTCCTTTTCAGGAGAATCTGTCATTCACTTTGTCTTCATGTGTTTTAAGTAACTTGCATCTATAGTAACTTGTATTGATTTCTCTAAATCGGATCATTTACATGCGTCAACTGAGAGGACAAAGACGTTTTAACAACAGTCTCAGAGAACATGTTTAACACTAACCGTTTACGCTGTTGATGGTTGTCTTTCAAATCAAATTGTAAATCTACGACATACCACAAGACCTAAAGAATGTTATTTTCTCTCCAAAAAACAAGATGAATATGACGAGGCAAGTCAAATATCTAATTGAATGAATTAGGCTTTAATAGGAAATGTGATTAAATATGCTTAAGTGGTTGACTATGTCAATTTGAGGCTATTTAGTAGACTTGGCATCTTTTTGACACTGAATGAACAAATCGATAGGAAAATATCTTTGTCAAATAACCTGGTTGTGTGAATAAAACTTGGTTACAGCTCTGAAACTTCACTATATGACACTTCTGTATTAACGGGTGTTGGCTAGACGCACATGTTTTAGCATCAAGTCGCTCATCTGGGGAAGTGATTCACTTTCTTACTCTAAAAGTGAATCGACCCCAGACCAGCTGTGACATTTTTCTATGGCCTATTAAGGAAATTCCCATTTTAAACTTACTACATGGCAATAGTGTGCCTTTTCATATCTCCGACACCAATCTTCTTAGTCTCAATTCAACTCTCTGTGGGCATTTTATACAAGAAAGGTGTGCACAGGCAATTCAAAAGTACCCAAATAATTTAAACCCTCGCAGTGGATTCAAGCTCTCTACACTTCACTAAACTACCGGTCTGTTTGCTTCTGTTACATCACAACAGCAGTGAAGTAAAGCATCAGGGAGCGTGAATCCAGTGAGACGATCTGTGTGAAAACAGTTAAATAGTGTGTAGGGACGTCCTGTCACTGAATGCTTAGAGGAAGGACATGCTGCCATGTTGGTAAAGTGACAGGAACAGATTAGGATTATGACATATCGACTTTCTGAGCCGTGGAAGAAAAAGCTTTTACACTAAGCTGTTACATTATTTTCTTATTGTCCACCAGCATGACGTAATGTCCCTTTTAAAAACATCTTAGACACATTCAGTGACAAATCTATACAGAGCTGAAATGCATTTAGACATTAGGAAATCTCCTATTTACTCCACAGCCAGCCTCAATATTTTTAAAACACTTATTGTTCCTTTCAATTCGATATGTCATTGCTGTTTTCATGACGTTGAATATTGAAATTGTCGGTCAAATTCTTATAAAATTCAAAATGTCTCCATTAAATTCAAAGACATTACTGTGACCATGGTGGTTATTCTTAATTATTAATTCATATTTTATTGTAGTGAATGACCTGATTAAGTCGCTCTATGATGCGTTTGCGGACCATTAACTTATAAGCTTATATACCTGTGTTTCTACGAAGGAAATCAATACACCCAAAATGTTTCAGCTCTGTAAGATATCAGGGTTAACATTGATGTCTCAGCTATGTTCCTCTGAAGCTACCTGTAGTGTCACAGCTTGTAGAGACGTAGTGTACGGCCACATGTAGACGCTCCTACACACCACACAGTGCACATCTACATGCATGTAGTGATCTCTTATACAGATGTCGGCCTTTAAAAAAAGTCACAGCAGTGAAGGCCGAGGTTAAAAATACAATCACTTAAACAAAAAATGTGGATTTACACAGAAGTTCAAATCCATTTTGTCACTAGCCAAGCTAATAAACTAAGCTCTTCCATTTGCTCCCTACAGTAAATGCGTTTTGCCTAAATGTGAAAGTGTCCTATAATGATAGTCATGTGAAGTGAAGTGAAATATATAAAACCATTTTGACTATGTTATGTGATTGTTTAAACAGAAAGGCCCATTGTACTTTTAATATGGTGCACCCCACCCTTGAAAAGTCTATTTATTGCAAAAAAAGAAAATAAATGATGTTTCCTTCTGTGTAAATCCAGCTTTTTTAATATATAGGTGCTTTTTTTTAAATTGGCCTTGAGCAGAAACACAACTGTCACTTGTTAAAGACCAGATCTGTACATGACGCACTGGTATGTGCATGTTCTATGTCTACACACACACACACACGGAAACACACACACACACACTGTGCACACACACACAAGGGCATATATTAGAATGACATCACATCTGTTTATCAAATACCTTTTTCTCTGTGCAAATGTATAACACCAGTGGTTCGATAAAAAATAGCAAAATAAAAAAAAAACGTTCTGATAAAAACCATAAAGGGGTGAATGTCGAAAAACAAACTTGAATGAAGAGAATTTGTAACGCCCGTTGCCCTGACGACTGTCGCTATGGTGCAAACGGGTTTCATTGGTGATGCATGCAACATGAAAACGATCGTTTCTGTGTCAGCTCGGTTCAACGCTGAGCTCCAGACTATGAGAGTAATATCAGATTACTGAAGCTGTCCACCTGAGGAGACGGCAGGGCTTCCTGACCCTCGTCACATGATCAAGGAACCAGGAAGTGAATCTACTGCTTCATCACTCGCCCACTGTCTCTCCGCTTGTCTCCACAGTTGTACAGAGCAACTATACACACGCCTATCTACATGACCATTAGTGTTCGTCTCTGTCAAAAAAATACTACATTTATATTTACAACAATTAAATAGAGGTCAATTAAGCACTTGTGTGGTGTGTGGGTGACGGATATCAGAATTCAATGCTAGCAGAGGTGGCAAAGCTTTTTATGTTTAAAAACAAATAAAACAGGAAAGCCATCCTGGTTGTTAAAGTTACATCATGCGACAATAAATAAAGGTGTATTTAAAAAAAAAAAAAAGGGGGAAATGAAAGACAGAGGAAAGGACGATGGAGTAGAGAAACGTTTTCTGTGCAAGATGGCTCTTCTGTGAAGCTTTAGCGCAAGTAGCAGTAGTAGTAGCAATATGTGTAGTACTAGTAGTAGAAGTAGTGTTGACGTCAGACTTCTGTTTTCCCAGTGTGCAGTATACGGGGAAATGTGGGAAGGATTCTGGGTTTAATTTGCTGGACTAAGGTGCAGTTTCCTCCGATTATCTCAACCCAAACTGACCTCAGATCTGCAGTTTCTAACCCTCGCTCCACAACCCGCTGCCCTACTACAACACGCTTCACTAAAACACATGTAACACTGCGGTGCATTTTAAACGTCTGCAACTGGGAACACACATCTGCCCCTTGATCGTCTCCTCTCCAAGGGGACACAGGAGTTTTGGGGGGGGGGTAAGCGGTAAGGGTGGGGGTCTTTTCCCGGTTGCTCACTCCCTTGTTTGCATTACATGGAGGGGTGTTTAGAGAGTGTGTTTATGTGTGTGTTTGTGTGTGTCTCAGTAGCTGTTTTCATGGCCTGCCAGGATGTAGAGGTTGCTGTGGGCTGTCGGGTTGTCTGTGGGCCGGCTCTCCAACACCACCACCCTGCAAAACACACACACAGTCAAAAACACAAGCACACACACACACACACAAGATCCAGGTTAGTTTTGAAGGGAAGGGAAGAACACATGAATCAGTCTTTATTCCACCTTTAAACCACAAAAATCAGAACAACCCAGCCTGCTTCTGGCAAAAATAAATAAAACCCTGAGTTAAATGAAGCATTAAGTCGTAATAAAAGACCAGGAGTTATTGCAGTAATTTGTACCGACAGTTAGCAACCCACACAGGATATGGTCCAAGCCTGTGAAAGCCCTGTTATTTAGAAAAAGTCAGCAGAGGGAGATACTCTGATAGTAAACCCGTCACACTCTGTTTACCTTGAGGGAAACTGTGGGAGCTGTTAATACTGTTTTAAGAGGGTCCCAAAGGCTCACACATTCACACATCATAGCTCAAAGAGACTCAGCTGCTTCGTAATGAGGCAATAAAACACCAACATTATCCAGTCGCCATAAAACAAGCTGCTAGTTTAATATTTAGTGCAGGTTTTAACAATCCTTGACACAGAACTGACTGTATTTACTGTCTTTTTCACAGTTATACTATCAGTCATATTGTTAGCTTAGCATCAGACCAGACAAAGATGATTTTGGTGCCTTGGTTTATTTCCTCATACACACTCTTTCTTTCTTTCTCTCACACATGACCAATAGTCCCCACAGAAAGAGACAGGAGGGGGTTTTGAGGTGGTAGGGGGGCAGCTTCAGTGAGTTTACCTGGGCAGAGTGAGGCCTCTGTCCTGAGCCTCTGGATCCCTACAGTCGTCACGTCTTTAGTGATAAAATATCAGATGTATCAGATATGCTTAACAGTGATATATGTGGCGACTGTAATGACATCCTAAGGCAAGACGTACGTGTGTGTGTGTGTGTGTGTGTGTGTGTGTGTGTGTGTGTGTGTGTGTGTGTGTGTGTGTGTGTGTGTGTGTGTGTGTGTGTGTGTGTGTGTGTGTGTGTGTGTGTGTGTGTGTGTGTGTGTGTGTGTGTGTGTGTGTGTGTGTGTGTGTGTGTGTGTGTGTGTGTGTGTAGTCTGCAGTCTCACCTGTCTGATCCCAGTAGTCTGAAGATGCGTGTGCTGTCAGAGATCTCCTGGGTGATCTGATGAATAAATATGGAAAAGAGACAACGATAAACAAAAGGGTTAGAGCTATAAAAACCTCAGGATGATAATTCAATGTCAAGTAAAGTGGCCAATAAGCATAAGTGTTAAATAATGGGTATATTGTGATACAAATTGTTAATTTATGCTTCATTTCTGGTCATTTTGCATGTCTGAAATGTTTTCCTTTACTAATAATTTAACATGCTTTATTTATTGTCTCCCATTTAAAAGGAATATTCAGTTATTGTAATATTTTGTGTAATATATTTTGTGGATGGCATCGTCCACATTGCTTAGTTTGTTTCAAAACTGTGTGCGTGCCCGTCTATTGTAGGTTATACTCTGAGGTACCTTGTAATGCTTGAAAACAATCCAAACAATCCTTTAAAGGTTACAACAAAGGTCATTTAAAATCCTATTATAGTGGGAGATTAAATGAAATCCTGCCATGATGCCTGGAGGCGAACACATTACACGGTCCAAAGGTCACCTCTACTGTGCATTTTCATATTTAACACCTACAGAGAAATTGTATGAATCTCACCTCATTGGTCTTGAAACTGCGTCCCTGCATGCCATGCCTCCAGAAGGCCAGCACACTGTCTTGTAGACAAACTGCAAAGAAGGGGAAACATTAACAAGGATGATCTTTATGGGCTACATATTAGCTTGTTTTGTTGAAATCCAATAGAGGGATACGAATATGGAAAATGTGTTGGCATAACAGAACATGTCATTAGGCCTGTCGCGATAATCAATAAATTGACTTATCGTACGAGAAATAAAAATGGACTCGATAACTTTTCTGAGCTCGATAAATTGCCGTTTACATGCGTGTTTGTTTACATAAGGATGTGACCAGCATTTTAGCCAGGCGCGCTGTGAGGGGCGGGGCTCACACACAGCCCATGACACAGCCAGGTCAGGACACCCCGCGTGTAGCAGCCAAATTAATAATATAGAGACAAGCAGGAGACAACGTGTGACATACTCAAGGGGGATTTGAAGTTATAACTAAAACCTAATACCACATCTCTGGTGTGGGAATATTTTGGATTTAAGCCAAATCAACGAGGCGAACCTACGGACTTGAATGAGCCGGGCGGTGTGTCGCATTTGTTTTAAAAAGGTAGCAACAAAAGCTAGCAATACGACCAACCTTAAACTGCACCTGAAACACAACCACCCCATTCCGTTTTCCCAGTGTGTGTGTGCGTGTGTGCGTGTGTGCGTGCGTGCGTGCGTGCGTGCGTGCGTGTGTGTGCGTAAACACTGCAGCTGCAGATGGAGAGCCCCCACCTTCCCGACAGTTTACAATCAAAGATGCATTTGCCCGACAATGCAAACATGTTGGTGTTCCTTGCTCGAAATCTTTGAAATACAGATTTGGATATGGCCTGTTGAGGCATCTGGGTCTTTGTAAGGACAGTGGACTGTACACTTGACTTGTTTTAAGGAGTTTTTTTTTGCTATAATTTATATATTTGAATATTATTTTCAATGTTGAATGTTCAATAAAAAGTTCTGTTTGAAAGGATGTACTTGAATTATTATTATATATTAACATTATGTCAGTGGTCTAAAATGGTCTTACAACGGTGCCGACAATGTTATCGTTTATCGCAATCATTTCCGGGAAAATGTATCGTCCAACAAAATTAATTATCGTGACAGGCCTACAAGTCATAGTTAAAAGGAAACAATATAAGGAATATAAGCATTTCAATTCATGTCTATTTAGTGTAGGAAATCTAGCACATTATTTCTGTTCACCAAAGATATTAAGGTCCCAATACAGAAATAAGGAGTTTTATTCCCATTTACCTGTGGCTTCGATCTGGAAGTTGAAGGTGAGCTCTGCTGACAACTTCCTGCTGGATTTTAACCTGCCCTGGAGGTTCACTATCTTTATAGACCCTGTTCATGGAGAGAGAGAGAGAGATGGGGGAAAGGAAGCAGGCGAGTAAGAAACGTTGAAGTTGAACAGTGTAAATGCACAGACGAGTGGAAAAGCTACTCACTGTCGAGGCAGACGAGGATAGTGTCTCTCTCTAGCTGAGTGACGTGGATCACACACGTCTGCGGTGTGTCTGCAGAGAGAAAGAAGACACCAGATGTTGTTTTGGCCTCAAAGCTGTACACAACAACAACTCACGACAAATAAAATGTTGTATGTATGAAATAAGAAGAAGCGTTCTTACAGTTCTTCTCACCTGCTTCTGTAAACCAGGAGGAGGTAGAGTTGGGGTTGACGGTGCCGAACTTCACCACCTGGTTGAGCTCGAGGCCTTTACTGACCGCCACACAGATCAGAGGGTACGTCTGCTCCGGGACCACCAGCATCTCAAAGACCTCCAACGGACACGGCAACGGGAAGTCGATGTTCTGTAGAGCGGATATAAAGACAATCGTAGGGAGAGAAGAGTGTCATTAGTGTTGTCTAATCTGAAGGAGATACGGGACTACTGACATCTGGGGACAGACATCTTGTGAAAGAGCAATATATGAAAACGTTGATTTGTATCTAGTAATGATGACACTATAGCTGAGAATGTTATTTATTTAACACTTATTAATGATTTTAGAGACTTAATTTAACACTGGAAATTAGACAAGCCGTAAAACACCGCAATGTGTTCACATGTTAAGCCTCCTACTCAGAGTTATTTAATAAAATGAGCTACGGCAGAAGGCCAGGAGACTTTTATGAATTTCCTTTTTTGGTTCGTGTGTTTGTTTGGTTTTTAATTATTATGTGTTAAATGCCTATGTGAAGCACTTTGAATTGCCTCTGTGTCTTAAAATGTGCTATACAAATAAACTAACTAACTAACTAACTAACTGAAATGAGAGATTTTTATGAGGAAACACTGACCTTGATGAGCATAAACTTCTGCATGGACTCGACCCACTCCAACATCATGACACTAGACTGAAAGGCTCCACACAGATACTTATGGCCTGTATACGGGTTTCGAACTGCATGAGAACAAAACCAGTGATCAGTCATTATTAACTTTCTTGGTAACATCTTAAACACACAATAACCTGTGAAGAATGTATATCCTGAAAATAATTAGGTGGTGAGATATGAAGTACTAACAGTAACAGTATACACATTCTCTATGGGATAATACACAGGTTAACCCCAGAATAACATCATGCCACTTCTTCTATGGTTTATGTCACAAAAAATGTGAAGTTCGCTTTTTACTAAAACTCACCGACGCAGCACTTTTGGCAACCTTTAGTGTCTGGAATCTTAATGGACACCGCATACTTCCTGTAAACAATTAAAAAAAGGAAATCAGAGTCATTGCAAAATGGATATTGTGTTGAGATTATTCAAAAGGGACATGGATGGTATGTTTTCATTTTTGTTTTTATTCAATTTGACATAAAATCGATCCGTAAAAGGCAGTGGAGGATTACAATTGAGTTAACCAAGAAAAATTACTTTTTTTCATTTACATATTTGTAATTCCCGTTCAGACTTACCTGGGAATCATCTTATCAGGCAGCTTGTGTGTGGGAATGGCTACTGGTAACTTCCCTAACTGTCTGGCCTGTTCGAACAGACCGCTCAGACTGTGGGAGTACAGCTGAGACGCTTTTCCTGCAAAGGAATATAAAAAAAATAGGAAGAGAATAAGGAAAGGGAACAGAAAAGATACATAACAAATAATGTGGACTGTAAATACAAGATGCACAAACCAGTTATAAGAACACAACTAAAATATAGTTCACTTCCAAACACTTCCATAACTAGACATGTTATACAATAACTCACCAGATATGGAGAGAAGACAGCTGTTCATGACATATAACCAGGTACACCTCCGAGGAAAGAGCTGCAGGCAGATAATAGGTAGAGAGAGAATTAGGACGCAGCAAATAAGGACTATAGCACAACTTGCTTGAATAAATTGATTGTAGGCTTTTTAAGAGGAACAACTAATAAATTGTACAAGATTTGACTGCCAATGGGAGGCATCATTAATTAGGAACAGTCAAATTGTATAAACCAATAAGTAAGGTTTAAAGTATTATACCAACCAACTATGTGCAATATGTGCTATATGTGCAATATATATATATATGCCGTTAATAACTGTGCAATATATACCTGGCTGCTAAATCCTAAGAACTGTTACAGGATGTGTATTTTGTAAATTGTGTAACTTTTTGTTTTATTTTTATTATAACTTTTTTTTTTTTTTAACTTTAATACTTTTTTATGCATGCTTCTACGTAACATTAAGCTGTCTTCAGCTCGTTTTCTGCTGTAACAACGTACATTTCCCCTCTGTGGGACTAACGGGCCGTCTCCACAGCAGCGTTAAAAAATCTTGGAACGCTTCTGCCCATTCACTTTGAATGGAGTGACGTCACTTTGCCTCACTTTTCGCCGGAATGCATTGTGGGCAGGCGAGCGGAGATTTTCAGGATTTTCAAGATTCAAAGTTGAACAATGTTCAACTTTTGAAGCTGAGGTGGAAGCGGCAGCCAATCAAATCCCGTGTACGTAAATCTGGCAGTTCAAGCTCTAGCCAATCAAACGGCGTGTATGCTGGGAGAGACATACCGCAGATCATTTCCTCATATTCCAAAAAATGGAGGAGAAATTAGCGGTAGGGAATCACCCGGTGCTTTATGACCAGACCTACCGGGATATAAACCGGAGGAGCCAGGCATGGAGGGAGGTGGCAGAGACAGTGGTATGTTTTCGCCTGTTTTGGGGAGTTTATATCCAGTTTACTTCGGGCTTTTTTGCTTCGTATGTCCCGGGCGGGAGATTCATGTGATTGGTTGCTCGCAAAAAATCCTCAAGCTTCAGATACGCCCACCTCCAAGATTTTTTTAACGCTGCCGTTGAGACGGCCCGTAATAAAGGTATTCTGATTCTGAAGTATATTACTATTATATTTAAATCTCTAATCTCCAGTCTCACCTGTTCCATGGAGGTCTCATGCAGCTCATTAAGGTTTAAGGTGTAGATCCCCTCTTCAGCTCCAAATATCAAGTACTGGTCTGAAACACAAACAAACAAACAAACATTACTGTTTAGATCAGAACAGCTAACATTTCACACTGAACAGTTCCTTAAAGATTCACGAGGGTGTTATTTCTTATTGCTTACCTCTGGTGTCGGGGTTGATCCAGGACGTGGCGCAGTGGATCTTCAGAGGACAGCCGTTGAACACCTTGGAGAAACACGCCCCCATCTGCAAATGGGAGGAAGAGAGGAATAAATGGGATGCAAATGATGAACTTTGCTGACACAAAAAAAAAGTGTTTTCTAAAAAGGAAGACAGAAAGACTTTTACTTACATGGACTTTGGGTGTAGGAGGAAGACCATTACTGATTGGCTTCTAGGACAGACAGATAAACACACACACAGACACACACAAAGAGTCAGTCATCATTGGATTATATATAGTCCTCTAACATACTGTAAGTAGGGTGGCCGGGTGCCAACAAGCCACATATGGGACAAAGAGGACGTTTTTGCAGGACAATGCGGGACATGTTACTGCGTTGCTAAGAGCTAGTTTAGATTAAAGGTCACCTATCATGCTATTTTTAGGCAATAGCATAGGTCTCAGATATATACAAATATATAAAAAACATGTCTATGAAGTGTTTTGCTCAAAATACCAAACAGATCACCCATTCTAGCCATGCCTCATATCCCTCTATTTCACTTCCTGTTTCAAAAGTGCTGATTTTATGTATAGGAGGGGGCTGAGCTCATGTGGGACCCGGCAGCTACTGTCTAAACTAAATACTGCCGTGATGAAACGCCATATCATGGATTATCAAGGATTATTTCTGAAACAGTATGGAGCTCAAAGGCTTTCTCTCTTGCCGGTTATACCACAAGGTGAGTTCCTTTTTATTTCCTGCTTCTTCACACACATGCTCTCCAGTACAGGTTAGCTCTGAGTGTTAGCGATGCTAATGTAAACATGCACCGACCATATTACGTCCAAAACAGTCGGGCATTGTTTCTGATAGCAGCTTTCTGATAGGGCCGTGGGTGTAAAGCCAGCCTAAATTTCCGATATTACGTCATATCGGACGCAAATCTGGATCAGCTCCGTTGTAGCCCCGTTTTTAGAGATTTGGGTACGGAGGAAAAGAGAGGGTTTTATTTTCTGACGTTGCGCGAGTTCCCTGACACACCGGGGACACATATTTATGTATGAAAGACATCAAAAAGTGCATTTTGCATGATAGGTCGCCTTTAATATATATTTTGGTTTCAGGAGGAATATATCCATAGATCGATATTTTCTTTATGAGCCAGGTGTTTCTCGTGAGTTTCGGGAAGTGTTGCTTCAAAATATATTCACCTTCGTGCGCAATAAAAAAGAAATTCTGGCAAATCTGACAATAACTCTCTGGGAATCGCCCTCTACCGGCTACACCCATAAGTAAATACATGTTTCTGTTGATTGATTGACATCTGACAAAACTAATGGTGATAGCCCTCTCGATTTCAACACACCTTTGGAAAAATAAAAGCGTTGTTTTAGACGGGCGATTGTCAATCAAATGCGGGACATCGGCTAAACGTGTGGGACAAATTATAAAAATGCTGTGCAGTCCCGTACAAAGCGTGACACCTGGTCACTCTAACTGTAAGTGAATCTTGAGCTACACACAAGCTACTTATTCTAGCATTATGTCAAATATGAAGGATCTAAGCCATGGGTTCACTAAAAGCACATTTGGTGAAAACGTAAAATATATAATTGGTGACTTGGTAACTTCCTCAAAGATCTGGAAATCCTTCACTGATATTTAGCAGTGTCTACTTACCGGAACGTCCTTCTTGTCCTTCCTAGTTGGGACACCAGGGGGCATGGTGGACTGTCTGTCTGCTGAACTCTCCCTCTCTACCCCATGTGCAGGAGCTGTGTTCAGCCCATTCCCTTCAACAACAGAAACAACACATAAAACACAAATTCAGATCAAGTTTACATGTGAGAGAGTCAGTGTGTGTGAGTATGCAGCAGAACATGCAAGTTAAAAAACAGACTTAGCTGCAGAATACACATTGAAAGCACAGTTCAGTCACATTGACAATTTCTCATACATATAGTTGTATGAGTACAATCTAATGTGTAGGACTGAGGACACAGAGGAGTAACACACACACTACTGGGAGGAGAGAGGGAGGGGAGGGGAGGAGGAAGCAGGCTAGCAGGATAATACACAGGATCAAATCGAGTAATGAGCGAAGGAGGGTGTTAATGCAACACAGACAACCTGATAGCTAGCGGTCAATGTGGGTCGATTGTTGGTTTACTCTACCACTGCAATCATTTAAGAAGCCAAAGGAAATATGCATGCCCTACTGTGTTAAGAAAGCAGGAGTTAGCTGATAAATTGTAAAATAATGAGACGTATTTGCAGTAGCTAAGGACCAAAACATGTCCTGTCATGATTGCAAGAACAACAGTCACACACACACATGCAAATACACAGTGCAACTTCACCAATTCATGCCTGCTGAAGGCTAGGAGGACTATTCTGGCAAAACTGTATATTCCTAATCTCTATTCTCCATCTATTTCATGTCTATACTGATTCTACTGAACCATATTTTCCAATCTGTTCTCTTATCTCAACTCCATAAACACTAATCTGTCAACTAATAACCAACTTGTTGTAATAACACCTGCCTTCTGTCACAATCTAGTGAGTAAACAGGTGAACCTAACTTCTGCTATTGATTTAGTCCAGAGAAGACACGGAAATTAAAAGATATTTTACAGAATGATGGCCTTCATAAAGTAATAAAAACCTGATTCCCCTGAATAAAGCAATGGAAATTATTGGATTGAATCTGTATGGAAATGTCCTACAATCAGCTGGATATAATTGTGTGTCTTTGTTAAGAAGTAACCTTGTCAATTTGAAAGCGATTGTCAATACTTAGGTGTTTCTGTTCAGATCATTGTACAAAAATGGCCTAAAACATTTTAAATGCTGTTGTTTAAAAGCTTCTTTTTTCGTTTGCTAACTTCTCAATTAAACTGCTGAGTTACATTTTAGCATTGATATTTATAAAGCTGCCAACAGGAACAGAAAAGACCAGAGTGGATGAATTAATAAGAACTCATGACATGTGCCATATCACTATTAGGCGCTTTCACACCGGAGTACTTTTAACAGGAATAGTTCCGATAGTTCGTGGGATTTTGCGTTCACACCAAAAAGACCTGGAACTCGAAAAATAATTTGCGAACCTTTTCACCCCTTTTTAGTGCCTGCTAGAGAGCAGGGACTTTCCTGGGGAGAAAAAGGTTCCAATTTCTGATTGGCTGGGCGAATTGCAAACCACTCTGAAATGTTTTTGTGAAGCCGCCATTTTATTTGCTTGCATTAGCATTATTAGCATTAGCATTAGCCCAGCGCACCAACGGAAAGAGACTAACTTATGGCAACACAAAAGAAAACATGGGAGCGGTGGAGAGATGAGGAAGTGTCGGCGCTTCTGGCGATTTACTCGGAAGGCTTCAGTAGAAGCTGCTGGGAGTCCCAGCAGCTTCTACTGAAGCCAGTCCCCAACTCCGGGGACTTCCGGCCGGGGACTTCGGGTGGCAGTATACGCCGTGAAGTTGTTTGCGGCCTGCCAGTAAACCCAAAGCAGAATAAGAAGAAGAAGTGACGTCAGCGGCTCCCTCAGGGACTTATTCCGGTGTGAACGCGATTTACTAGATAGTTCCAGGAACTATTCCTGGGAAAAGTACTTGGTGTGAAAGCGCCTATTGTGTGTTGTTTCCTGAGTTCTGATCAGCCAGGACAATGTTTTTTCTCCTCTTCCTTCTTCCTCCGAGGAAGGAAGGGCCAGTGGTAGCAGACAACTAGCTTTAATATGATTGGGTAAGACAACCAAGTAGACTTAAAGAAAAATGACAAACACTTATATTGAGCAGGAGCTGATGGACAAAAGGAACTACAAACAAAAGATTGGAAAGCACTGGTATTAATGGAGTCATGGGACATATAAATTAGACTGCGAGGACTGACTAGTGGGAGACCACACAACCAATCGAGGGGGGACGACAGGGTCTTTGGGAACTACCAATCTACCAAGTGGCTGCTCTTACTCTCTTCCTTTTCCTCCTCTTTTTCCTGCTCCTCTTTCACCTCCTTCAGCACCTCCCACGCCTCCTCCAGCTCCTCATCAGTGTGAGGCGTGTGGAGCCACTCCCAGAAATGCCTAAAGCTCCCATCATCCTCTGGGGCAGAGTTTTCGGCGTCCGAGTGCTTCGGGCTCTCGTTACCTAGGCTACTGCGGCGGTGGGGCGGCAGCTTCGGGGGCGGGGGTCTCGGGGGGACGTTGGAGGCGGGCTTAGCGGGACTCGCCGTGTCGGGGACCGGGCAGCGTTTGATGGTCCCTCCGCCGTCATCCTCGCTGTGTGATTGGCTATCGTCAAGTTTGTGTTGTAGCTGCTGGGGTTGTTGGGACGAGCAGAGAGACTTGGGCTGAGGGGAATAACAGATAGGGACAACAAGTTATATTTCATCAATCTAAACAATACACCTCTCTTTTCAATGATAGTAAACATAATAGAGTGGTGCAGTGATGACGTATTTTTGTAGGCCGACCCGGAAGTAAGCTGCTGGTTCCCTCGACAAAAAAGCAATGGGATTTCTCCATAGGATTTTGGAATATTGTAAAAAATAAGATCTGTGGAAAACGAACCTGTTTGATAAATGCACGTTTTGTTCAGCCGGATAATCTCCACATGTCTACCCTACTTTTATCATTTTTGAATCATAAATCTAAATAGATAGATTTATGATTAGAAAATTATAACAAAACGTGCATTTATCAGGTTCGTTTTCCACAGATCTCATTTTTACAATACACCTACCTGCATGTGGCAAAATAGGACTAAACTAAGACTTTTAAACACATTGTTCATACCTTGGGTGGAAGGGGAGGCGGGACCTTTGGCCTCATGATCGTGCTCGATTTACTGAAATGGTAGGAGAAAATGTAAGATTCTGCTTAACAAAACATAAGAAGCAGCCTAAAAACGGCCATTTTCTTAATAACCAGAGTAAAAATGGAAACAATATATACAGTTTTCACCACAGAGGTCATGATTTCACTTGCCATTTTAGTTTTTACAAGATCACACGATTTAGAATGTAATATAATTGTTTCTTTGGTGGATCCCATACAGAAACAAAAAGTGTAGTTACGCTGTTAATATAAAAAAAAAAAAATCAAGACAAATGCTTATGAATCCAGAATGAATTAAATGTTGCATTTTGTGTAGTGATCAGCCGTTAAAGAAACCCTGAAATGACAAGTATAATCATATCCCAACTGTTGTTTGACAGTGAGGTAAGATCACTACTTTTAAGGGTTAAAAATACTATAAAGTTAGACTAGCATGTTAGAGATCACGAGGAACAACATCAGGGGCAGCATGTGTAAAGTCTCTGAGAATAGCAGCGCTGATACTGAAAAACTGATTAGATAATTAAAGCCAGTTTCCTAATTTACCTCATACCATTCATATACTTGAAATTCAACCAATCTCTAAATAATGCTAACTTTTTGTTACCAAAATAATAATTTTGACTGCAGAGAAGCACTATATTCGCAGAGACTTTATTCATTTGCCTTGTACACTGTCTTGATTTGTTAATGTCTGACAGAGAAATACCCAATATGAGCTCTCAAATTCTAAAAGACAATGACATCACAGTGATGATAATACAGGAACACCAATAGCAATGAGTCACAGCGATCCAGTTGAATGGGGGTCAACAAATATACGGCTTGATACCCCCTTAATGTTAACTTTATCAGTAACTGACAAAACAAAACAGTTATGATGCAATGCTCCAGCTATGGGTTTGTTAAGGGTAGAATGAGAACACTGTATTGGGAAATGTTGCATGGTGCTGGGGGGCAAATGGCACAGAACTGCTGTTAGGAAATCATGTATGGGTGCTAACGAAAACATTAATGGTGGAAGGAACGAGAGGAAGTCGGCAAAAAAGCATCTAAAAGAGAAAAGGCGTTGAGTTGTAACAATCTGACCCTACACTGACGAAGAAAATATACTGCTACAATTAGCTATAGCTATTTCTTCATTTACTTAAGAGCTACTAAGCAACTGTTTCCCTGTGTACATGTATTTAAAGGTGGGGTAGGTAAGTTTGAGAAACCGGCTCGAGATACACTTTTTGTTATATTCCATGGAATGCTCTTAACATCCCGATAGCAATGAATATATTAAATGCTTTGACAATAAATACATACATAATATGTCATCTGTGGAAGCCGTGGCGCTGTAAAAAGCACGACCAATCATCTGAGCCGGCCCGGCTAAAATAACTGGATGGCCTACCTGCCTGTCAGCCTTCCATCTGTGCACAAACTTATCTCGTGCCCTCATTGGTCATGTGTGCGTTTGTGTGTGTTGGAGGAGGGGCTCTGTAAGGAAGTGGCAGATTTTTTCCGGCTGTGTATTTTCAAATTCTAGCGCACTCGAGCTGGTTTCTCCGAAATTACCTACCCCACCTTTAAGTCACCTACAGCTTTTAGCTCACTGAAGTTATGCTCTGAAAAAGGTCCTCACAATATCAAAGTGTTTGACTTTTAACATTTAAATCTTCATGCTTAGCAGATTTTTCGCATTTTGACTGAATTTGACTGCGTCGTTTTATCAGTTTGAACTTTGAAGCGCCCTAACCAATCACTTAAAATGTTTCTTTCTATAAAGAACCACACAGACATAAAGACGATGACGTTTATAGCCAGGAACCATTACTTTGATTTCACTGTACACTACGATCGATCGCAGTCCATTAAGGAATTACAGTTCTTTCTATGTATGCATGTTGTACCGTGTGTGCGCTGAGTGCTGAGGCCTTTCTGACTGCAGGGGAGAATATATAACTAGAAACAATGTTCCAGCCCTCCACAGAGATTTGGCTTTTACACAATGAGGGATGAGGCCGGACGCCAAATACACAGTTTTATAAAAGGCAGGAAGACAGCCTGAATTCCCACACACACATGCACAAACTCAGCAGGGAGGCACACAGATGGCGATGCAAGTGGAGAACAAAACAAGAAGCGAATAAGATGTCAAGGTCACGAGGATCTAAGCACTGAAAATACACCAAGACTTTCACGTGTATCTGGTTTACAGGGTATATGCAGGAATCCTGAAGTCAGATGTAAGACCTTTTAAGACCTTTTTTAAGACCCTTTCCATACATTTTAAGACCTCATCGCCACTTGGAGTTTTAACCGGTTACATTGGCGACACACTTTACCTCACATTTACTATATACAGTATTGATTGTCCTTCCTCCTTATCTTCCAACCATTTGGACGCAAACTTGCATTTCCCCATAACGATGTTGTTTAACAACCGGCGTAAACGGACCTTCGCGCGCTATCAAGCAGTGAGCGCGCGATGTCCTGTTCAGATGACGTCAAATCCAACGGGATGCCATAACTAAACTACACAGAATCACACTACACACCTACGCAATGATTACATTCAGGCAGACTGTAGAATACAACCTCTTTGGACAATTTATATACTTATTGAAAACAAGCTACAAAATGTAATACCTTGGGAAATGCCGTTTAATACTTTTTAATAGCCTTCATTTTCGCTAAATTGATTGATCAACTTTTAATACTTTTTAAGACCCCGCGGACACCCTGGTTTAGCACCTAGCTTTAATGTACTCTTTATTTCTGTGGTGTTTTGCAATACCTATGGCTAAAGTTATTCACTTTCCCTGTGCATCTATGGATTTAAAATGTAACTAAATGAATAAAAACGTTCTGTATTAAGCCTCCAGGTGAGTTGAAGGGTTAGGGTTATTGTTAGTAAGCTATTAAACGTCACACAAGACAGCAGTAATGGCACAGGCTGTAAACACACACAAACACAGGTGGCATATGTGGCGAGATGGTGGGGTGTGCTGCATAGAAATGCGTTGATGAAACTGTGGGAAAGACATGAAGCCTTCCTCCTCGTCTTCCTCCTCTTCCTCGCCCTTTCCTCTTTGTAAAGACAGAGGAAAGGATGGGGGAAGAAAGAGGGTTGAAGAGACAAGGAGAGAGAGGCTTCTAGTGCTACGACTGTGGGGGAAAACTTACTGAGTGTGAGTTTCATCATCATCTGCACCATCATCATCCTCATCATCATCATCCCCTAAGTGTGCCACATGGCCCCTGGGAGAGGAGGTGAAGATAGGAGGAGGGTGGGTAAGAGAGGAGAAGGGAGGAGGTGGGAGGAAGAGAACAGAAATAGAGGATAGAGGCAGAGGAGGGAGAGATTAAGGGAGCAAGCAAAGGAGGTAGGATGACAACAGGAGGAGGAGGAAGAGGAGGATAGAGGAAGAAGGGACAGGGGAGGGAGATCTGAGTGAAGCTTCATCCACAAACTACCTCTAAGGACTGAACAGATCCAAACAGAAAAGACAACTGGGTTCAAACCTTTCCAGTCTTTACAGATCTACACACCCCCTCCACACAATACACGTATCCTCTCATCAGACAATTCATTTCAATGTAACCAATCAAATCTCAGATATTTGAATATGAAAGTGGCTTATTTTCAAGACATACTGATTTTCTGATTAGAGATCATATTTAACAATGTTTTAGTAAGACACCTACTTTTCACGATTGATTAAATTCATGAAGACTTCCTCATTCCGAGTCTATGCCTTATTCAGTATACTAATACTTTTCTCGTGTAATACAATTTAAAACCTGAAACTATGAAAAAGCCAGACACTTGCTTTTCCCCTTTGAGTTATTTCTGATTTCTACTACCAGACCTGGCACTTCTATACACTAGAAGAAGCTTTAACTCTTATATTCTACCTAGGTCAGTCAAATAATGACCGACATTTTGTGAGATGTAATGAAGATATAACCCCAAAGACTAAAACAACATCACGGTTATCTACTCTACTAGTAATACTTCTACCACTGTCCACTAAAAGGAGAAATAAGGGACCAAACCCTTTTTATGTAGTTATAAAAAATAACTACATTTTAGGTGTCTTGCCAAACAGCCTTACAAAATATAATATAATAACAACATTGATTCAGCAGACCTTGCTTTTACACAATTTGCAGCACATTTGACGTATCAGATTGTATCATAACAGATAGCAAAGCACGGTAATTATCATCGTTTTTGAGGTAAGAAATACACAGACTTGCCTAAAATTGCTAAAGACACCCACTGGAGCTTTGGCTGGGAAACTGTATAAACTGTGTGTGTGTGTGTGTGTCTTTGTGTGTGTGTCAGCCATGCTCTGCAGGAAGCTCCTATGAAGCACAGCCTTCTCCTGATGACATCAAAGCATGAAGCAAGCCGCAGAGGGAAAATAAAACCCAGAAGAATCCAAAATGCTGAGAGCAGTGACAGCCTGAAGTCATTACAAGGTTAGTTGCGTGTGATTGGCCCGATTAGTCCTGACGTTAACAATGATTGGCCGATGGGTGGGCGTGGTTAGAGCACCAGCGAATCAAGAGGCCCCGAGTGAATCAGGATATAAAGAGAGGTCTGACTCACCTCTGATGAAGCTCCTCCTCCACAGATTTAAGAAGACTCCTGTTAGTCAGACAAGTGGAGAGAAAAGCATGAGTGATAACATAGATAAATGACAGAAAGGGGTACACATCTAAGTTAAGTGCTTGCAAAATAGTTTCCCTGATCTGAATAAAGGTGAGCATTTTGCTTACGAAGCACCCTTGAAAGCAGAAAGCTAAAAACAGCACTTGAACATCCCTCGAGCTGCAATTATAAATAAATCATCAAACCTACAGCCCACAGAAATCTCATATTCTGTCTCTCCCTGTTAGTCCACAACCTCCCCCAAGGTTATGGACTAACGGGGGGATAACGAGATCAAGGTAGAGGAGAAAAGAGAAAGAAATATACATCATAAAAAAAGACAGTCAGTGAACAAGACACTTACTTGTTTCCTCCCAGTAGACTTGGTGAATCGTGTCCGTACTCCAACTGCAAGTCCTTAAAGAAAAACAAATTACATTACAACTGTGGCATAATAAGTCATACGTAGCTCATTGAAGCATCTACTGTTTTTAATTTCTCCAGGGACATAGACAGGGCTTAAGATGTTGGCTAAGTGCCACCATAACAATGAAAATCAAATAGTGACTCTACTGAAACATTGTTCAATAGTTGAATTACTGGGGTGGATGATAGGAATAATAATATCTCCAGTAAAGCAGCAGGGGCTTGCTCAGCCTACATCTAGTACATGAAGACACAATGTGAATCAGCATTGAGTCATGACAACATTTGTAAAGATAATGACACAACATGACAAGCATGCAGAGGGAAACACATACTGCAAACTCACAGACAGACAAACACACACACACACACACACACACGCAAGACAAGGGCCTCGTGGCTCCGCTCAACTACAAGACGCAAGAGGTTAGTCAACATGTAAGCAGAAATGTAGGAAAAGAGACACCTTCTGCAGAGAGAAATATAAAGAAATATCAGGTAGAAGAAAGGAAAGGTTGAACAGTTGAGTGTGAGTGTTCCTAATTCATTTGAAATACAAATGATTAACCTTTTTTTTTGTAGCAATGCCTGTGTGTGTGTGTGTGTGTGATTTCTTTTCATTTAGAATTTGGTCTGATGATTGAAATATTTGTGTCATAATGTGAACTTCATATATGTAAAGAAAACTAAAAGAACAACAATAACAACAACAACAGCACCACTACGGACTCTAATCACCATGACAACTACAACACCAGTTAGTGAGGCAACAGCCAAGGCTGGAAGAAAGAAGAATCAAATGAACAGTGACAGACGGACGGACCAGAATAGATGGAAGAAAAATGTTGGACATGGAGCAGCCAAAAATAATCAGCAATCTAGAAGATAAATATAATAAATAAATTCATAAGAGACAGCTTAAAAAGCGAGAGCCAAAGGGAAGGATGAGGACTTTCCCTTCAGAAACAGATTATCAATGACAAAGAGAAATATGGAGAGGGAAATAAGGTATAAGGTTTTAAAAAAAAAGAGAGAAAGTAAAAGAATAAAGGGCTAATGTAGGAGCGGAGAGAGAGGCCGAAGGAGAGAGGGACGGATAGAAAGAGTACTACCAGATTAGATCTCGCGGTATAGTAGAGCTCCTCAACACAGTCCAGATAGGGCTCAGATTCACACTGGTCAGCAAGACAGAGCGAGAGAGACCTCAGTTAATACATTAACCTGGACTGATGGAGGCAAGGGCCGACGAGACACAGATACACGAGAGACGATGGTGGATGAGAAATGGATTAGGGCCAAAATGGGCTTTGAAGTCCGTGGATCAGCGAGAGAGGAGGAGGAGGAGGAGGAGGAAGATACTGGATTATTAATCTGACAGGAAGAGGGGTATAGGTCAAGGGAGGGAAGGAACTGGTGTAGATGCAAAACTGGGGAGGAGAGGCATTAATACATGTGATGAATATATCATTGGTGCTACTTGGTGCTTATATAATACTAAATAAACAGATAGAAATGTGTGGCCTCCTTCAGTAAACAGTGAGACAATTGGAAACATCTGTCTTATTCCAGTAGTATTTATTTTAATTAAGACATGATGCTATCTTAATACTGGCTCCTGGTGTTGTTGTGGGAATGTTTGTTTTTGGTTAGCAGTACCAAGCTGAAGGCAAGTTAGATTCAAATGAATTTAAAACCAATTTTCTGCACATTTCCTCTGAGACTGAGGTCAGCATGATTTTAACGAGAGAGGTAAATAATAATACAAATATGTTAACAAAGATTGTATATTGCAATTTGGGGGAAAACACGTTTCATAACATCCAAGGTAAGAGTTTTAAATACTTTTGAAAGATTCATTCAAGTAATTTTAATACTAATTTTACAGATTTAAATAGTAACATGTATTGATGAATGAATACTATTCCTTTTAAGGCATTTTAAGTATCCGCAGAAACCCTGATTTCACAGAAAAACATGCCGAAAATAACTCCAGCCATTGACTCCTTTGAGCATCAAAATGCTGCTGCTGCTCACCAGTATTTACATCATCAATAATATATAACAATATTAATGTGCTAATGATTTATTGATTCTAAAATGCTATATATAGCACTGTCATCCTGAATAGACAGATCTTGTGGAGGACGACCCGTGATATTATGTTACTTTGAAGCAAAGGGGAGGGACTGAGGGCCAATGGATGAACGTGGATTAACATTACAAAGAACTACACTGGGGACTATGTTTCATAACATGAATCGATGGATAGATTCAGGATTAGGTATTTCTCAAAAGACTTGAAAAGGTAGAGGAAAGTGGAGTTTGTGGAAAAAGTGCAAGTGCAAAGGACGGACAGAAGAAGTGAGAGGGAGTGAGGGAGCGGAGGACTTTAACATAACGTGACTGTGAACCCTTCACCACAAGCAAACACTCAGTAGTTCTAAAAGTGATGGGCAAAAACAGAAACAGCTTGAGTTACTAGAAAATAAACTTAGCAATGAACTATAGCTCAAACAGTACACATTTTATAACCAACACTTTATAATGCAACACATTGTTTTAAGCCATAATACACATTTTTACTCTAACAAACAGAAAGGATACATCTCTGCCTATGCTTGTGAATAAGGAGACTCCAGAGCAAGATGGCTAATATAAGCAGTGCTTCACAGTCCTTGTTGTTTCCATGTCTAAGTCTGCCTGGCTGTCACCACTGGGCTGGAGATGTTCATGGTGGCGGCAGATGTTTTTCCAGCCACGTCATCCAGCACTAACAGGTGGATCCGGAGGCTCTTTAGTCCATGTGGGACACATTATCCCTGATGCTCTGGGATATGCAAGAGTCTCCTCTTGATTTGGACGTCCACAGGAAAGCATTCTCATCGGAGGCCTGTAACACCTCAATTGGAGCTTTTCAAACTATAGGATCACTGCTGCTATGTTTTTATTGTATCTAAGCGGCTCGCCTGAACCCTAAAATCACTCATACACTCTGATCTCTATCAAACTGATTTCATTCTCACCTACAATAAGATTTTTTGCACAGATGGGGACATCCCTACCTAAAATCGCTTCATTTGTGTGACGACCAGAGTGAACTATGTGGATGGGCTTCATGTTTAGTTTGACACAGATTGACAACAACATAGGGTGCTTCCTGTGAGTAGGTGAGGGTCAGCCATGCTGGTACTGGTGTTGACAACCACACGGACATACGCTCACTCTCCCACTCCCACACACACACACTTACACACATATGCCACAGGTAAAAACTCACCGGTTCATGATGAGGTTCTGTCTCCTTTCTCAGTGGAGGATCAAACTTAACTTGGCCAACTGAGAACGAAAAAGTAAGAGACAGAGTATGGGGAAGAAACAGAGGGGAACATCATGAGATTCTCTGTTTAAGAAGAGAGTTAGAAGGTTCAGGTTATCTGTTTTCTGACTCAACATGCATTTGTTGTTGTGAACTTGTGTGTGAACTCACAGTTTATCTCTGACAGCGTCTTTCCCTCCCTGGTGCTCCTGCTGATGGAGCGAATACGATGAGGAACAGAGACCGGGGACTATCAGGAAAGAGAAAGACACACACACAGTAAATAGCTGTTCAAAGGATATACACAGTGTAGTAGTTCAAACGGCACTTGAGAAGATTACAATAGGCTTTTTAAAAATAACAATAATCCTTCTGCTATTTCCTGTGGGTGGGATTTGATGACACAGCAAAATAAAAGCCAGCCGCACACTGCAACCAGACAACCAAAACATAGCAACGCAACCAACGGAAAACACAAACCTTCCCTGACAACAACATCACCGTTTCCTTTAGAAACTATTCTCACGAGTCCCTGTATGAAACTCTTTATTCTTATTATGCTCGAGGATATTCTGAGTCTGACTGCAATGCAGCACATTGATTCATGTTTTAATGTTGCAGACCCATGTGGGAAACAGCTGACAACAGACTTGGCATCACACATTATGCACTGACAACAAGGTAACTGTAGCCCCGGCCACACGAGGACGATAACGGTCGTATCTGCTACAGTTCACTATCAGATAGACGGTTCGGCCACACGAGGCCGACATGGAAACGCAGAAAACGATAACGACAACGGGTCCCAAGGTGGGTAGATCTGCAAACGAAACGCTCTGGGGGGGGCAAACGGCTCCGTGTTTACACCTATACGATCATTTCCTGATAACGTTGAAGCAATAGCCCGGAAGCAATTGTCCGGAATTTTTAAACTTTAACGGACATGTTGACCGGCGAAAAAAAATCTAACTGAAACTCTGCCGCACGGTCCCCTCGTCCCTTGGAAGAGGGGGAGAGGTGGGTGTTTTTCATCTGCTGGTGGACTACCGGAGAGAATTACAGCAGGAGCAAACGCTTGCCTCGGGGAGGGAGAAAAAGAGCCAGAGCGTCCACAGCGGAGAATAAACAGAAGGGCAACCATGCGCGGGAAGTCTTCTTTGCTGCTTTTGTGGCAGACTACAGCGCCACTTACAGGCCTGGCATATGTACTACAGCGTCTCCAGCGCTTTCGAGCAGTCTCGTGTGAACGGACACGTTTCTGGTGCCTGTGGACGGAAGACTTTTTTGATAACGATTGCGGTCCGTTTGCGTTATCGTCCTCGTGTGGCTGGGGCTTGTATCTCAAGTGTATTTAAACTTTACTGGCTCCACTTTCAGTATTTCATCTTAAGATTTATACTTGTCTTGTAGAATACAGAAAAACACAGCAACCTCAAACCATGCCTGTAAAGCACTGGGAAAAGACAAACCAAGGCAAAAATGCATCTGTCGAGCGCACATTTGTAGCACAAATCGACTTATAGACGTGTCCATTTAAAACCACCACTTATCGGCGTGATACAGTTCAACTTCATAACAAACAACTCATGGTTAGTAGTACCTGTAATGGCAAAGATTGATGAAGATGGCTACCATACCGGACATATTTGAGTACAAAATGTTATTGTATCTTATGTTTTTAAAGTATAATAAATAATATATTTAGATTTATACAGAGCTGCATAAATATTCCTTAAAGTCTATTTAAAGATGATTTGAGTTACAGATGGGTAACCTTCACCGTATTACTGATGTTCAAATATTTTTCCTAACAGCAAAATTCATGAGAGAAACCCTACCTCTCTAGAAGTGGGAAAAAAAACAAAATGCCAACACTATTTGGTTTGATGCAATATGCTGAACAGAGAGAAGTGGTCACACTATGGTAGCCATCTTCATGTATCTAGCCATTTCTTTAAACCACAGAAAAAGAATGAAAGGAAGTGATAATAACTGATCTGCTGGAGTTTGGACAAGACGGCAATAATGGTGTCATGGAAGTGAGCATAGTTTGTTTGTTGTCAATACTAAGTAAGTAAGATGAGTAAGATAAGGAGATTGAAACCACTGTACTTAAGTTAATGAACAATGTTGACTTTTTTAATCATTTGTTCTCTATAGATAATAAGATTTTAGTAATTTAATCTAGCCAAAACCTTATTTATTTTTCCTAAGGTTAATTTAGTTAGCTACTTCTACATCCATACTTAAATCAATGGCCATGTGTTTATCACAAGGCCAAAAGTACATCTATGTGGCTGTCTATGAAATGCCGTTTATAAATGGACTGTAATAATAATAATACGTTGAAATCAAAGATAATATACTTTTAATCAACAACGTCTGATGAAAAAGAAAATCCTGAACGTTAAACAAAAGTGCTCTATGGCATGTTGAGCCAATCACGTCACTGGTAATCCATCAGCCTTCAGATAAATGACATGCCAATGCCAGTTTCCATGACAGCACCAGCAGACACTGCACTGAATGGAAATCTACTTTCTATTCATTCAGTCCTGTGGTCCTCCTCCTCCTCCTCCTCCTCCGAGAGACAAACACATCTGACAGTATCGTTTGTGTTAGAATGACATCACTGCAGACACCGCAGCCCAAACTGGTACCTTCCTGTGCGCCGCAAAACGAGGTGCACGTCGAGCACCGGGGCTTATGGGTAGGAAATGACCCCTGTACTTAAACTGAGGAGGAGGTAGAAGATGGGGGGATGGGGACAAGAAGAGAGGAGAAAGAAAGGAAGGGAGAAAGAAGGAGGAGAGAAAGGTAGAGAGAGAAAGGAGAAGTGCTACAAGGAGGAAGAGAGGAGGAAAGAGGAAGTAGAAGAAAGAAGGAAAGGAAAGAGGGGGTAAGGGGTAGGGGGAGGACAAAGAGCAGAAAGATGAGTCACATGTGCCGGGGAAAAGGGAGACTGAGGTTGTGGAGGGTGAAGAAGGAATTTAATGAACAAATAAGGAGAGGGGAAGGCAGGATTTTAAGGGGAAGAAAAAATAAGCGAGATCCAGTAAAAACATAATCACTGTTCAGTTGACCTGACTGCAACTCGAGAAGGTCAAAGGTTACCTCTGGTTCAGGGTCTTCGTCGTCAAAGTCGTTGAAGGTGCTGTGGTCGGGGTTGTTGGATTTGTCCAGCAGCTCTATGGCCAGCGTCCTGCTGAGAGGCTGGGACACAAAGGGGTGCTGGAGGACAAACGAGAGGGAAAGACGTGTTCAAATGGCTCTTTTTTTCTTGTCTGACTAATACCTAAAGAAAACTGAGGATCTCAAGTACCCTGGTGTAAGACGCTGTGACAGGTGTTTGGTGTGTTGCTTGACAAATGACTAAAATGGTTGTCATACACTAGATTAACATTCAATCTATGGGCTTGTCATTTAATAGATCATTAATAGCTGTGAGAATGAATTTAGCAGCCGACACCTTTTGTTCAAATATTATCACAAGCGGATTGTTTGCCTGACTTTTGTTTACATTTGAGTTGACCCAATTTATATATCACACAACAATTATTTTACAAACAGAAGCATTTGCTATCTGATCTGGGAATGTGGTTCGCCTGTATTTTATATATAATGTACCTCTGTAAAATGTCATGATTTTGAAAGTTGACATACTTATAAAAGCATAAATGGGGCGAAGCCTGCGAGCTAGTTCAGGCAGTCAACTCGAGCACCAATGATACATTAACATGTGACGCACCTCGTCCCTCTTACAACCAACCAAACACATTCTCCTAAACATGCCGCTCTATTTAAGCTGCCAGGTCTTCCTGCCTCTGCCTCGCTCATGCTGCTGCTGCCACTGCTGTGTCCACTTGCTATTGCTACGTTCATGTTCCTGCTGCTGTGTTTCATGTTGCTGCTGCTCGCCTGCCCCACCACCACCCCAGCTTCCACCCCAGCTTCCACCCCAGCTTCCACCCCAGCTTCCACCCCAGCTTCCACCCCAGCTTCCACCCCAGCTTCCACCCCAGCTTTCACCCCAGCTTCCACCTGTAGGCTTGGGGGATAGTTATCTAATCATCACTCAATGTTCTATGTACACCTGTGGAGTGATGAGGCCCGAGCCTAGACGCCAAACTCAAACTATATGCTGCTTCTAATAAACACATTAAGAAACACGCGAGTTGTCTGACTGAATAAGCTTTATTGTTGAAATAGTGTAACCTGCAGAGTGTATCCATAAATACCAGTGAAGTTGGGATGGGCTACCCTATTTAGAGTAATCTGTTTGTTTTAAAGAAGTGTAAACGTGTTGTTTTATCACCTGCAGCAGCTTCTCAGCTGTGGGCCTCTTCTTGGTGTTCTTGGTGAGGGCTAGTTTGCAAAAATGGTGGAAGTTATTTGTCCTGGAGAGAGAGGGAAAGAGTAAGGGTTAATATTTTGGTCTTGTGACAAGCAGGGCAAATGTTTGATCAAACCGTGTAATCTTCGCAGAGTAGGGTTGCATCGTAATTATATCTCAATGGATGAAGGTAGTAAAAAAGGGGGTCTCTTACCATTTCACTTTATCTTTCAACTTAGGAGGCTGGAAATTACTCTTGGTCATTAAGAAGAGAGCCCTGCAGAAAAAAAAGAGAGATATTAAACACTAGTACCGACACATAACGTGAAATAGCCTTAAACCATGCACACATTTAATCAGCAAGAAGCATATACATTATCGACCTTTTTGTCTCACAAGAGGTGTAATAAATACAATTAATGATGGATTTGATGGTTCTGTATTTGGTGAATTATAAAACGTACAAATCGTGAAGTGATACATTTTAATAAATGACTTATTAGGACTATAAAAACTGATGGAATATCTCCACTCCAATCACAATGTGTAGGAAGAATTACACTTTCCATATCACATTAAAACAAGGCCCTTTCTTTTTTAAATATAACATTGTTTCCCATCGACTGCAGGTCTCCACGCTGCCATCATCACATTATCACCGCCCAAATAGCTTTTCTACCCATCACACACACAGACATTCCTCTACCTCATGGGGTGCAGGTCAAACATGGGGGGCTGTAGTTCAGCCAGCTCTATTGCCGTAATGCCCACAGCCCAGATATCACACAGCTGGTTGTAGCCTCCTTTCCTCTCGACTGCTGCTACCTCTGGAGCCATCCTATGGAGCGAGACAGAAGGAGGTCATGAACAAAAAAAAGGGATAGAATAGGAGTAAAATATGTATTAAACCAGGTTAATTAAACAGCCACACACATGAACAACGTTTTCTACAGCTTTTCTCTCTAGCTGCTGCCCTGAGGGGCCCCACAGTGACCCCTGATGTTAACCTCTGACTTTATAATGTTCCTTATTCTGTAGGAGCCCCTTCAGGACCAAAGAAATTGTGTTGTTGAGGTTTTGTTAAAGTAAGAATAGTGTGGTTCTACTCGATATGCACTTAGAACTTATCAGCTAACTCAATCGATACCTGAAGCACGTACAAAATGCATGGTGAAAAATTCCTGTTGTATGACCGTTAGACACATTTCATCTTGCCACATGACGTAAGAGACTTTATTGACTTCCAACACATTCCCCAAACTGATTGCCTTTTGACCTCATTCAGTAAGAAGTTGTATAATATACATAAAACATGCAATGTCAAAGGAGATGAAGGAGTACAAAACCAACCAGTATGGAGTTCCAATGAAAGACTTCCTCTTGGCGAGAGTTGCTGTGATCTGGGCCGATACTCCAAAGTCAGCTATGGAGAGAAAAAGGACGAGAAGAGAACAAAGGGGGGAGAGGAAAATGGAAGAAGAATGAGAATAAAAGAGGGAAAGGATTGACAGAAATTATGATATGAAGGGGGAGACAGAAAAAAGACAGAGAAGGAAACCAAGTCAGTAAAAGAGGCCATTCAGGTTCAGTCGGGGGAAGCAGAAGGTGATTGCAGATCTCTGCGTGTTCCACTCACCTAGCTTAACATAGCCGTTGTCTGTCAGGAGGATGTTTGCTCCCTGTCAGACACAAACACGCCACATATCAGCATCAAACTAAAGATTTCACACTTCAAGTCAATTCAAATTAACTTCAGTTAAAGGAGCAGGCAGCAGTGAAGGTTTGCTGCAAAGTGCCTTTTCACTGATCAATGCAGCCTGCAGCTATGAATCAATTATCATTTTCATTGGAACAAACACAATCAGCTGAACAATTATCACTAAATGACTGTGCTTGCCTTTTTCCCTGAATGAATTGATCATTATTTACCTCTCATTGTTCATAATTTAGGATGAAAAGGAAATGGCTTTACAACACTTCACTTCACAACCATGTGGTGGACAAAAATCACAGAAAGAGAAGTGTGAAAGAAAGTAATCTATTACAACAACCCAGCTTTGATTCCTACTAATGAGAACATTTGAGAGTGTTTGATTAAAAAGTCACATATTCTGTGTCGCCATCGTAGTGATTTATACTCAAACAGGAGGTTATAAGTGACTTGGAAAGGCCTTAAGTATTCAAACATACTGGTATTCATTTATTTCTTACAGGTGTCTCCAAACTCACCTTGATGTCTCTGTGCATTTTGCCTTTATTGTGTAGGTAGTATAAACCCTGTGAACACAAACACACAGCAGCTGGTGTTAATGACAGTGGCAGAATAAAGGAAACAGTCATGTGATCAAAATAACAACAGGGCTAGGTAAAACTAAATAGAGCTTTTCCTTATTGTCAAAATAGATTTTTAGATATTTTTCCTCAGGAACAACTTGTGGTTCAATAAAAAGCAGATGTTGGGAAATTGGCTTAACTCACAGTTGGCAGCGCTGACATATTATCTGTGACACTGTGCAGTGTTTCCTCTGTCATAGTATGCAGCTGTAACGCTTTGGCAAATAAATCCTGTTTTTTTTCTTCCAAATATCCTTTTAGTTTAATTCATGATTTGATTTGAGTGGTTCCCCTTTCATTTTGAACATGTACAATACCATTTATCTGTTAAATCATAAAAAAGTAATTTTCTAAAAAGCACAAGGAAGCCACTTTTATCAACATACAGCAAAGGCCAACTATTACTCAAGATATGTTCATCATTATTAATAGTATTGAAGTCTACGGTCTTATAATTTCACAAAAAGAGATATTTAAGCATTTCCAGCTCAGCCGATTAACAATCAGACCTAACCTGTGTGTATTCCCCCTCTCATATTAAATATATAAAAGCATTGACAATAAGTGTAGTATTTGTACCTGCAGGGTCTCCCGTGACATGTAGGCTATCTGTGACTCTGACAGAGGCCCGGTTACTGCAGGAGGCAAACAAGGGGGGGGAAAAGACAGATGGGTTAACATCACAGTGAGAGAAAGGGTATAAAAACAACACAGTTAAAATCAAAATGTGTGTGTTTGGTTGTTCTTACCATGATAGATATCCTGCAGGGAACCTCCTCCACAGTACTCCATACTGATCCATAACTTATCTCTCCTGTAGCACACAGAGAACACAGTGTAAGAACATCTTTCCCCAACACTTATCAGTCTTTTACTTTCTCACACACACACCATATTTGACCTTCTTTGACAAATATATGCTACGACAACAGGCATTAACGTCATGAATATATATATAATCTATTTATCAAATATTGCGTATGACAAATACATTCACACATACTTACCGGAGATAACTGCCAAAATAGGCTACGATGTTGGAGTGCTTACAGTCTTTCATCATTATAATCTCCTGCTGGACGACAGCAAAGTCCTCACCTGGAAACACACACACACACACACACACACACACACACACACACACACACACACACACACACACACACACACACACACACACACACACACACACAACACACACACACACACACACACACACACACACACACACACACACACACACACACACACACACACACACACACACACACACACACACACACACACACACACACACACACACACACACACACACACACACACACACACACACACACACACACACACACACACACACACACACACACACACACACACACACACACACACACACACACACACACACACACACACACACACACACACACACACACACACACACACACACACACACACACACACACACACACATTATTATACTGATAATCTGCTATCTTAATGCTTGACATGGTTATCATTATTCACGAAGCAACAGAAAAGTGGATAAGTGGGTTTGTTCATTGATGTGTGCCTCATTAGTGTGTGTGTGTGTGTGTGTGTGTGTGTGAATGATGAGTGGCAGTGTAACAGGATGGAAAGCAGCAGAGAGGGTTTTAACATAATTTCCTTCATTGAGTTTCACAATTAAAGACCTTAATTATTTAGCAACAGTGTGATGGAAACATTTTCTTCATTTTCTTCCTTAACGTAGGAATGGAAAATGGAAACCAAAGCAGCAGCTGAGTGAAAAATAGGTCTGATGAATGAAACAGAGCTTAAGGAAAAAGATGGTGAGAGAACTGCAGAGAGGAATTAAAGAAGATTTGAGGAAGACTAGGAAAAAGGGTTAGAGAAGATGGCAGCCAAAAGGGAGATAAAGGAATCTGAAGAAAGATGAGATAACTCACCCGGTTCCAGTTTGATGACTTTGATGGCGGCCAGCTCTCCTGTGTTTACATTTCGAGCCTAAAGGACGGAAAGAGAGAAAGTGAGTCACTGAAATACTGAAACCAGCCCATTATATGACTTTCGGGAAATCAGGAAATCAGGCAACACGTTGATCCTGGCTACATTTGTGCCACATCATTTAACTAGCCATTTAAACCACTTTGGTTATAATGGAGACATGTTCACGGGAAAAACAGCAGGCGCTTTGAAACGGTGTAAAGCCCGCGTCACACTGTCCCGAAATTGACACCAGATGGACACACGAATATGGAATTGTGAATTTCGCATGAAGATGGCCCCTAACTTGGTCAGTTAACAGCCAAGTTAAGCCAAGCAACAGCCGAAGCAAGTACGATGCCTACAGAAGGCCACACGATGGCGCCCGAACCACACACGAAGGCAACATTTACATTACATTTAAGACATACAACTGCAACGACAGTAACAAAAACAATGTAATATCCTTTTCAGTTTCACAGAACACAAATTGGGTTATTTACATAATATGTTTACATGATTTTGTTGTGCAATAAATGCAATCTCGATGTCATCGTACTATAATACGATGGCTACACGACGGCATTGCGAGTGCTTCACGTAGTCATGTTGCCTTCCTAAGACAATCGGGCAGCTTCTCGTTTCCTTCGTATTGTCTTCGTGAGGCGAAAAATGCCCGATGGCACCGATGATCACACGAAGATGACACGATTTGACAAGATGCCCTCACGCTGGCCTTACGAAGGGCAAAATGGACACACGAATTCAACACGAAAATGAACCTTCGCAAGGTCTTTCGGCAATTTTTTGGCATGCCAAAGATGTTGCCAGCGCTCACGAAGTTGCTGCCGGAGCCTGAGAAACTCCACCGGCGGTCATACGATATGGCTTAAGATGCCCTCACGAATGGCCTGGTGTTGTTACGATCAGAGTCAAATTTGAACATTTCCTTTATCGTGTGTACATCTGGTGTCAATTTCGGGACAGTGTGACGCGGGCTTCTCAATTACCTTTAATTCATTTCTCTGACACTTGATTCCTCGACCTTTATCATGTTAACTAATGGCAATAAATAGAGCCTTTATCAGCAATCTTCCTCATGTATGCATAAATTACACAATTGAGGTTGTATCAGGGTTCAAATGTTTGCTCTGCTGCAAAATAATGCGACCTGCAATACAATACACCTGTCGTCATTCCTCAGAACATGAAGTGCACTATGTGGTTTGCAGCCTGTATAGCCATTTCAAAATACCAGAAGTCATGAATAGCACACTCACAGCTCATTTAAAAACACACACACATAACGTGGACTGACGTGTACTTTGACAGAAAATCGAGAAAGCGTTTCCTGTATTCCTGAAAAGCTGACATTTATCGAAAAAGCAGTGGTTTAGCAGGATACTGAGGATGACTTTCTATAAATAGTGAGCTGTGTTTACATTTAGCAGCAGAGCTGGTGAGGCAGCAGAGGAATTCTATATGAAATATTCATGAATAAAACATGCTCTTTCAGAGGAGACATGAATTGCTTCTCTCAGACCAAGAATGTGCCAGCCAGTATGACTGCGAGTGACATTGCAGAAGTATGAGAATGAGAGGCAGTGTTTGTGAGTGAGCGGGAGAAAGAGGCGCCTTTACTGTAGATAACTGATAAAAAGTTAAAAACCGTGAACAGACTGTGAGTAACGTGTCATGCCTTAAACTAGGGCTGAACGATTAATCGATTTTGAATCGAAATCGCGATTTGAAATTATGTGATTATCAAATCGCAAAGCCTGCGATTTAAAAAATGTTTGTATTTATTTTTATTTTTATTTTATAGATTTATTTTCTTTATTTTCTTGTGTGTCAGTCATCCACACCAATCAGAAGTGATGTTTTCCACATGTACCAGCCATTGTTAACCAATCAGAAGTGGCCCATGATAGAAGGTGATAGACAGATTGATCCAATCACCTGCCAAGTATTTTTGAAAGTGCCTGCCCTTTTCCAAATGACTTCCAATGGAGCTTTCCTAGATGGTTTGGTGAAACAAAGCATCCGAGTCAGGTTAGTAATGCTCCATCACATGTTCTACATCTATTACAGGGTGAATCTTAAACTGAAGCTTGACTTTAAAGCAACCCAACGGAAGTTTCATGTAAGTTTAGTTCTTTCACTCGTAGCTCGGGCTGCGGGGTGCTAGAGACGGGAGCACGTTGATACGACCTTCCTAGCCGGAGATATGGCCGCATTTTACAATAAACTTCCGTTGGGTCGCTTAAAAACAAATATCGCAAATCGAATCGCAATCGCAAAAATCGCAATTAGATTATTTCCCCAAATCGTGCAGCCCTACCTTAAAACACTTCTATCTTCAATGGAGACAACAACAGAGACAGAAACACCCTCATCTACCCTGATTCTGGCTGGAGACTAAACAGCATATTTATGCAGCATTAGAGAGAAAAACATGACATTTTCCTCATTTTTCTGGTCTGTTCACTTTATTGGGACGTTGTGACATAATGCAGGGTGTACTTTCTGCTTTTAAAAGAAAATTCATAAAGCCTCAAGCATTGGAGGCATTTCTGTTTCCCTATTATCACACCAGGACCAAACACTTTCATGCCTGATGACAAGTTTTTTTAATAAGGCTGCACGATGGAGGAAAATAAGTCGTGTGTATATTGTGATTGCAATCATGCGTGGGATAAATAAATAGATACTTAAGTGTAACTTTCTAACGTCTGTCTTTCGGTTTACTGCCAAAATACATGATATAGCTTATTGAATTAACTATTTGAAAGATAAAAGGAGTTTATTTTCACCAGTTTTATAGCATGCTCCAACTCAATAAATCATGTTGTCAATAAAAACAATATACGTGTGTTTTTCTACGCATCCTTAGATTCATATTTAAAAAAAAATTAGGGCTGTGTCATCTTGATGTGGAGTGTTTGAATTTCAATTCAGTTGTTTGTACTAACTGAATTTATCTCCATAAAGACAAGACAAGACTATTAATAAAAAACGTTTTCAGAAAAATACTGTTAAATTTAAAAGGGCTGTGCAGTAGAAAGCAATATTGGCTGTTCTGGCATTATCAACAGCTCTAACCCATTATAATGTCACAGTGTTCTGTGATAGAGGGATGCATACTGTGCAAACTGAACAGCTCAGTCAGCACGAGCAGTGATAGCCACCATGGCTCAGGGGAAAAGAAAATGGCACCAACAGAAACTCAAATTTCACCAGCAAGGCACATCAGCACTGCCCACACAAGAGGCCTGCAAAAACAGTAACACAATAGTGATGACAAGACTAAATAAAATGAAAAAACCCAAGGAGAACCAAAGCAGAAAACGACAGCACTAACTAAATCAACCAGTGACATGAAAGACAACAATTAATTGTACTTTTGTCAATGAAGAACGCAAGGATTTATCTAGAGCAGGGGTGTCAGAAAAATATACGAAGGGCTAGGCCACTCACTAGAGGTATATTGCCTCATAAATTCAGTTATAAGTTAGCAAAATCAATCACATGTAGGTAAAGTATGCTTGGGAGTATTGGCAGCTCATCCCTTAAAACAGAAGCCTCAGATTAATTATAATATGGAGAAATATGAAGGGTGTATTTCAAGCTTGTTATGTAAATAAGTCATTGGGCTTTTTTCTTATCAACTCAGATATGTTAGAAAATGTTTCCAACTTGACTTGACTGAATTTATTTGAAAAGTGGTCTTATTAATAACACATGAAAACGACTGTGTAATATATGTTTACAATTATATTTAAGAAGTACAATATAAGACAAGCACAAGTTTCATTTGTGGGCCATATTCCATTGTACTTTTTGAATTTGCTGAGGGCTGATTCAAAATGGTCCACGGCCGCAATTGGCCCCGGGGGCCGTAGTTTTGACACCCCTGAGCTAGAGGAAGACCAAGGCCCCGCTCACACGGGACCGTTTGCGTTTATGCACAGTATGCGTATTCAAAAAAGTCTTCCGTTCACATGCATTTGTTTCATTTAACGTGTCTGTTTAAACGAGGCCGCTGGAAACGCTGTAGTACATATGCTGGGACTGTAAGTGGCGCTGTAACTTCCGCCAAAATACACCAAAAGCCGCGAAGAAGAGCAGCCTGGAGCAGCCCCGCAGCAATGTTGCCATGGCTACCCTTCTGTTTAAGCCCTGAAACTGAAACTGAAACTGAAAGAAACTGAAAGAAACCGAATCTGTTGTTGCTGATGGTTGTGGTAGAGGAGCTGTATATTTTTGCACTAATATCTGTAGCATGGTCAGTAGCAGTAGCTACTGACAGGAGGAAGTCAGTGTGTGTGGCGATTGCTGGTATTCAGCGGGATATAGTCATTTCCTCAGCATATGGATAAATGCAACGGGGAAGTTAACTGAAAGAAACCAAGAAGCACGTCTCTGTGGATATTGCATCGAGAGGACGGCTCAGAAAGAGAGATATTCTCTACAAACACCGGGTGAGATGCACCTTTGTCAATATAATGGATCAATGCATGAAATCTGACTCTGTTTATTTTGTTTAAGGAGTATAATGGGCGTTAACAATTCTGGTTTGCCTTTTATAATATTATTTCATTCAAGAACCCCTTGTGCGTTTAATTAACACAGCTATTTTTGATAGTTGCTAGTACAGCAGTGAGCAGGAGAGGCGGGGCTATCCTATTTTTCCAGGAAATATTCGTATAGAGGTGATTACACGGACTCGGTTGACCCCCCAGAGCGTTTCGTTTGCAAATCTATCCACCTTGGGACCCGTTATTGTTTGTGGGGTCAGTTTCTATCGGCCTCGTGTAAATAATAGGGCTATACGCACGCGAAACTATGCAGATACAAGCAGTTTTCTCCTCGTGTAAACGGCGCCCAAGAGAGAAGAAGAACAACAGACGACAACCCACACCAAACAAAGCTGAGGCAGGGAGGGAGGGGACATAAAGAGACGTAAACAGTGCAGGAGAAGACAGAAGCCGAGTGGAGAGCAGAGACAGTGTCTTCAGTCA